AGCAGCCTCGGGCCGAGCTGCCACCTCTGCCGGGACCTCGCGTCCCCGCGCCGCGGCCGCGTGATGAAGCACCCTCGTCATTTAAGATGATTTTATATTATAGTTTGTTTGGGTTCTTAAGCTCCTTCTATTTGTATTTCTTAATTCCCACCTGTGTATGGTATGGATCTTGGATTCTAAGAATCCCAGATGCTTAGCAGATGGTTAGCTTGAAAAAATAATCAAAGAGGCAGCAAAATTCTGTGTTCATGAGCTCCTATTTATTTCAATCTGGTGTTTTGCCTCACAACAAGACTAATAAGCAATTACTCTAGCATCTCAAATGCTTATGCAGTGTAAATGCATCTGTCAACCAGATTCAACATCATCAATAAAGCTGCCAAAGCTGTTCATAATTCAATGATATATRCTTTGAGCATCTTTTTTGAATATAATTTAAAGATTGCAGTCCTATGATTCCGGCATTATTTTGTATGTGTTTAAAATACCTCCAGCTGGAAGGATCCCTGCCTTGCATCCCRTAATCACCTCCGCGGGCGCGGGCGGCCGGAGCCCGTGCCATTTGGCTCGCGTGGCACCCTCGCTTTCTGGCTGGGTTCCCGCAGGATTCCCACCAGGACAGCAGCGGCTGCAAAAGTCTTTCTGGGATTTGCAGTCTTTCTTTGCCTCCTTTCTCTTCTGGGGCGATTCAGCCCTGTGCAAAATGCCATCAAAACACGTACGTGCGGGCAAGAAGATGCGTGAGGAGAACCTGTCAATAGGATAGGTGTGTTCAGCAATGGTTTGTGGGACAGCGTTTGCTTTAATCATCTTTTATARCCTGATACCATTAGGAAACAGACTGATGTGACTGTTCCGTGCATGTATGTGCATATGTATCTATCCTCTTTTAATTGCTTTTCTGCTCTTCAATCCAATTTGACAAAGAAGACATCCCAGATATGACATTTTCATTAGGACACATCAGCAAATTGCAGTGTCTTTCTGCAGGCTGGCATTTTGCCTGCCTATTGAAATGTCACCTCGTGCTGCTCTCCCACCCCCTTCTACCCCCATGTCCCCCTGTGTCCGTTCTAGCTGCCCACCACTGTGCCCTTCCTCTTGTAGGCTTCTTGGCAAAGAGATCCCAGCCTTTCTTTAATTCCTTTCCAAGCCTCTGCATGAATGAGGATCTGAAGCCCTTGGGCTCCTGGGGCAGATGATGCTCTGTGTGAGGCTCGTTGTGCTGTACAAGCCGCATGTCTGTGGGTCTGTCCTTGCACTGAGCCCATCCCAGGCTGCTGCACCTGCCTCCTTCATAGGCAAAAGGTGCTAGGGAAAAAGAATGACAGAAAAACTTGGCACTGCCCAGCGAGCGGGTCTTCATGGAGCTGGGCTGGGTGTATCACTTTTCCCTGACGTTCCCTTGTTTCTTCCGTACAGTTTGAGGAGGTCACCAGGCCAGCTGACATACTATGGATCTTTCTAGCCACGTTCTGGTCAAATATAAGCCAAAGCAATCCCGTGCAAGCTGATACTTAAGTGGGTGTAACTGCAAACTCTCTTCTGCTTCTACAGGGTGAATTCCTTCATGTTTTTCCAGGCCGGGTTTCAGGTCCAAATTCACTTCCTGCCTTTGTGCCAACGAAAACCAGGGAGGCCCCAGGGAAACCCTGTGCCCTGTTACCTTGGCAGTGCTGACAAGGAGGGATGGGGACAGGTCTTGGGAGATGGGACATGGGACAACCTGCACCTGCTTTGGCTTTGAGGTGTCCATCTGCTGGACTTGGGACCACGGGCTGCGTTTGCACACACCTCCATCAGCCCCAKATTCACCATGGCTCCAAATTAATAGCTTTCCACAAGATATTTTAACCTATTATCCCACGTGCCTGTTTTGTGTGTTTCCCAGGGATAGAAACACAAYTATAGCCATGGGCATCTTTTTTCCTGGCCCAGCGACTTGCTGGGCTTTCCTGTGCATGTCGAGAGTGTGGGATGATGCAGTTCTTATTCATCATTCAGTTCAATATTCTTATTAAGCAGCTGTGGTAGGACACAGGATTTGCTGCAATGGCTGGAGGCAGCACAGGTTGGGTTTCCACCTCCCTGGCTGTTTTTCCCGAGGCTGTTGCCGCTGCTGCAGAGAGGAGCAGGGCTGTGAGCAGGACCCCTGCTCGCAATGGGAGCTGCAGGCACCAGGTCAACCGAGCACCTCTCTTAAAGCATTTATGAGCAGAAAATGTAGTAAAATTTCTCCTGTGCAAAACGAGGACAGGTAGGAACAAGCTCTTTAATGGCAAAGCATCCTGAGGGCTGGTGCAAATCAGGGCCAAGGCACTGAGCTTTAAGCGTGCGGGGAAATGGGTTTAATTTGGCTGATTTAGGGCTACCACGGAGGAGGTGACTCCTTTTCCAAGGTCCTGACTGCCCTACTGCACTCGGGCACTCTCAACATCTCCCTCAGGGTTTCACATGCAAAACAGAGGCTTTTGCAGCATTTTGCTTAAAACTCAGCACCAACCTGTGCCTTTCCTTGCTGCTGTTCTGCTCTCGTGGGAAAGCTGCCCCATCCGCAGGGAAACGCAGCCGCCTCCGTACGGAGCAGAGGGCGGTGAGGAGYGAGCCGTGGCCTGCAGGCTGCAAACGCTTTCCACTTTTCACAGCACTAATATCATGATTATTCTGACTAAATAATGTCCAGGCGCTGGCCTCCGTATTACCTATCTTAAGCATGATTTACCGCTGCAATAAATTAGCCCTTAAGGCAAAGAATCAAAAATAATTGGCCTTATATCCTAGTCTCCATTTTATCCTCTGTTACTTCTCACTTTCTGGGTGTCCTTCCCTTTCTTTCTCTCTTTATTCATTCCCTGGCATTTTTTTTTTCCCTCCTCACTGGCCTCTTTCTGTTTCTTTTCTGCTCCTTCTGTTCTTTGGACAATGGACCTAGTTTCTTTCCTTCACTTTGTCCTTCCCMAAAAGTGCTCCAGCCGCCTGTGAATTTAACCCCAATATGAGCTTATATGTCACATATGTATCTTTATCAGCATCTATCCTTAGTCATTTGACCTTTCAGTGTCACTGGCTCCCATCAGATCCSGGTGCAGGAGCCCAAGGACCTGCCGGGTGAAGGTATTTGGGAGGGAGGTTCAGGAAAGGTGGATAGGGCAGAATGTCCCCGAGTGATAGAAAATGCAGATTTTGGGGACAGCCTGAAAAAATGTGGACCAAGTATCTTTCTGAAGCAATGACGGGATAAATACATTTTAAAAAAATGGCTCACAGAGCACTTTGCAAGGTGGGACGGGGGGTTGGCTTGAAATACAAGAGGCCAAGGGTGCGTGCGGGATGGGGCGGTTGCTGTTTGCATGGGGGGCACCCAGCGCTGCCCGGCCAGGGACTCCCTTTTATGCCAAGGGGAACTTACTGCGGGAGCGACCGACATCCTGCAGAGCTGGCCAGGGACAGCGGAAACCTGCTCGTGCATTTGCTGCATTTATTGGCTTCCTTGGAGAGCCTGTTGCAAGGGCCCTTGAAACAGGGCAAAAACAGGGGCAAAAACGCATATTTTGTGTGCAGGAAAACAGTGAGAATGTGTCATGGAAGTGTGACTTTATATAAATATATATATATGTTTTTTTTCCTTTCAAGTAAATAAGCTAAGACGGCGTTCAATCAGCCTTGGCTCCAGATCCCAGCTTGTTAATGGTACCWCTGTTCGTGAGCCCAGGTTTTACCCAGTGGTTTGGGTTTATTCTGGTGTCGGGTGAGCCGGGGCCGTGCTGTGCTTTTCCCTGCCCGCAAGCACAACTTGCTTTTGCCATCTAGTGGCTGTGCCCAAAAATAAGGCTCAGAGCCCAGACCTGGGGAGCCAGGAACAGCCATGGACCGCTCAGCGGATCCACCCGTCCTGCCGCGCAGCAACGTGTGTCACATCGCTTGCAAACACGGGTTTGTTGYATGGCCCAAAATACCCCCCAAAGCTCCTGTGCTTTTGCTTCTAAGCCTGCGACAGCGTTGGTGTTTGTTTATTGTTAATACAAGCAGCTTCCTGTGGTTTTGAGCAACACTTTTATTTGTTCCCTTTGGTGACTGTCACCGTGCCTACTCCCCGTTSCTCCCGCTCAGCCGCACTTTGACTCACCTTGCACAGAAAAACGGAGTATGGTCAGGAACGCGCTGAGCAAATGAGCCCCTCCTTTAATCCCATTTGCTTACGCAGCTGATTTTCCCCCTGCATAATTCTTTCTAAAGGAAAATGTAATTTTGTTCAATGGCAACCAAGTTTAACACTCCATAAGCTTTGTCTTTTTGCAGCCCTCCATCTGGTAAGCGKTTTTCGTTCTTTCTTTCGTTAATTATTTTTAAACCAGCCCAGTAAATTGCCTGTGTTTAAGAGGCACTTCTCATTAAGATGAAATACTCTGATCTCGAGGAAACATCTCTTTTAAAGAGGTGATGACACATCACAAATTTTGGGGCGGCTAAGCCCATTTCGGCAGTGAGGCTGCGCCCAGCACCCTGCGTGCCCAGGGTACTGTAAAGTGGATGCAGCTGTCGCAGATGATGAGAAAGAAAAAGGGGTCAGGAGAGGAGCTCTGAGCGGGCACAGTGGGCGACATGAAGAAATAAGTGGTAAATCATCTCAGGAATGGGCAATATTTATTTATTTATTTTTCAGTACAGATGGTGTGGAAATGGAAAAGGCTGTAAGAAGACCAAGAGAATTGGGTGCCTATATATAGATGTACAGCTGCTTCCTTCAGGTGTTGTAACTCAAAAAACGTAGGATGATTAATTTTGAAAGTTGAAATGTATAGCAGATTCTGATTACATCTGAGTGTCTATAATTTAGCTACTTAGTAAAATTAACTTGACGTTTTTAGTGAGATGTGAGGACAATAACGTGTGAGGAGACTGAAGTGCAAGTTTGACTGCGTGCTCTTTCGTTGCCTCCTCCCTTCTCAATTTGCAAAGTTTATTTTTAACTTTTTCACTTTTTTTTTTCCAGCATATTTCCTCTAATCTAGATGAATGAATTTGCTTCCCCCTGCTGTCAGTGAGGCCAACAACATTTTGGTCTTGGCTGTGCATTTCCCTGGATGAACGAGAGTTGCGAGTGCCACTCTCCGGCTTCCTGTTATTTTTCCTTAATAAAAATTAATTTACACACACAATAGTTGCAGGGAAGACTTCTCAAAGGATGGAATACAWCTGGTACAGACCAGATTATCTGCACCTTGCGCTGTGTCTAGGGGCTGTGCTGGCAATTGTGCAGAACGGGGGAGCACAGAGCTGCCCCCAGGGAAAGGAACAGCCCCAACCATTTAATATCAGGTTCAGCTACAGAAGCAGCAGGATTAAGCCTGTCTTTGCAGTGCTCAAAGGATACGATACTGGAATATCAACAAGAACAGCACATTGCCTGGGATCAGCTCTGATTGCTCCAGCAGCCAAGACCAAAGGCAAACGTGGCCCCAGGTAGGATGAGTGGAGCACACAGAGCGCACAAGGGACATATTTTATGATAATACTCTCTGGCCTGGTCAAAATATTCCTATTATTTATATCAGTATGGAACACAAAAGCCCCTAATAAAAAATGTCTTTAAATTCAAKAAATATTTTTACATGATTTCAGCAGAAGAATGGATTGCAGAACCATGTCCCTCAAAATGATCTCCTTCCTCTCTGCACAGGTCTCTTCAGTGCCTACCATTTTGCCAGTAGCAAAATCTCTCTGGATCGGGACTTCTTGAAACAAGTTTCCAACATCTGCACCGAGTCCTGGCAAGCCCGTCTACCCTACCTTATAAGACTGCAGATAGGGACTAATTTCAGTCATTTTCGAGGAATAAATGATCCACGCCAAGCGCTATCAACGTTGCCATCACTGGGCTGCTTTGTTCAGCAGGTGCTCACATTTCTGACGTTTTAAACAAAATAACACAGACAGACTTGTGGTTGTTTTTAACTTTAATGAATTGCCTGATTCTAAGTAACATTTTCAGACCTAGCAGCAAACCTAAGTTTCTAAGAGGATAATGAGAAAGCTCAGGATCAGGCGGCTTCCGGAAGAATCTGCCAGATGTAAGTTTAAAATGCTTTAAAATACCGAACATTTCTCAGCATGCTACAAAACAATGACAACTGGCAGAACTAAGTATATTTTTTAAGCTACATTATTCAATTTTAGCCATATAGAAACAGTTGACAGGAGGATCGTACTCTTTGATTCTTTCTGGATCTGTTTAACTAACACAACAAGTAAAAATATAAAATTTCAAAGGAGCCAACTTTAAAAAAAAAAAATCTAGGTTTTTTTCTTCAACACTTCCAGTACCTGTTTCTGTAATAAATATTAAAAACTATCCTTTTTTTGTTAAATAAGTTATTTACCAAAAGCTTTGCTTTTTTTTCTTGCTTTTTTCCTTTTTTTTCTTCTTTTTTTAGAYAAAGGCTGACTGCAATAAAAGAGCTAAATGAACATTTTTACATCAATAAATATTTAAGGCACGAAGAATCAAACAATAAGCACGGGGAACAGTCTTTATTAACGGACCTTTCTCCTTCAGAGAATCCTTTTTTTGTTGGTGAAGGAAGCCGCTTTTTGATTCTCCGCTGGTTGAACCTGGGTAGAAAAGCAATAATTATTGCTCAATTTTGCAGTGCTTCAACTGCACGCAATTTGTTCCTAGTGCTGGGCCGTAATCCTGCAAAAGCATCTGCAAATATGACCTACTCTGTTCAGCAGATCTTCAAATTAAAGGATAAGGGTTTCTGTAAGCACACAGACCTTTTTACGTCATCAACTTATAACTTGGGGAGGGATGAGAAAATAGCGGAGCAGCTGCTTAAGGAAGAGCTTTGATAAGGCCACTGGTGTCAAAGATAATGAAGGAAGGATTCATGGAAAATTTAAGGGGGATCTGGGAAATGGACCATCATTCCGAGTAGAATATGCAAGGAGAGGGATGTGATTTAGGATGCAAGAAGTGAATACTTAGTCAAACTAATCTAATATACTGCATTAGCAAATAGTTGTTCACAGCAGCTTTGCCTATCGGGTCTTAATATTTTAACATTTAACATTTATAATGTTAAATTAAATAAAAACATTTCACATTTTTTAAAAAGCACGGGTTATTAAAATATATGCAGGCTTTAAGTAAGTGTTCTTTTTGTGAGCTTAGCCAGTAAAAACAGGTTATTGGACTGTGACCTGCTAAGACTAAACTACTGGAGGAAGAAGGACACATGAATGTTAATCTAGCAAAAGCACCAGAAAAGTTCCTCGGTTACTGAACTAGTTACTTGTTAGGTCGTAAACCTCTAATTTAAACAACACATATGGGAATATTTATCATGCTAAACTGCTATCATCTAGATTTGATAATAACATCATGCCCCAGTAGCAAACCTGAAGTAAATTAGACTACTTCTAAAGAATAAATGCCACCAGCTTTAAACGTAAGCTGAAATTTTACTTACTTCCAGGTTTCCTCTAGCTTTCTTCAGGACATCATGGGTTAAAACCACTGGAAAGAAAGAGCAGATGAAACAGAATATGGCAAAGCTTTTCTATAAAGTACTCTCTATTGGAGTCGTATGACTGAATATTAAATAAGATATATATATAAGGCACATATATATAAGGCACTTACAATATATATATAAGGCACATACATTTACCACATGGACAGTGACCAGGCAAGCCCTGTTTTCTACCACTTCAACTGTTCAATGCTCTTCCCTGCTCCATGGCCTATATTCCATCTAGCCAATAATCAACTTCTCAGATGTAAACACCATTTGGAAAGCCTTCATTTTGAAGTGTTTCTTCCTTAAGAAGGGCTATGTATGTGAAAACACGCAGATTTCATCACTACACAACATCACAGATGTGCACAGTGTCACCCCATGTGAGGCTGGATCCTTTAATCCAAGACTATCCAAGGGAGTCCTACCATCCATTTTAAGGAAAGACAGCAAATGATCTAACTACAGTTTGATGTATTAGACTCCTGAGGGCAGGGAGGAAGAGGAAAAGGGTGGGATGGAGAGGCTTAGGGAAAGGAGGGGATGGGAAGAGGAGGACAGATGGCAGAACAAGTCAGGCAGCTCCTCCAGCAGTTCAAGGACAAAGCAACCTACACAGGCTTAGAGGGAAGCGAGTGGTTTGCTCTGACGAGTTCCAAGTTTTCTTTATTTATGCAGCTAGTTAGCTTCCGTGGGGAGAGAGAAAGACCTGCGAAGGGAGGAGGGGATGCTGCTAAACAAAACTGATATTTAGAAATGTCAGGTTAAATATGTGATTCTCTAATCTGTGTCAGCTCCATAACTGCTGAAAAATACCATTCACAAGTACCAATTTAATATTCCAGTCTCAAAAATAAACAATTTAGCCATAATAAAGATTTTTCATTACAATAATAAGAACCCAACAACTCCAAGGGTATAGCTGTCATGAGATAATTATACCCTTGGCAGATTACTGCAATTTGGCTCTGCATTGTTACATGTTCAGAGGTTCAGATGAGGTTTTATAAGCAATGAGTTCTCTTTCTCCTGAAGAAATAGCACAAAAACTCAGAGCCACAAGAATGTTCCAGTCTCTGCCTCTAAACATATTTAGGAATGCTCAAGTAAGTAACAGTGGGAGCCTGAATATTCTCCATAGAGGTGAACTGCTAAGAGGAATTTGGGAGAATGGAGGCAGTCAAGGTCACCTCCTGGGATACTTGTGATCTCTTACTGGCAAAAGGAAGAAATAAAAAGAAGTGTATACATGGTAATAAAATTCAATAGTAACTTCCTATGATTCACTGCTTTTGCTGTATGCATGGTCAGGAATTTGTGTACAGATGCAATTTAGAAACATTGCTGAAATTGCTCTTTAAGGCAAAGGTAACTTGACACCCATAACTCCCATCATCAATGAAACTTACTGAAAATTGTATCTATCTGGGTCTTTCTGGGTAGCAGTGTGCCCTCTGCTCGTAAAGAGCCCTGCTACTAAAATCATTTCGCTGGCAAACTAGATGTTTCTAAATCAAAAATATCAAATTCAGTACATGAAGAGAATTCAGACACTAACAGAGGAGCTGCTACGAGTCAGGCAGTACTCTGCATTAAGAAGGATTTCAGAAAAAGCTGGTTTCATTTTATTAGGACCTAGTTAAGAAGAGGTTGAATACACTAAAAAAGAGTGAGCAAAGAAAGAGGGAGATTTTCTGTTTTGTTTTTGAAGGTGTTGAAGGGAAAGGGTCAGGGTAGTGGCTGTGGGGATAAGAAGATGGGCCATAAGGCCAAAATCTACCTATTTATGCTCGCCATAGCCCTAGTGCAGTTACCCAGCAAGTCTTCAAGAGATGTTACTGGAACATAAGAACTAACCACAGTAAATCAGTAAAGCTGTCTCAGGGATATCACAGGGGCAAACAGACAAACATAATAAAATAGCTTAGATTTTGCTGTCATAGCTCCAAACTGAGCTATTCAACATTTAAATCTGAACAAAACATAGCTTTGTATTTAATAAAACTAACTTTTATGTCACTTTCAGCAACACCTCTGAAAGAAGTGACCAAAAACAGCCCATAAATATTGAATCAACAATCTTCAGGCAGAAAATATATGCAATATCAATACAAAATTCTGAGCTATGGAACAMACTAAATTAATAGCACTATGCTGCATTTAAAATGACTTCAATAACTTAAAAGTAGTATGGCTATTTTGTTTGTTGCATAACATCTTACATTCCAAAATAATTACTCATGAACATGAASGCTATGTTTGCAAAGATCAATGAGTCAGGCCTATCACTAAGAGAATTTAATGACAGAATTTTAAAGGAAAAGAAATCCACGTCCAGTAACACACACACTGCCATAGCAATTGGAGAGGCAGAGGAAAGATACAGCTCCATTCAAATATCTGCTCATGAACAGACTACATTTTAAAGCAGGATTCATATATCTCAAGAAGTTCATGGGGTCTAGCACACCTAGAATATAGTCTGTATCATGCTTGTTTTCATATTTCCATATAATCTTTCAGATCTCTTTTAAGAGTAAAATATCACTTTAGAGCCTACAGTTATTTGATTGCTTCTGAATTTAGCTAGTTAGCCATGAAATGCAAAAATAAAGTAAGAACTAGGAATGCAGCAATCACTTACACTGATCAATGATGACTTTCTCCATGTTTTCCTTCAGCTGGTTGGTGGAGTGCAAGCGTTTCACTGTGCTGTGTAACTTCTTCTCTTGCTCAGATAGCTTCCTACGCAACCTGAATATTTCTGCTTTCATTCCTTCATCCTAAATTGAAAGAATAAAATATTAGCTCAGAATCATTAAAAGATACATGTGGCACATGATTAATTCCTCTATACTTTTGCACAGGAGCCCTCAGAGTTCTCCAGGCTGCAGAGAATTTAAAGGAGTGAGTGCCACATCATTCACTGCTTCCTTCCTCCTGCTATCTGTGACGAGACCACAATGATTTACAGAGAAAAGTGTTATAATTAATGATGTAGCCTTAGCTCACTTTTATCACAATTATTTGTTAGGATATTCTGAAAAAAGACTTTAGTGTTTATTTTTGCTTTTAATCTTGCATTCCTTTCATGACTTTTGCTCTCCACTGGAAAGCATAATGCTGCCCAGTGCTACGAGACCAGCAAATGTCTTATATGCCAGGTTCAAAACTTGCACCTTCTTTCTCTAAGGATGGTAATTAAGAATGAAAACATTAATCTGCAATGATTGTTTACCTGGAACCTCATGCAAACCTAAACCTGTAAATTTTTCTTGCTGTTGTACCACTTGTTAAAATAATAATGTCTTCTGGAATTCTCCCCTAKCATTTAGCTCTGCAGAACAGCTGATTATTCACAGCTCCTGTGGGGCTGAACAGAAGGCAGTGAACTCTCAGTATCTTTTAGAATCAAACTTCAAGAGACATTCCTTCATATGCTGCATTTAAGACATCAGAGGGAATCAAATGTCCTTAAGATCTCAGCAGATTGGGTAAGAAACTCTAGAAAAGCTCCTATAGCCTCTATTCTGAGATCTCCAGCATAGGGTCAGATTTTTAAGGGAGGGGGGGACCAATCCAAATCAAGAAGATTTAGACCAGTAAGAATTGGGGCATCACAGATGTACTAAAACACATTTGTTTATCACTGTGTTATGTTTCAACACTGCAATCCAAGCCAACATATATCTGTCCATATAAATTTTATGTATATAAGGGTAAAAATGTAAATATACACACTTCACAAGTCATCCAAAATATGGAAATGAAATATGAGTGACCTGTATTAGACAACACAGTTTCTTCTCACTCCTTTTATGATTTTACATTTTTAGGGCCACTAAAAATATATTTTTTAATGTTATAAAAATGATATATTAAATGTTTGCTTTCCTAAACCTTTATTTTTTCAGCCATATCCTGTCTCCCCAAACAAACACATTGCAAAAACCTCAGGGAAAACATTTCACATTTATTTTCAAGCTAGAGTTTCAAACAGTTTCATTGTTGAATGGTAGCATTATGACAGTATAGATAATTCATCCCTCATTCAGTTCACTTTCACTCATTTGCATAGTGCAATCCTTTTTAGTTAAAGTGATATAAAACTTGTCGTGACTTTTTGTCGTACTTTAAAAAAAATAACCTTCTTATTTTACAGCTTAGGTATCTCAAACGTAAAAGTAAAATGTAGCGCAGGTTGTATCAAAGTTGCTGAAATTTTTGTTGTCAGTGGTTTATAGATAACCAAATTGAATTTGGTTTTGTGGGGTATTTTTTTTTTTTTTTTTTTTTATAACAAGGGAGACCAACTCTTTTCTCATTAAAATGGAGTAGTTGTCACCTGCCTACATCTTCAGAGTATGAGAACACAGGTATTACAGTCTGCCTCTTTACTATGAAATCTTTTGTGAATAAACCTCCCAGTGCACGCTGTGATCAGGACAGAAAACCAACACATGTTTGGCCTTGGTCTTCAGGGACTGGAGCTGCCCGAATCTGCGTGGCCAGACACTGCACACTGGGTATCCTAGGTTCACAATCTTCAAAAGATTTCCCTAGTGACATGTTCCTACCTCACACCTCTTGTAACACGTTACAACCATTCAGAAAAAGAAAAGTAAAACGCAGTAGTACCTGAGTACCRTGGGCAGCACTGTGAGCAGCTTTCAGAGGAAGGGAGACTCTCCAGAGAAGTTTCAATAAACGTGCAGCCTCTTCTAAAATCTGCTGTACCGTGTGAACGTTTGCAGAAAAGCTCCGCGGTGAGGTCTGGTCGGGCACCTATATCGTGGCATTACAGATAAGTTACATTTTACATTTAAAATATTATGAAATTGTCATCTTAATTAATAGTGCAAATCCACTTAGTAAGATTTCATATTTAAGATGATGTACACAGCTACTGGRTGCCACAAGAAAGCTAATTTATTAGTTTAAACAGACTGTTGAATTATACATTATATGAAAATTTGAGGGAGGAAGAGGATTTATTCTAATCAATAGCCATGATTAATAATAGGTTACATTTACTAGATTTGCTATGGAAATAGTTGGCTACACTCTTTCTTCATTTGCATTTTGTGTCATGGTATTTGAAAGTCAAATGACTACAGACATCAATTTAAGCAATATAGATGTTTCTTCCTTAGCAGACCCTTTAAACTGTTCCATTTAATGCTAAAATAACTACCAGGACACACATAAAATGTTTTCCTCTGCTGACAAATGAGAAAACCAAATTGAAGAAATTGCATAAATGTGAAATAAAGGAGAAAAAGGGGAGAAAAAATGCAAGGGAGCAAATAATTTACCAATGCAATTGTGATAGAGAAGGGGGAGGGTAAGGAAAGAAAAGCATCTACAACTCCTGCCCCCACCCAACATATTATCTGAATATTTATTTCACACAGAATCCCCCTGTCACGTAAAGCATCCCATTTTCTGAGTAGTCAGAAAATTCAGAGGTGCAAAAACTGTGCATGAAACTGCAAATTGTGAAATACTCCTTTTTTCTTTACACCACCAAAAAGACCACCACCAAAAGACTATTCCAGAGAGGTTACTTTATTCAGGCATTATTAGTATTTTAACTAAGTCATTTGAATATGATTCTTCAGAGAGCCTTAACTGTCATCCAGACATTGTTTTACTGTGTGAGTACAGGTGATTCCAGCATTGTTCTAAGCTGCATCTTCAATAGCTTTACTAATTATAACTACAGAAGAAAAATAGCGAAAATTTAACCATGCAGTTATCATTTTTTGCTTTTTAAAGACCTATGGACATGGTCTTTACAACATTTATTTTATCTTAAAACCATAAAGGTGACAGGGACCTTCATTAGCCACCTAGTTCACCTTCCTGCTCCAAGGCAGGAAAACTCTATATGCAATTTTTCAAAATCATTAATGTAACCTGCTCTTTAAAAAAGTGCCTCCAGTGATAGTGATTCAACAGGTTCCTTGAGCAGTCTCCATTTCAGCATTTCACTATTTTTACCACTGGCATATTTTTGAAATGTCTCACCTCAGCTTTTTCTGTTGCAACCTAAGTTCCTTAGTTCATTATTATCCACCATGGACATGCACAGATCCTTCCTTCCCTTTTGCTGTAGCCTATAGTTAGATTTGTCTTGTTCTGCAGCTGTACATCTTGCATTTCTAGGCAAAATTCACCGTACTCTCACAGCTTTCATAATTACCTTGATTCCAGGCTCTGGCAGTTTCATACCACCGACCTCTCTTAAAGAAATCTCCATTTCTGCTAAAACCTGCTGGCCTTCCGCAATCTGCTTCCGCAGCGCATTATAATCCTCAATCAAGCCCAGAACGTGACGCCCGTTTTTGTCTGCCCACATACGATGTCCAGGCACGAGTCGAGGGGTACACGTAGTACTAGAAGATGAGGTGCTGCTGCAGTGTGAAGTGTTGTCTAAATCATCTCTAGATGCTATGTGTGTGCCTAGGACAGGGGAAAAAAAATAAAGTTTTAACTTCTTCTAATCTTACATGAAGTAGACAGGAACACTAGAGTTGTCTCAAACAGAAAGTCTGGGATAAAGGTGATTATTCCTGCTTTTCTTCCTTTTTTTTCTTTGCATTTAAGGTCAGGAAATAGGGAAACACAGCTGGTTTTCTAGTACCAAGGACATGCATTTGTCAGCATTTGCTTACATTTATGCTTTTAGCATCTATCCAAAGTCCTACCTATCTCTCAAAACCAAGTTGTAGTCAGCAAATCTAAAATACACCCTGAATGAATATGATAAAATCAACAAATATAAGCTTCCTGTTAACTTTCCACAAAAAGTATGGCATTCTTCTCAGCTTACACCATTCATTAGATCCTATGCATATCATCTCTCGTCAGACCTTTCAAAATTCCCCAAAACCTATGAGAAAATAAGACACAGTGGGAAAAGTATCACAGTACAACAAGAGAGGTAATAAATTTGGCTGTGACATTCGGAGGAGTCTTCCTGCTCCATATCAAAGTAAGCCATCAAACTTGTATCTCAGTTTTCTCAAGGAAATAACTTGCTTCTCCAGCTCTTAACTGCTTTATTTGATGTAGGTCAAGAGCAACACCCAGGACTCTATCTACAAACTTATCAGGAACAAATGTAATTTGGGGATATTGGTGGCTTATACTCCTTGTTTCACATCTACTTCATCATGACTGGTTCTAAACAGGCATCTCTGTATGAAGCACAAGATTGGAAAGTTATTGTTCAAGTAATAAGGGCACAAAAAAGGCTTGCAATCTTTAAAATTTATCTGCCACAGTCAGCGTCTCCCTTACTCGTCTGCCCATTCTGTTTTTCACCTGATGCGGGGTTCAGCTTGGGCATACTGGGTGCTCCAGAGAAGTAAGAAACCCCACCTGTGTCTCATGCCTTTGAGGCAAGGGCTCCCAACACTCCTTCTCTTATTGGCACAACCTGCCCTGTGTGGTGCATATTGCTACACTGGCATGTGTGGGCAAAGTGCAGGGACACAAAAAGTTCCCCTCTTATCCCTTTTTCAAAACATGGTACACATACATACCTACACAGTCAGGAGCACCTGTACTTCAAAACATGGTACACATACATACCTATACAATCAGGAGCACTCGTTCTTCTGCTGCAAGTACGGGAAGCTGTCACTATTCAGGGGACATTAGCAGCATCAGCAAGGAAGAACCTTCTCATGCCCTTTGTATCCCATACACATTTACACTGGGACCATAGTCTAAGCCTGAGTGTAAACATCATATTTTTCCCAATTTGCGAAAATGATATCACTTAACAGTGATTAAAATAAAGATAAAAATATTCCTCAAAGGCATAGAGGGGACAAACTGCTTTAAACAAACATCATTTTGTGCATTTATTGATCATTCCCRAGTAATATATAGTCACTCCTCACAAAGGCTATAGAGCGTGCATTAAGGAGAAGAATTCCCAGGTAAGCAAAATTTATGGCAATATAATGTAGGCATCCTTCCATCCCARATACTGCCTGTAAATGCCTTTCTTGAGTGAAAGGCACCTGATAGAGGCTGTAAGACAGTGTGCACTTGACCTCCAGATGTACTAATAGCTCTAAAAGGAAGGCAGACTGAAAGGCTGATAGGTCCTGAATCGCACAGTTGATGTTGTATGAGGCTTTAAGAGAAAAGAAGCATCTTTAAAGGACAGGCATGGGTTCTACAGTGTAATAAGAGTATGGCACAGTACCATTCATTCCTGCATAATGCTGAGATTCTTGTTTGAAAAGGTAGTTGATATTCACAGCTGACAAGGAGCCCMCTTCTTCTCTCTTTTCTTTTGAAAGCTGTTCCTCTAATTTCTCATGTAAAGTCTTGTTTGTCTCTATGCTTCTTTCAAGCTGTACTCGCAAACTCTGTATTTCAGTCAATAGTTCATGTAAGTCAAGTGGATTATTTTGATCTTTTCGAAATTCTTCAGATGCATCATGTCTGGGATCTGAGAAAATTTTAACAGAAACTCTTAACATCTTTAACAATTAAAATGATCCTGTGATTGAAACGGTGAGCAAGTAAATTATAGCCAGCTTTAGCCTCAATGTTAAGAATTAGCTACAAACAACACTGAGATAATAGCTTGACAAAAAAGCAGGTCTTAATTGCTTCTATCCTCAAAAGACTTAAAAGAACTGAAAATTATTTTCACTTTGTCCATAAAAGCTAGTAGGTCTCATGCCAAAAGCAAAATTACAACAATAAAAGAATGAAGAGGATTTACAAAATTTGAAGTGCACTGATASACAGTCTGGGGAAAGAAAAGAGAAGAGGTATTCTCGGAGTCAGGAGGAGGGATTGAGTACATTTAATTTTATACACCGAAGGAAAAAAAGAGAACAGTGATCACTTGGCAACCAGAGGAATCAATGTGAACCTCAGAAAAGCAAGAGCTGTGTTTGCCTTTTCATAGAAGGCAGTCAGTACAGAAATGATTCCGTGTATTCTTTCATGCTGAAATCTAACTGTTCCCCAGAGAGCAGGAAGGGGCTCACAACAGCATGAGGACGGTGTTGCTGCTCTCTAATTACGTTATGAGTTCCGCAAGGAAAACCTATTTCTATCCCTGAGCCAACTTTGGCTTAAAGCCTTATGCCAACAAGCACGAAGAAAAATTAACTTCTACACAAACTTGTAATGGGAAATTTGCTGGATCCTATACAAAGCATGCAGTAGAGATGAACTTTCTAGTCTGGTAAAGATGACACTTCTACCTAACCTTAAGAACAASTATGTAGTGGTATAATTTCCATAAAACGGTAGGAAAGCTCGTAAGTCTCATTCCTACCCCTGATCTTTAGTGACAAAAAACACACAAGTAATTACTAACTGTCTCTGCTTATTTGGAAAAACAGTGCCAGCTCTTCTCTCTAGCCCTAGAGAGAAGACACTACTCACATAATAAGAGTCTTAGCAGAAAGCATTTCAGTAAGTACTAGCTGCAGGAGTCGAACAGCATGTGTTTAGATAGCAAGTAAATATTCAGGATCACATTCAGAGAGGGTAGGGTTGCAAGGACCAAGAACTGTGCAGAAACAATTGTGCATTTATACCTGTCTTCTTTCTCCTTGCTTCTTCCAGCTTTTCATAGACCTTGAGCTCAATTCGGAGCGACTGCAGTAATTTGTCATTCTCAGAGAGCTGATGTTGCTTTACATTCGCTTCTGTTTGCAACCTGCAATGTTCCAATGAACCTCTAAGTTAAATGTTAAATTATTCTTATTCTTCATTTCAAAATCTAAAATCTATTCTCCTTTCTTTTGTATTTTTCCTTTGCCTTTTAAATATAGCTAAGCACCTCATTACAGTAATGTTAACGGCCACAGCTAAACATATGCATGTCACATTGCCAATTTTCTCCTCTAAATGAATGTCTAAATGTGGACAGAATCAATACCTGTTTAATTCATTACGACTGCTGTAAATCTCACGTGTTAGATATCTGGTTTCATCCTCCTTTTTGCCAATTAGTTTCTGCAATCTTTCATTTTCTTTCTTGATGCATTCATAATCTTTGTGAAGGTGCTCAATGATTGCATTCTTCTTAGAAATGGATTCTCTTAACTTTTCATTTTCCTTTTGTTTATCTGCAAGAAGAAATGAAAGGTATTTGCAATTCCCCAAACATGCTGAAGCCATGCTTTCAACAAAATCAGCTTTCTTAGACATGGACAAAGTAACAGCTGCTCTTGTGAGCTTTAAGATTTTCATATTTTGTTTTTAAATTATTTTTGGCAGATGAAGTGCCTGTGCAATATTCAAACTCCAGGACTCTCGAAGGATTCAATAAAAGAAAAACAGAAAAACTGTGTATCACCTGATAAGGCAAATGATCCAAGCACCTCCTGAAGGTTCAGGACAGTCTAGCCTCATCAGCTAACAAATTCAACTTCCTTTTTAGGAAGGAAATAGCTGACTAGGATTGTTCCCATCTCTTTATCCCGTAGTAATCCCTCCATCCTCTCCTTCTTAGCACTACTTACCTGCCAACTCTATGAAACCAGTCCTTCTTTCCTTAGGAAAAGCAAACGACCCAAACTGATTCTGTGGCAAAGAACTGTTCGTTGGAGGCAACTGATAATATTGAGATATCTACTATCAGTGAGGCTTAAAGGGACAAATAACCAAGTCTGTGATCTTAGGTTTAACATTTGAAAAATAGGCAGCAACCTCAGCAAAGAAACAACAGAGAGGAAATGTTCCCTTCCCTGACAGTTAGAAATTCACTTATCTTCAGTAGACTTGTCAAAAGTGTATGAAAACGGTAATTCCCATGTGCTGCTAAACATGTACACCCCTAGCATTTCACCACTGAAGAGGGCAAAGCCTCTAACCAGCCAAGGACTGGACAGAAAGCACTGCAGACTTAAGGCAAGCAGGAATACATGCCAAGGTTTTGCATAACTGCAAAACACTAGGGCAATTTTATTTTTAATCTGGTTCATATACAAAAAAAACCCTGATATTATCATATCATATTGTCAAACACGGAAACAAACAAAAGCAGTAACACCTTGTGTTAATAAAAAAGCAGAATTTGAACAAACTGTTGAGCACCAAGAAGTGCTAAACAGATGAGAAAATGCGTGACCGAAAAGATCACGAGTGCTTTTATACAAATAGGCTTTACACTGCCCTGAAAATACAGATTTTTTTAATCTAATTTTAGCTTAAGTTGCCTGAAAGAACTGCCAGTAGCTCGTTTTCTTGGGGGAAAAATGGCATAGGCTTGTAATGTTCTGTCTTCACAGGTGTGAAGATAAGTTTAATGTTAACCTGAGAGATTACAGATTCTTCTGAATGGTTTCTCTCAGTTCTGTTGTCCTGTAAAGCGCTTCCAAAAAGAAGACCTGTCCAGTCAGTCCTCTGCAGCAGACTCCTGAACTTTGGGGTAATTACTTTCTTTCCCTTTGCAATTCTTCTGTATTGATGGTTTAATTAACCAAAATAATTTAAGTTTATTTTCCATGTTCAYTTTTTTTAATGAGAATTTCAGGACAGAGGCAAGGGGAAAAGGAGGCAGGAAAGCAGTATTAAATAGCACAGAGAGTAATAACAAAAAAAGAGAACATAAGAAACATACAAAAAGAATGAAGAAATGAAACCACATCTCAGCTGAAAATGCAATGAATAAATAGAGCTATGCTATGAAGGAACATTGCTCCATCACCTTCATCACTGTTGAACCCAGTCTGAATGCTTTGAGTACAGAATTTCAAAGTTGGAAGAACAGGGGTGTCATTTTAATAAATGGACTCTAGACACTTTATTGTTTGCTAATTTGGAATGAGTTGCAGTCTATTCCTTTAAAGCAGTTCTAAATTTTACCTCTGGATCCTTTTGCTAGCATTGCATTCAGAACTTGATTTTGCTTCCTCAGGAAATGAATTTCAGAAGCCAGGGAATTATGTTGTTCTGAGCCATGGATAAAAATGTTTGCAGAACCTATAAATATACACATAAAAATGATTTATGAGTTATCTCTAGGTCATTAAATATTAATTTTTCCAGACAAGAACAATTTAAAAAAACGCAGAAAGAACATGCTATGAAATATATTTATCCCTTAGATATTTTGAAGGTTATCACCTCAAATTGAGAGTCAATTCAGATTAATGCCAAGTGACTCAGAGCTCTGCATCACAAACACACCCCGTCACTGGGCAGTCATTAACAAAATGGCAAAATTACCCACAGTTGTTTTTACCTATCAGGTAAAGATGCAAAGGGACAAAACACAGGAGTATTTTCTAACATTGCTATTTAAAATTTCTGTAAACTGTACAGTATTTTGTGAAATTCTTACTTCAGCATTCTGCTGAAATTAAATTCTGCGTAGGAATCCAAGGTAGTAAGTCTGAAGATACATCTGCTACCACGTCAGTCTGGAACATACAGCAGGAATTGCAATACTTGCCTCTGATTGCAAGCTGAGAATACATTTATGACCACACAGATGAAGATCAGTCTTAAATTTGGGTAACTAGGGCTTCCCTCAGGAGTCAATGGGAGAAACCGGCTCATCCAGAGAGTGGTCCATGTGGTCTCTCCACACCTCTCAGCAGATGAGTTGCCCTGTCCTCTGAAGAGACATACTTCTCTTCAGTGACACTAAGGGGAAGATATCTGACTTTTTGAAATTTAAGGCTGATAAATCCTATTCTGAAGCTCTTGTGGCAGTAGTCATATGAATTTAACTATTAATTTGAGTGTMCAATTGCTTAATTTCCCACTTGGGTATTCATCCCACATTGATGTTTAATACTACAGTGCACTCTGGAAACTGCCTTATTCCATTCTCAAGGTAGCTGCTTCTGAAATCAAAGAGCAGCAATTGTTATTGCCCCCCTTATAATCTATTTTTAGTTAGTAAAACACTTCAGTAAACACTGGAATTAACATCATTATTAAAAGTATGTTTCAGTTGATTGGTTATCCSAGTATCTACTACGCTTTAAAGCTTCAGAAACAAGAGTGTCAACTATTTGCTTGATAGAGAAATAACTGGCTAGCAAAAAACTAGCTGAATATACGAGGAGGATGCCTTTCAGCACTGGCAGTTCAATTCAATTTKATGTGCTGCACTTCCTCTGAGTAATCTCATTTTATTGTAATCCCAATTGAAGCTTTTACTCACTACCTAACTGGGATGTAGTGTGCCATGTTATGCACCTCTTGTCGTTACTGAAAGACTCAAAGGCTCTAGAAGCCTGGCACTAATGGCATTTTACTATCTATATGTTAAAGAGTTGAGGTAGCTACGTGAACTCAAAAGGCTTTTTCCTTTCAGATTTTAACAAAGCAATTCAACTTGAAGTGGCAAAGCTTGATGGTCTCATCTCGATTCTAATTTAATTTATTGCCCATCACCCAGCTTTATCCTATTTGAAAAGTTACGCTATCACAGTCCCACTGAAAAGCTTTAGAATAGAACTATTAGTTATTTTACATAATAAGGGATAATGGAGATCCACTGGTAATAAGGGCACAATCCTGCAATTTGACCCACTACTGGGACTAGCACTTCTGCRCCGAACCCTGCTGACATCAATGATACTCTCCATAGATGCAAAGGTCCAACTAACYGGAGGGAAGTGGAGCATCAGGACCTACCATGGCAGTACACTGAGTTTTCAGTCTGTTATGTGCTGAAAAAGGGAGTGCTAAGGAAGTGTGCCTTGAAGGCTTCAAAGGAAACACCGACTGAAAGAAAGGCACTGTAGAAAATCACAGCAAAGGGGAAGGAAATAAATATTCATTCCTAGATAAAATGAAATAAAGATGTACTAAAGCTGAAGATAAGTCTGAATATATACATTAGTTACTTATAGGTTATAAAAAAACAAACAAAAAAACTTTTTAATGTTAACTGCTGTTAATAACATTTGAAACCAAGGAAACTCAAAATTAAACCTTTGATTTTATTTTGAAGTCTAACATTTGAAATGATTGAAGCAATTATTTTACTTCTACTTGCACTTCAAATCTCAGCTTTACAGTAATGATGTAGTCATTACCAGCACTTTTGTCATTTAGAGAATACTAGAAGCCAAGAGGCATTTAAATATTTAGAAAATCTAAATACTAAAGGCAGCATGGCAGAAATAGTGGGTGGATGTGTGTGTGTATACATACAATAAATAAGAGAAATGGGAATAATTCTACGCATTAAATTTGTTGAGCAAACAACTCAAAAGAAAATGAATTCAAGAGGCTCTAATTAACAATTAAGTATGTTACAACTTTGTTGTGCTTTTAAAGCAAAACAAAGCAAGTATATTGAAAAGTAAAAAAAAAAAATGTTTTTATAGGTTACATTTCAAGGCTAAAATCTGCTTCAGTATCACACGGGAGTTTTTTTCACAATGAAAGTCAGTAACGTTTAGCTACTTTTTCCTTTCCTCCTCCCTACATTGGTAGGTGCAGTAAGGCAGCAGGAAGACAGATGGAAGGCATAAGACAGTTTATAAAGAAAATATACTTTCAGTGGATTAATGGATGCCCTTGCCAGAATCTTTATGAAGCTGTAAAAGAGTTGGAACTGTTTCAGTGTGGTTATTTCATGAGAACACCATGCCTTTCCAGCAGCGTAAATACTTCACGAATGAAATGGATGCTTTTTATACACCTCTCCATCAGTGTAAATTATTTTTGAAAGCAAGCTGCCATTTGTAGGTAGTCTCCATTTAAACAACAACAGAAGTGGATCATGGAGAGGATGTAAAACATAATGAATCTAACGTCAATATTAGTGAAACCAAGCAAGAGGAAAGCATGTAGGTATTTATTGCTTGCTTCCACTGTGAGTAATATTGCATATTAATCAATTGGCCTATGTGAGAAAGTGTGGAAAGGAGAACAAGAGCAAAAAAAAAAAAAAAGTATGGGAAAGTATGACCAGTGCTGTGTGCTTGAAAATGTGCTWCAAAAACCTCCTTAGCAAGAGCCTGGCTACTTTCCTGTGAAAAGTTTTAATTGTACCCCAGAGCTTGGCTTTCATGGATGTTAAATACCAACCAGGGAGAGCAGTGAGTCTGCATTTGCATTACTATTCTTGGTCTTTTTCATCCACTAATGTATACTAGAGTTTGGAACGAAAACCATCTATGTTAAAATTTCCATCAATTTCTGTCAGGTATTTCTCATTAAAAACTCACAATGTCATTTCGTGTAGAACACATTTATCACACCAATCAATTCAAATGACAAGCTGAATACCATGGCCTGGACTCCAGGTTCCATTAAGGCTATTTTGTCCCAATATGTAAGCACATTTCTGCTCAAAAGCAGTCAGAAAATCCCAGAGGAGGAATGTCCAATGCGCCTGTTAGCAGTGGCAATGTACAGACCGTGCCTGATGTAAGTGGAGAAGAGGAAGGAAAGCTAATTCCACAATATTCAAACTTTGAAACAATGCAATTTAGAGAAAAATAACTCCTCTGCTTACACCAAGTCTAGGTCACACTGAAATTACCTTGATACCAATGGCTTCCTGCAACTGCCCCTGACTGCACAGAGTGGAGAATTAAAATGTCATCCTAATAATYAGGACACAAAACCCAAAGTCAAAGTCCATTACAATCTAATGAAATCCAAAAGATAAAAAATACCAGCTATTAGCTGATAACAGGACTAGAAAGGTCTTTCAGTTCTCTGGAWGAAATTCAAGCACAGTTTCCTCAAATGGCATAAGGCTACCTGCTAATGGTTAAGTCCCACTTTCCAGGCAATGTGTGCAATTAAAGCTCTGAGGACATCTGGTGTATCTGTACCCCAAGGAAGGGGAACATTAGATCTCTGCTTATGACACTTCACAGGCAGTGTGGAAAAACTGTGCCTGCTCCTGGAACTCAAGATACAGCAGTATTCAGAGGAAAGCACCTCTGTTTTCAGCTGCAAAGGTTTGGGATTTACTCAAAGGAAATACACAAAAACTTCCCATAGAACTTGATCCTTCAGACTTCAAGCAGAAAAGGTGAACTTCATTCACGATGAAACAGCTTCTTACCTTGATCTAGTTCCTTGTCTGTCACTTGTCTTTCCAGCTGCTTCCTCAGTCTCTCATTAGTTTTTATGGAGTCTTCTAAACGTTGTCTCAGGATTCGAATTTCTTGCAGATGCTCCATTAATAACTCTAAAGAAACCAAGAAACCTCTTTATATGAAGCTATATTTGAATGAATGAAGCTATTCCTTGTTGTAGTGTACTCCCATCATGCCTGATGCATGTTAGGACTAAAAAATGATACAGAACTATTAAAAATGGCAGACATTAAATATCTGACTCTACAACAATAGCTTCTTTATATACTAAACAAACCATGTATTTAGTGAAATACATTGAAACAGCCTTGAAACTCCTGTTCTACATCTTAACATACATGCATGTCCTTCTCCTTCCTACAAAAATGCAGCAGATGAAAATTATGCTTATTTAAAATATTCCTTGTATCTGGAAGTGAATTGAAAGTTCTGAAATACAGCTTCACATTTAGACTCTACACACCAACTCTACACATTTTTCCTTTTAACAGTAGGAAGCTTACTAGTATAACTCAGATATAAATTTGACTTTGACTTACACAATGCATGCCTTAATAAATAAATTTGTTCTATCAAGTTTCATTACAGTACCTTTTCCTTCTTGCTTTGCTGTTCTACAATTTTTGCTCCATCGGCTATAAGTTTCAGTTTTACTCAGGAACTTATCTGTTCTATCTGTCACTACCTTATTTGTCAGTTTATCCATGTCATACACTCCTGGTTTAGTCTGCAATATTTTTCTCCTGAACAGTACGTGCTATCTCAGCTATTAAATTTTCATCGCTGCCTATAAGAAACTACCGCAAGCTTCACTGCTGCTTAGTGAAACAATCCAGGTCAAACATGACACCACTTATTAATTATGCAGCACTTACGGTTCTCAAGGAAACACAACACTGGCTTTTATAAAATTAGAAAATTTCTCTTTTTCAGTGTAATAATCTCTTGACAATTGTCTGTTTTCCTTCATAACTTGTCTATTTAAAGACTGTCTAGAGTACCGTAAAAGATGATAGTCTAAAACAACAAAGATGCAAAATATCATACTTGATTTTGTTTCAAACAGAAGGTAGTTCTAATCATTGTCATCTTTGTCTGCCTTATTACTGAAAATTGCAATGATTATACAAGATACTGGAAAGCTGAAACAGACAATCTTTCCTCGTTACTTCTTAATTAGCTCTCTCATGTCTTATTTATCACATTTCCCCAATAACTAATGAATCTTCGGGGGAAAAAAATTTACCTGGGGGGAAGTTGTTAGGCAGAAGTGCCAGTATGCCATGTCCTTCTGCTAGCTCAGGTTTGTGCTCAGGTGATCCAAGAGATGACTTCTCCGACATATCAAGGTCAGACAAGCTATGAAAAGCAGATGGTATAGGTGATTCATCCTTAAGTTGCTGGTACATTGTGGTGTTCTCCTTACCCCTTGTGTGCCAAACAAACCATTTTTAAAATGCAAACATGATTTTATTACTTTGGAAGCATGATAAACAGAAAAAGCATGGTGTCAAATTTACAGGACACGTGTATAGCAAGAGATTCATGAGACAGAGCATGAAAACGCTCTGTACATCAGAGGTGTGTATCTAGACCGAAATKCAAACCTCACTGAAGTCAGCAGGAATAATCCACGGACCTCAAGTCTAGCATTCCCATCCAGCACCAGCCTATTTTAAGCCACTTTTGTGTTAAGGGGAGTGCAAGCTGAGGATTTCTGCAGCACCAGAGGATCCCAGGCTGGCATAAAGCCAACACAGAGCAGCATTAACGCCACCTGCACTCTTCACCTTCAGCGTAAGGCGGGGTTGAGGATGAAGTGAGACAGCACTGTGCTTCAGTGATCTTGAGCCTGCCCCAAGGTCAGGGGAACAGAAAGGCAGCAGACTGTCCCTTCCAGCAGCTGCAATTAGGAGAAAGCCTAAATATACACAGCAGTGCATCAGGACATACTAGTCATTGCTTTAACTAAAGCCCAACCGGGCTAAGAGCAGAATAATCTTGGTAGCATGATGCCTCATTTCAGCCATTTGCTGAGATGGAGGGGAAAAAAAAAAGCCTTGAGTTTGTTTTTGTGAATATTTTATTAATAAAATGGATATTTATGAAACATGCAACATAAGGAAAAGCCTTTCTCAAACAAATTACTCATTTGAAGTTGTGCTGTGGAACATTCTTGGGCATTCTTACCAACCTATCAAACTACAGTATATTTAACACATATTCAACAGTGTTCTTACCTTTCAGATAAYTCATAAAGTTTAGTAACTTCAGCACCTATTGACTCTCCTGCAAAACAGAAATATCTGATTAAAAACAAATATTGAAATTAATTCTTTTTGTCTTCAGTCTTAAACACTTTGTTGAAATATACTGAGTAGCAAATAAATGAGAATTTAGGGAAATCAGATATTCACTACAGTGTGGGTGTTAATGCCAAATGTCTTACATGAACAAAGCCATTTCTAGCACAGTAACAASGCAGTAACTTGCTCTAGAGTTCAAAAAAAATTCTTAAAGAATGACTGTGTGCCACATGTACCAGATTTGACAGCCTTGCTGTTTTAGTTAACATGCAAATGTAAATCATTGTGCTGCATCATGAGAGAAGAATTAAGGGTACATACCATTACTTCTTCAATTAAAAAATACATAAAAACAAACCAATTGCATTTGGATTTTGGCCACCTGCAGTCAGGTTAACCAACTGTCCTTAATAAACCGCACACACAGGCATTTGCCTGCAGTATTCTCAGAGGAAAAGCATGTGACTATTAGCACAACTCTATGCTAGAGCCCTGAACTCAGATCTATTCTGAATAAGGAAATAAGAATTTTGTGGTGTCACCTTCGTTCCCTATACTGTAAAATTTTTCTGCAATTAAGCAAAATTGGTAGGTAGGAGCTGCACAGTTGAAATTTCAGGAAAATGAACCGAAGGTCAGGATGGAAATGCAGACAGACGGTTGTTTATGCTTCTTCTTTACAGTCAATTCTTAGCAAGCTGAATGTTCTTTATAACCCTACAAACATCATTTTATTTTAATGTGTGATTCAGTGCAACACCATTGTGTTAGATATATTGAATTGTCTCGGTTGTCAGTGACTTTTCATAGTATATAGGATACCATCTGTTGGGGTTTTTTTTAAAGGCATTTAATGTTTATTCACTACACAATCTTCTTATTTGTAATGCAAAGAATCTCTGTAGCCACTGAAACCACTGAATATACTCAAACTTTTATTATACTGCCATGACACAATAGCAATTATACTTTTTCTTCACACACAGCTCCTTTATACAARCCAATCAAAAGTGTAACATGCTGCCACTCGCTTTAAAGAAAGGCAGAATACAGACCATTGTGTGCTGGGACYTGAATGTTTCTGAACCAAGTCATCTTCTAGAACCAATTTCCAGAAGATATAGGAGTCAGGGTCCCAAAGTGTTTGGCTGAAGATGTCAGTTTTGCAGCTGCTAGTAGTTTGGGTCAGAAAAAGTCACCCTYGTGAGAGTAGAAAAGGGTTTTCTTGCTGGGTTTCACTATGTCAGCATCCTTTTCCATCACTTTGCCACTAATTTTCTTCAATATAAGAGGTGAAAGTAATATGCATGACCCTCTTTCTTCAGGTGACAAATGTCAATTTTGATGACTAGTTTATGAAATATGGTGCAATTTTAACCATCTGCTGTGAAAAATATAAACCTCTTCTTTCCAAATAAGAACATTTGACAGGAAGGTTCAGAGCTCAGATAAAACAATTAGAAATGTAAAGGAATAAGAAAGCTCCTGGGATGGATTCTCTGATGTTTAAGGCACTGCTAGTCCAATTAAATGCTTTGTCCAGCAATGGGTATGAATTGTGTTAAACAGTCAAAAGGACAGAAGTGTTTTCAGGTGTGTAAACGTCCATTTTCCAGATAATATGCAAATCCTCATTGATTGCTAAAAGGGCTTAACTTACTGGTACACACTGCAATACGCCCCTTCTTGGGCATAGATTCCATTCAGTATTAGTAATATCCTATCAAACAATGTAGTAATCAGTATGGTATCCTCTTCATAATTGACCCTCCATCACTCTCCAGTGTAAGATTCCTGCCAYTGGCCACAGAAAATTGGCTAGAAKGACTACAACATGATCACTTCATCTYCAGCTGGAAAAATATACCTCAGCTTTCCATATCATATTCACCTTTCTTGCAAGTATCTGTACTACAGAGGAAAAACCTTCAGASACCCRCAATTTTCCTTTCTGTGTTAATACAGATTTTGTTAAATACCAACTGAATTGAATTAAGCTAATGGAAAGACTTCAACGGAGATATCTTGAAATTTTGAGAGTGCTAATATACCTCAGAAAATAAGCTCAAAATGTTGTTACTTACCATGCAGGAATTTTCTTTCTAGTTTTTCAAACAACAGTACACTTTGATTTAGCTGTTCACGGAAGCCTTCAGCAACATAATAATCTACGTCACTGGCTTGAAGCAGTTCCTCAAAAGCTTTAATGAGGCTGGTCAGATGTTGATGGTAAGTGACACAACTACTGCGGATCTSTTTAATTTGTTGACGTTGAAAGGAGAGTTCTCGAGCTTGGGAATGAACCAGTGAATCATATCTGAGAAAGAGAAATTATCTTTGAAAGCAATTTGCTGACCATAAATACCATTCAAATATAAAACGAATTAAAATTGTATTTGTAAGCTATAATTGTATGTTACACAATTTTTTCAGAACACTCTTGCAGCCAGAATGACAAATGTATTGTTGCTAACTGATGAATTTTCTGTGCACAGGCATAACTTGTGGTTTATTATTCTTTAACTAACTGCTTCATTTATAAGATGGGCAGAAACTAAAATGACAAATTTGTTTGTTTGCCTGGAAGTAACCTGGATGGCATGGAAAGGTGCTAAAGTAAAATAAATGAAAGTGAATATACAAAAAGAACTTTTAACAATAAATTTGTTCTTCCTAACTGGTTCTTTTGATTCATTAGAGAGCAGATGGAGCTATCCATTCTTCTGAACGTATGGGCTACTGGTAACCAGTGTGATTTTCTGAGCTCATGATTCGCTCAGTCTGACAAATTCTAGATGTCTCTGTATGTTGATTGCCAAAGACACRACCATGCCATGGTATAAAACCAGGATACAAATTTCAACTCGAGCAATTGATTTCATTCTACATTTGTAAATATAGATGTACTCTTCATATTGCAATTGGCTGTATCTCTGATATACTTCTTTCTACAGAAATATACACATTACTGGAGGGAGAGGAAAAGGCAGAATGCCTGAATAAGTATGAGAGGGGATTAAACAAAATATAGGGCATAAACGAGAACTATCACAGTCTGGGTTGGTATTGAATTCTTATTGTCATTTGTATAGGAAGAGATAGGTGACATACAGCTAACTCAGTGGCAATAAAACTGCAGCAATCCGTACTGTCTCATTCCTTATTTACACAATTAGCTCTTATTTTGTAACAAAGACAAAGCATATTTTTAAGGTATATAAATTTATATGAACTATATATCAGAATTGTACTTCACAACGATTCACAATACTAAAAGGGAAATGGTTGTCCTTGATGGTGGCTATCGGTTCTCCAAAGAGGCTAAATTCCATCCTTTGTCTACTGTAAAGTCCCTCAGGAAAGCAAAGACACTAGACCCAAAGAAGAAGTTTGGTACTACAAGAATACATTTTATGCCTGTGATTTATATATATATATTATCCAAATTCCTGCCCTCAGTCTTTCCATATGAAAAGCTAGACTAAGACTTTTCTGTCTCCCACAAATTATTTACTAGCTTATGAGTTTACACTATAAAACTTCATTCACTAATTTCAATACACATCTATCTAAACATCCTTCAAAAGAAGGTACCACTGCTCCAAACTGCAAAATGAACTATAACCAGAGTTTTAAATTCCTRTTTTCTACACAAAGTGTGGTCAGATAAACAGAGGCGATAGCATGAATCTGTCAGCCAATTGTCCATACAAGTATTTAGAAGTATTTCTGGATTAGAATTTTCTCTTTTTTGTCTCTAGCAAAAATGATTAAGCAATGCAAAACTGTAATAGATGGATTTTAGAGGTCATCCCTTCTCAGACAGTGACCTGAAGGGAGCTGACTCAAGAGCCCACATCTGGCAGTGGAGGAAGGTGTGGGCTTGGAGTCTGGGGAGAGACACGTAAGTCTGACACAGAATCATGACAGAGCAGGGGATGGGATATTGGGAGTACTTCTGTAGTATGAAAAACAGTATTTTTTATTTCAAGGCATCTTTTAACTAAACATTTCAGTTGCTTTATGTTAATGTTAGTGAAATTTAGACTTTGTCATAGTAATATGCTTGCATGCGAATGAAATGATCTTCCTATTACCTTCCTATATTATTGCTATTGCTGTTTACAAAAAGGAAYCTGAAACAGTAATGACATTACTCACCTGGATGGTGATGCTTCTCTAAGTTTGTTTTGAAGACGACACACCTCATCAAGAAGATGCATATTTGCAATTTGCTCCTTTTCGAGTTCTGYCTCATTTGCTGATAGTACATCCTTAAGATTTTGTGTTGTCCATGTATCAGGTATTTCTGAATGCTGTGAATTCCTGTTTTCTGTATGGATCTCATAATCCATCTGCTGATGTACACTAGAATATGGCTTAGTTTCTTGCATAGCAATAATAGTATCTTGTGACTGCATAACTARTTCTTCCACAGGCAAGGCTGTGTCACTCCAAACTGCCTTGGACATATCACTTGACAAAAGKTGGTTAGTGGTCTGTAAACCAAACACGAACATTTTGTACTTTGCAAGCTCAGACTTCATAGTCTTAATTTTTTGTTTCATTTTTTCTATATCATCTATGACCTCACAGTCATCAAGTGCATCTGCACTTGTTACACTCAATTTGGGAGAAAGCAGCCTCTTGGAACCTGAATAAGCTGTGGCTGAGTCAACGTCCTCATGTTCCATGGAATAAAACTCTTCATTTATCTCTTTTAATGAGTGCTGGATATTCATGTTGCTTAGGTTATGATGATTTTCTGTTTCTGAAAAACAGGAGGTTTGCATGTGAACAGTAATATTTACTCGTATGCCATTCTATTCTTAACACTAGAATGAATTCATTTGTTTCCATAATGATGGAGTAAAAATGTGGAATAATTATGAACTATACTATTCTTGTTTTAGACTTCTGACCTCTTTCTSTGATCTGTGAATTAATTCAACTTGCACGCCCTGTGATCAGCTTTCAAATAACCAGTACTCAAAATAAATCTGCTTTCCTTTCCTAAAAGATTTAAACTTATATTTGCTGTATTCACTCCTGAATCAGAAACTGTTGAAGTCCATTTCTTTCCAGYCACAAAGATAAGAACCTCAAACATAAGGCATTGAGATCTAAAAGTAGACTCTATGATTTTAAATAGCTCACCCTAAAAAAATCTAATTAAATATTCTTTTTCTACTCACTTCAAATATCTGTACAGAACCAGCTGGAACATAAAGCCCATGGAAGTTTAAAAAGATTAGCAACTAAAGAGTAGAATTGGAGAAAGGGACTCTAATGACTTCTTTCTAACAAGTGTCCGAAAGAAATTCCATAGGAGTGTTTAGTGTCAAAGGTTTCACTGACACTCGCTTGCCATGCACAGGCCAGGTCCTATCTGACCTTGCTGTAGGTAATGCAATCACCCCAGATTCAGACCAATCAATAATATATATTCCTACCTATACCCTGTGTGCATAGTTCTGGGTAAGCTGAGAGCTGAACATGTAAACATCTAAAAAAATGGTAATTTCTAGTTACTAGTAAATTCAATTCTCCTCTTCTACAAACTGTGCAAGACATCGCTGTTACTCAGAACCTCCTTCTGGGGTGCTGAATTTGGCATTTCAGGTCGGTTAGCCATTTTGATGCTTTCATATGATGCTTCTGTCTCCCCAAAAGTGCTGTTCACAATTACACATACTGTTCTAAGATGGGAGTGTGAATTTCAGAGCAGCTTGAAGGAAGACAGGTTTTTGCAGAAAATTAACATGACAAGAAATACATTGTTGACATATAATGTGACATGCCCCAATTACCCTTAAAAAAGATTATCCAAAACATGGTTTCAGGGAGAGGGAAAAAAAAAAATACACACATACACACCAAAAGAATCTTAAATTTTCTAACAGTAAAAATTTCTGAAAACAAAAGGAAGAAATCAATTCTATTCACGTTTAGCAGTTTGCATCATGCTTAGAAGTAAATCTCAAACAATGCAATGTAAAGATCCATTAACAAAATTAAAATAATTTCATCTAATCTGAGGTAGCTTGGCAGTCATTATATTCAATTTGGGGTTTTCTGCTCTTGAATAAATATAACATAAAACCAAGGAAGATTGAAGTTGTGATACCAGGATATCAACATATGTGAAATTAAGGCAGGATGCTGTTCTATGCCATTTGCTGCATACTCTTTTTCATGTCATTATATCATTTTTGTCATGACAGTGTAACAGGACAAAAATGCTTCCAAGCAGTCTCCCATGCACCGGAAATCAAGAAGATAAATGTAGTGTTTTTCTTATTCAGTGTAAGTTCATTATCATCTTCTGCTTCCTCTCTACCCAAAASCTCTCATCCTTTGACTTTGCAGCTGATTGCTGCAGTAAAAGCAGATGTCAAAGGTGGCTGTGAATTCATATGGAATAAATAAATAAATCAGATACTAGATCATGTTCTAAGTACCATAATCCTTACTTCATGCAAACGTTCCTGGTAAAACAAACAGGAAATAAAAAAAGATCCTAGGGAAGCAATTAGATTAGTGGCTTTAGTTTTAATGAGCCTGCTTGTTGATTTAAAAAAAAATAAKMAGCTGTCTATGCATAAATGTTTGCACACACACGAAGTGCACACATAGAACAGGACTCTGCAAAGTAAGCGACTGGCTTCCGTGAAACTGCTCATGTGACCAAGAATTACCAAATTGGCCGATCACTTTGTAGYCCATATACATCAAGTTAACTCCAAAATTCAAGTCATCCTAAAGACTAATAGAAATGTAGAAACACATAACAGTACTAAGCCAATTTACATTTTCATTAAGTGATTCCATTAGGTTTCATCGTACTTGAATGCCTTCAAATAATTCAGATAAGCAAAATTCTATCATTCAATTGCTTCAATCTGATAGTTTATAGCTAGTTGCAGAAGCATAAAGTAACAATGATCTAATTCAGAGAAGAGTTCAGAAGGGAGGACATTTGCAGTATGGATCAGGGGTAGGCACAAAACTCATTATTTTTCCTGGAAACAAGCCTCATAAATCCCTTTGATCCTTCTGAAAGCAAAACCCTTAAAAGACTAACATTGGATTCTTAGAGTAATTAATCTGTACTAGTCAAATAAATGAAATTTAACATCCAGAAATAACGGTAAAGATGACAATTATCTGGACTAAATTACTTTTTTTTTTTTTTTTTTTTTGCACAACTTGGAAGAAAGCTTGGTTTTAAAATCCTGTTTTATATTACACCAAAAGTTCTACCTTGATGGTTTTCTTGGTTTTTGTCCATGGTGTTTTTGCCACCGGTATCAGGTGCAGTATCTTGTGACTCCATCTGGCCCTCACTGTTACCTAGTTTGGTCAATGGGTCATCTGGAGAAAAAAGGGGCAGGAGGGACAGAAGGATTCAGTGAGTCAGCAAGTGACTGAAAAATATAAGTGGGGATACAAAGAAAAAAACCCAAAGTCAATGCTGTTTTCTGTGACATCGTAGAACAGGAAAATTACGTAGGGAAAAAGAGATATATACAAAATATATACACAAAAAGTTCTGGTGATGTCAAACTGCTTTTTCACCTATTTGTTAAATACATGGTCTCACTGTAAGGATAACTGCTAAGAGTGTCAAKGGCAAAGGTTGCCAATCCAAGAGGAAGAACTTGTCCCAAAATGTTGTGGCATCCCTGGGGGAACAGATGTAGGTCCCCTTTGCAATCAAACAGCTGATCAGCTTCTARGGCTGCTGTAGCAAAACCTCTGCAGCTTCTGCTTCAGACTTTGGCTCACTTGGCACTTGACTGCACCTCACTATTTGTCTTTACACCTCCTTTCTCCCCCACCTCTTCTTTGCATTTCCACTCTGCTTTTAATCTTACAGCTAAATGCATTTTTTCAGCCCCCRAATCTTTATGTAATGCACATTGCTGTTGGCCTAATAATTTGYCATATTTTGCCGATCCATACATTTTGTCAAGAGCTGAGTTTAAATTAACCCAATAACACTGCAAACAGACAAGGATGACTTGACTGATCGATGGGATATTGGAAAAAGTTATTTACGCAGCACAAACAAATAACAGTATTTTCATGCTCCCCTCTCTCCATTACAGACAGATTTCCATCAGTCTTGGAATCCTCTAAAGGAAAATTTTCACTTACCTAAACATTAATAAACACACATATACATGCGTGTGTGTATGTGTGTGTGTGCACACACTGAGAAACTGTCATTTATTACGTTATTTATGCCATGTATACAACGCACTTTCAAATCCATACCAAGCTCCATTTTAGCCGGAAAGATATATTCAGCTAACAGGAAAAAAAATCACCAAGTTTTTCAAGATCTGTATATATTTGCCTCCCCAAGAAATTTGTAAGATTAAGTAGCATTGTACCTATGTTGAAGTGATCTGTTTTACTTTCTAATACAAGAAATGGTGCTAATATTTCAAGCAGCATTGCAAGTTATATCAGCTCAGTAAGTGAAATTACTTATTTACCTCTCACTGACGCACTTTCCTGTTCAGGCTCTTCTTGACAGCTTTCAGTTATTGTTTTATTCAGTAATAACTTGCCATTTGTTTGTGGTTGAAGATGTTTGTTTTGGATTCCACATGCTTGCTGACCATCATCAAGTGCCATCATATGATGCTGCATTTGTGAATCTGACTTCTGGGTACGGGAGGTTAAAGGCCCCATTCCTAACGATCTGGATGATTTTAACAGGATGGGCAGACGGGATTTCTTGGGCAGGTACGTAGCATCAGGCTGAAATAAGCATGGGATAAAATACAGGGCTGACAGTTAGTACACAGTCAGATAAAGGAAATACAAAAAAGCATCCCAGGAAAAACAAACGAACAACAAATCTAGCAAAACATCTGCCATAATACCTGGTTTTTAATATTAGATTGCAATATCCTTATGACATGGAAAACAAACATTCAGAGGGGGAAAATATGCTGCTTATATATCCACAGCCACACAGTGTATGGTTTCTGGCCCATGAACTCAGACAGCAAACTAACCGCTTAGTAACAAAGACTTTAATCACTAGGGATATCAGACAAGCCTGAATCGGTGCCTGCTTCAGGAAAATATTTTCTCACCTAAACTGACATTTCTAACAGCTACTTCCTGCTCTYGGGAGTTACATCATAAATGTTTGAGAGCCTGGTAGCTACTACTATTAGTAGTAGTATTGTTATTATTATATGAAGATCCTCTTACCTCTTCACAAACTCTTGGATGTGAAGCCTTACTTCCTACCTGCCTTCCTTAATATCTCTGAGAAAATTAGCATAGCTTTGTGTCAACCACAGAGGAAATTTCTTCCACCGTAGAAAAGATTTTTAAGAATAAGAACAGCTTCTTCATCCATATACCCTATACATTGCTCGCACAGGGTTTCAATTTCCTAGGGTAACCACAGAAGCAGAGAGGAGCTGGGTTCAGCAGGGACCTCTGGAGATGACCTGGTCCAAGCTCTGTTAGACCAGGGCCAGCTGGGGCAGGTTGCTCAGGGTCATGTCTGGGCAGCTGGTTCCAAGGTTCAACCCCTTCACAGTGAAGTGTTTGATTACGTTCAGGTGAAATTGCCCATGTAATGCACAATCCATCACTGGAAYTGAGGGAAAAGTTAAATTCCTCAGTGGTAATCAGTGTATTTTAACCTGCCACCCTTTTGAAAACTCCACATAAAAGAAATGTGTCTGTGTTTAAACCATACTGCATAAAACAGTGCCATTTCCAAAACATAGCATAAGCCTTCTATATGTTGATGAGAGTTATGAAATTGTGTATAAAGATAATAAAAATAACTAATAGCATGTTCACATAGATTCGTTTGCTCCTCTGCTGCTCATTTGCTCTACCAGTGCCATAAGTTCCATAATTTCTTTTACCACCCAATGTATTCTGAAATACCTTTCCACATTCATTTCTTAGCAATTACAGTCTTTACACAATTTAAAATCATAAAATAGCAAGTTCCATTTTCCTAATGACATACTCAATTCCTTTTGCACATACAGAAATACAATATCATTTGGAGGCTAAAAAATAAATATAGTTGGGATGAATTTTCTCCTAGTTTTACTAAGACGCACTAATAATTTTGACATTAACAAAATCCATATTTTCATGATTGTTTTTTCTCCCTCCTGACTGTCTTTTTTTAAAAGGTGGAAAATTTGCTGTCTTTTAGGAATGCCTAAAAGACTAGGAATTCAACTGAATATCTGTCATCAAGCAAACATACTTTGGTAGTTTTTGATTATATATAAACCAATTGGTGAAGAGATTGATTTTGTGAGCTAAGTTCTTGGTTGTTCTTTGTTCTGTGTTTGGTTGGTTGGTTGGTTTTGTTTTTTGTTTTGTTTTTTTTTTTTTCTTTTTTTTTTTTTTGGTATCATCGCAACCTACTCTTAAGCTTCATCATGAATTTTATAGGATGCTTGTTAGGGATCATGCATGCCAAGAGCCTTTTCCTCCAAGTCCCAAACCATACGCATTCTTACACTCATGGAGTGACAAAGTCTTAYTAATCCTACCTGGTTTGCAAGAACTTGCTCAATAAACTAACCAAATAAGAATGATCCAGAGAGAAAAACAAGCAAAGAGCTGCTAATGATCACTAGCTCAGAAGAAATCTCTTGATCATTAATGGTATGAAAGCCACTCTCTGCAAAAGGTACTACAAAATTCTGTGATAGCAATGCACARAAGCAACTGTTTCCCTTGTCCACTCTATAACAGTTAAGATCTTCAAAGAGTTTCCAACTTTGCTTCTAAAATTGCTATTGAAACAAAATTGAACACTTCAATAGACACTTTTTCCACCTCTCTGGGATCAAAGATTGCATATAAAATTAAGGTTTAAAAAGTTAACTGGCACAAGCAAATTACCTCTGTACTCACAAAACTGAGATCCTGGTCACCTCGTTTCCAAGGCAAATATGAATAACAGCATCCAACACTTGTATAGGATACTGCTGATCATACTTCTTGGACACAACAAAATGTTAATAAAGGTAAGAAATTAAATTTCAAGTTTTTGGAAATCTATTGTTAAGTCTTCACCAGCATATTGTGAGGCATTATGCAAGTTTTCATATTTCCAGACCTCATTTGTCATTCAGACTTAATAAACTATCCATTTAGAATGTTTTGATGCTACATTTTCTGAGCATCAATATGTAGATATACGGCAGTACAGAATCAGGCTCTTAGGCTATGATTTACCCTCTTTCCAATAGCTATAGTATTTACCAGTAGCTAGCTTCACTGAGGACTGAAACTCAATTAATTAATGTTCTAAAACATACTGAAGTATAGGATGAAAAGCTCTTAACACTAAGAAAAATTATCTTAAATATATTTGACACAAATCTTCTAATTTGAAAAATTACACAAAAGCAAGACTTAGTATTAGAAATGAAACATTTTTTTTTCTCTTCTGCACATCTATTCCCTATGTACTAAAAAGAGAATCTTAACTAAACTTACTTCATTTGTTCTATTTGTAAAAATGAGTCTTTCATGCTGCTCGCCCTTCTTATACACAATTTCTTGCTGATGTTCTTTTTCTGTATTTAATCTTGAATATTTTGTTTTTTCTTCTGAGGCTCCATTTTTGCCTTCATGTTTGAATCTCATGACATTAGCATCTAAAGTTTGCGTAGCTGCATCTTTCAWTTCCACTTTCAGCAACTCAATATCCTTATTAATCTCTGGCGCTGTATCGGGATAAAGCTTCTCTTTCCCATCAAAAGTTGTTTTCAACTCTACTTGCTGCTTTAAGAATTTATTGACCTGCTTGAAATGTTTGAGTTCAGCTCTTAGTTGAATAATCATTTGCCTAAGATCTTTTTCATCTGTTTTCTCTGTATCTTCACTTGCACATTCTTGCTCAGTTGTGTTCAGATCATCTAACAGTTCATTTACAATTTTCATTTGCTCTTGTCTCCTGTACTCAGAAAGGAGGAAAGAAAAGGCATGAGTTTTGATTTTTATTTAAGCAAACATAAACACCTTCTAAGAAACACTTTTGCAGTGTCTTGACATACTTGATATTCCTAGGAGATTCTGGTTTACACACTAATCAATTAGACCAGGGTTTTGGAAACCTTTTCACAGCATGAGTTATATCATAAATTATCTCATCACTGCTTTTCTCTTATTCATAAGCATATGTACTCTACAGCCCTTTCTCCCATTCATGAGCAGACAGTAAATCAAGTGCTTACATAATACAGCAATATCAGGAATAAGAATGGATTTTCMAAAAAGCTTACTGATCTAACCATCTCAAAACAAAACTCTACAGAAAACACGGGAGACTCCAGATGTTGAGTTCTTCTGAAAATCTGTCCTTTCATTGCACATTTCTAATACAATGTAGAAGCTGGAAACTGAGAAATCACACTGCAGAAGCAGCTCACTACAGACCAGACTGCTCCACAGATAACCAGTGGTCTGCAGACAACAGTTTGGAAATTAATGTCTTAAATGAAACAGACATTAAAAAGAACAGATATTAAAACATAAGCAAGTGTTCAAATTCTACAGATGATTTCATACRTCCAGTAAGAGCCATTTGTGCCACTAAACCTATAAAGTAGCATTTAACACAAATGCATTTATATAGCTAGCATCTGAAATAGTAGATGCTAACAAGGCTTTTTATGTATTTTTCTGGCATTTAATGTTGTCAATGAGAATTAAGTTACTCAGCAGCACAAGCTCATCGTCAGTCAATCTGGTCATTTATAGTGCAGCATAGAAAAGCTGATGGTGCTGGAATCACTCATTAGCAAACTTCTAAGTCAAGTCAACAAATAGAACAACACTATATATTCATTTTCCTAGAGAGTAGTATCTCCTCATTTACCAGTTTTACTAGTGCTTTGATGACTAAAACCATTTATTCCTCTTGAAGAGCTTTAAATAGTAATGTACCAATACAGAATTGGTTAAGTCAACTGCAATATATGTCGAGCACAGAAGACAGGATTTGACTTGTCTAACTTCACAGGATATTCTAGTGATAGCACTATTGCCACACTATATATGAAAGTCATTCCCATAATACTCCAGAGGGGAAAAAAATAAAAAAAGCTATAGCTAGATGAGGAAAAATACTGAAAGACACTGAAAGAAGTCCCCCAATAGCCATCACAATCTGGAGAGAAGTAGGAATGGAAAAGACACTGAACTTTAGCAAAGCAATGATGCAGTACTGTCAGCCTTGAGATCTGATGATTTAACCATGAAATAGGAGGAGAAAAATAGGCAGGGTGTGATGTCTCTGTAGGCTTTTTCTTCCTTGGCATTGCCCAGTTCCTACAGAAATGAGCAGTGCAGCTGGGAATAATCAAGCCCCAATGACACTGTAACTTCTTTTACTCCATCCTGAGTTGTATACACATATGCTTTTTATAGCAAGTGTCCCACAAATATATGCACTATTTATTGGCCTGTGTTTTCACATATTTTAATATTAAAAATAAAAAAACCCCCATGTTTTATCATTTTAGCCTTTTAATGTTGCCACTTCCTACACTGAGAATGATGAGTTCCTAGACTAAAATTGTATACCAATAGCTTTGGAGAGGTTTTTTTTTCTTGTAATGGTTTTTTCATAAGGATTTCTACTGATAGTATGTTTCCTAATTACTTAATTGCATGATAGACTAAAATGGCTCTGAAGGCGCCTTGCCAATCTCTCAGGTAAATTAGCCAGTGCCATTATCTAAATTCACTTTAGCAAAATTACTTTCTTCTCTTTTCAAATAGAAATACTGTCAAAAGTGCTGCATATCCCTCATGCTTACCTGGATTCAAGTACAGATGTTCTATTTTCTCTTAAAAGAGATGTGAGCAAGTTTTTCTCTTCTGTTTCATGTTCGCTCATCCTTATTCTGCCAAAGTGTTTGCCAGCTGCATCATGTTCAAACTGAGGCGCATTTGGATCCCTATAATGTCTATCTTCACAGAAGCTCTCTGAACAGCCTGATGGAGTTATCTGTTAAAAAAAAAATTGTAAATACTTTCTTACTAGTTAGGTATGTTCTACTATATTCAGGGCTATCTTTCTATAATCAGGTTTTGTAAATTCTGATCTCCTTTATCTACATTATGAAGCATATACAGACATTTCACTTGCTATTTACTACTACAAATGAACATCTATTTCATATAGTTAATTAGTAGTGATCGCTTGTGTCGTAGTTTGTACCTTTTCTGAAGATATTTATCTGTGAAAACTCTCCCAGGGAGGAAGTTTCTGGAATGTTGCCTTCAAGCCACAGCTAATTTTTTTTTTATTACTTCATGTTGAATTACCTGCCTTTAAAGAACCATGTTTTTTCCCCAGGATCTGCCTTTCCAAGCCCTGATGATAAGGGACAGGATGTGCCCCCAAAGTATCTAAAAACTGCCAACTTTTTGGCTGTTAAAAGAGCTGCCTAAGAAGTTTCTGCATGTGTCATCCCTGATATATCAATCCTCATTTGAATCCATGAAATTCTTCTGTATCAATTACATTAGAGCTTAAAGCAGATCCACTTGGATACAGTTTACTCAGTAGACATTAGAAATGAGAGATTAAGGCAGGTAAAAGTCAGGAGGATCTTTACATTGCATCATTTACCTGTTTATCCAGATCATGAGGACAATCTTCGAGTCCCTTGACAAATACTTGAGGCCATATCTTGTAAACAGAAACACAGAAGTTACAAAATGTCAAAGAACAGACCATAATTCTTTAATACTACTTAAAAAAAAAGGCCATTAGCATATCACCATTTTTAAACTACCATAGATACTCACCTTGGTGCTTTATGATATTCTGAGGCCATTTGCAATCAGAATTACTTTATGATTCTATGATGCTTTATGCTACACRACTTGGGAGTGATAAGAATATGCAGACTTTAACAAGCTACCATGACGTTAAGTAAGAAGGATTCACAATGTTTTTTCATCCCTAATGGCAGCAAGTGAATCTTATACAATTTGTAGCATAGGCCTTCCTGCCACAGAAGTTGAAGATGAGTGTGTGTACATGTGCATATGTGTAAATAAATACAATTGCAACAGACTTCCTGTGGGCCCCAGTAASGAAGTCTGGGAATCCTAAAATAGGAGAAAATAAGGAAGAGGGCAGAAGCTCTCCTTGATGGAAAGCCCTAGCAGAAGGGAAATAGGGATATAGAGAAAGTTTTCAGAAACACTTTATGATAACTGTTACTTGAAAGCAAAATCAGATAGCAAGAAGAGCATTCTTTGTTTGTGAAAGGCTTTATGTTCTAAGAAAATGAGAATTTGTAAAGGGAAAAGAAATCAATCTGTAAGAGTATGAAATATGGTGGTAAAAACATATTATAATTATTTTGAAACAGTCCTACCTCATTGATCCTCTCAGAAGATTGACTGTTCTGCATCTTCTTGTCATTGTCACCATCGTCAGTCTGCATCACGGTCCCTTCTGTTATTTCAAGAAACTATACAAAGTATGGAATGATGTGAAAATGTAGCACACAAAAAAAATACCGTGATATGAAACATGCATAAATAAGTCAGTGACATGTCTTAAAAGAAAAATAAAAAATGCCTGTAATACAAAGTAACAAACACTGAATTAGATTTCTTCAATAAGATCAAAGGAAATTAATATAAAACCAGGAGTGATTCATATTAAATATAGTGCACCCACATTGAACACATTCCTTCGTTTTTATTTAACTCTCTTGCCTCTCTTCTCAAATTCTACAAATCAGATCATTTAACCACTTGTGGTAAAGGACTTCTATCCTCAGGACATGATCTCATTGTATCTATTTTCACATTTTTGGAATTTAATTTCATATCCTATACATTTTAAGTTTTTCTTCAGCATCCAAGAAACAGCCACTTTCTAAAGAAAGCACATTCAGCCTTCTATACTCTGAAGAGATTTATTGTCATGCTGAAGGTTACATTCTGCTCTGCCTTATCTAAATTTACCATAGGAAAGAAAATGGTGCCAAATCTTTTTTTTTTTTTTTTTTTTGCTTCAACAGAACACAATCCTCCTAACCCTAATATCCCCCTATCACTAATATTTCCTGTGCAAAGAGGAGGAGGAAGATACGGCTTTTTAAATAGCAGAAATCTTAAGCTCCTGCTGCAGTGTAACTGAAAGCAAGACCAAAACTCCTTTTGTTTGAAGGGACCTCTCCAGGACAGACGTGAGAGCAAGGGATGAGACACACACGTTGCTAGTTAGTGAAGCAAAGGCCACCACTGCCCGGGCTTCAATTAAACCCAAGTCCTGGAGAACATTTGTGCCTCTCACACAGACTTACCTTCTTTTCCTGGTTTGCTTCTGGCAAGAGGAGAGAATTTACCCTTTGCATATACTTATTTCTACCAGCGATAAGAAAGCCTCTGATACACAAGCAATTCTTATTATCATCTCCAGTAGTCACATTCAGGCAGAGCCTCTCAAACAACAACTTGAGAATGMAGAAAGTCTTTCACCCGCTTTGGCTCCCATCACAAATGGCCTGTATTTACACTGCCTCCCTGGGGACAAGAGCCTCAGAGCTGGGTGTCACGTTAGCTTTAGTCCTCCCAGTTTTGCTCAGATATATCTAAGTATACAGTCCATACAGAAACACATGCACATAGTTTATCCACATCCTGGTTACATCCTGGTAGGGTACAGAGGAAAAGCAGTGGTTTGAGGGAGGCCGTACATGAACTGCAGTATGTCATTTTGCAGCACATAATATATTAGGAACTCATTGATCATGAACTGCAACAAAGGTTCCCAAAGTGATGCTGATCTCAGTCCAACCATAAAGGCACTTGCTACTTATCAAGCTGAGAGAAATGAGTAACAAAATCATATGGGGCATCAATTCTGGCAGGAAGGAAAGGGCAGAGCGTGGAGTTGGGGTTCTCATTTCACAGGATGCAGTAAAAGAAAAGGGAGAAGCATGAGACTGCATAAACACACACAAACCATAGCACGGGCAGGCCTCTATATCACCACAGATGGCATCCACACAACTAAATTTAGGAACCTCTGAAATAGAATCTCAACCAGATCGGGCATTTTTATCATCTTGTTTTATAGCAACATTTCTGGATTTAATAGAAAAAGATAGTTGTTAAAGATCTCTGCTAGAGTCTCTTCAATAGCAGAAACACATAAGCAGGATGGTAAATACCAATGACGCCGTGCCTATGATATATACATAAGCCATAGATAGGCCACAGCACTGGCACAGTGCATTCAAACTTGCATTAGATAAAACTCTTAGCTTTAAAGCACTAATGGCAGTAATATAGCACTGCTATGTAGACCACTAATATTTTGGCTGACTTGAGCTCAAGAAAAATTACCCTAAGAAAAACAGAATCTTGTGCCTAGTTACAGAAAAAGCCGTAAATTGAGATTATAGGAACAGAGAGTCTTTGATGATGCACGGGAAGGAAAGAAACTGCTGYCTGGAGGTCACTGATGTGATATTTATAACTTTGAGGGATATACAGTGCAATGCTAACACTCATGACATGAAAAAGAGAAACCTGCCTGCCCAGGATCACATGCAGGAAAGTCTTAGCTCACAGCACGTCAGCCTACCTGCAGACAGACAGTTCTGCAGGGAGAGTTATTTTTACTTCCTGAGAGGCTATTCTTTGCTTTGTTTCTTTAATTAAGCATGCATAAAATGTGCATGCCTATGTAGGTAAACATGCACATATATAGAAAGATAAATGAGAAAAGCCATTTCACCTTCCAACCCTTAGCTGCATAAACAACTCTGAAGTTTGTCTATGTTCATTTGTATGTGTTATATCTACATTTAAAAATGTAGAAACTGCCTGGTGCAGTATATTAATACATTTGACTTTCAGTATTTCAAACATATATTCCAAACTAGCTTGTGATTCATGTTTGAATTATTTTTCTCTTTTCACTCAGAACTTGCTTTTCTAGGACAACACAAAGCAAAGATAATCTGAAAGCTGGAGGAAGACATAGATAGGACTGCAGTGCGTAGCAAGGATACGCATGACAAAGAATATAATTTGGCTGTAACCACTGGACTTCAAAAGCCCCACATTTACTCACAATTTTTTACGCAGGAAAGAAAGGAAAATATTAGCTATCATAAAAAAAAAAAAAGTTGAGGTTTAATCTTCAACATGAAGCTTCAGGTTAAGCCCTAACTTTGTGTATTAAACTTATTTGTGCATATAATTTATCCACTCAATGCAACCATTTTCTTATGACTCAACATTTCCTAATGTATGCCTTTCCCAGGACAGTATTTAGCTTAATGTGATGTTTCTTACAATGAGGCTGTTGCATAAGACTGACAGATTATAGTACATTATTACAGCAACTGACTGCAGTTTGAATCTTACGGTTCTATGTCTGAGGGGCTGAAAAGAAACTTTCTGTGCTCCACAAAATACAATCTAATGTTCAACAAAATATTAAAAGAAAATAGGTGGCTTAAGGCCAGAAAAAAAAAGTCTGCCGAGRATAAGCTGCCTGTTTAAAATAAGATACTTCCTTGGAGACTGAAAACCTTGAGAATGTTTTTCCTAAATGAACCACTGATATGCACAGTTTGCAAAGATCCCTGGAGCCCCGAAGGCTGAAATCAGGGAGGCTGCTTCTCTCAGAGAAAGCAGATGTTCAGAGGACAGCACAAAAACAACCTTTTTTCCTCCTCCCTCTCAACCTGAAGCAAAAAACCAGACTACTAAGGGCTGAGACCTTTGGGAGGTGCCCCGCAGAGGAACCAACATACAGCCTTATCCGATTTGCACTCCGGCTCCATGAAGGAGCAGAAAGATGGGCTGATTTTAAGAAGGACCTGAGAAGGAGACATCTTTGTGTGTCTGTTCGCTCTCCTTAGCACATATGTTAACATCACTTCAGCACTACCTGCCAAACGTTAGCCCAAAATACACACGCAAAATTAGACCTTGGTCTTTCTCATATTGGTTACGTGCACACAAAACAGTTTCACAGCACCAGAGCAGGGAAATAGCCTGCCTTTTATTGACAAGGCTGATAAAATGCTCCCTTTTAAAACAAATGTATTTAAGCATAGATTATTTAATTTTTGAGCTCCCTTGTACTATAATCATTCTGACACTGGCTTAAATACCGTATTTTACTTTTCTCCTTCCTTTACTGTAAGTTTGAGTTTTTAATACAGATGTCATTTGACCAGCTTCCCTCTYGATTATTCGAAAATCAGTCTCATGAGCATAGTACCTCTATGTTCTTTTAATGCTGATAATAAATGCAGGAGGGCTCAACGTCTTGTCCTAATATTCTTAGGATGGGACACCAATTCATTCCGTATTAAATATCCCATCTGTGGGGATATGGCACCCTCTGCAGGACCATAAACTAAATTACTTGGAATATCAGTATATGAAAAAGCACCCGCACTCTAACACAAATTGCCCACAAGCTTTTCAATGCAAAGCCATTACAATAACATGTAAATTTAGCATTCTAATAAAATCCATGCCACTCCTAAAGGTCGATCTGTAATTCACATACTTCAATTAAGGTTAACATGAGTATGTATTAAATCTGAAAAGGCAAGACTATTTTGCCACTTCTGAGAATTGTTCCCAGCACATACAAAAAAGGTCATTGCCCCTTTTTCCAGATCCTTGCAAAACAACCTGCCTGCAGAAAATCATCCATATAGTATTCAAAGTTCTAGAATTTATTCCACTCGGCACATAACAGAACCAAACTATTCTTTTTTTTTTATTATTCCTTTCAGTTTAATCCAAGATAGAAAATAAACCCTTTTATTATTTTACCTTGCTATTCCATATGTACCCCACAAGAATGATGTAACAGAAAGCAAAAAACACAACACAATATAGACGGAAGTATTATCAGGTATATTTCAGGTAGYACCTTATAATAAGCTAGAATGTTTTCTAGATGTCTACCATGGCCTGATAATCATCAGTCCCACAGAACACCAGGATCCATCATGCTGAATTCCTTGCATTAGAACTGCTTTGCATAAACTTCTTCCCTATAGCTTAAGTAGTCCTAGCTWTGGGCAAGAGAATAAAACAGCCAGCAAAGGCATTATTTCCTTGCATTTCTCAGCAATACACTGCAACATGGCTAGTCCTTCATATATATCTATACTGTACATGGAAGCACAGACATGCTTTTAAGTGGCTCAAAGTGCTCTTCTTTCTTCTTTGACCACTGTGAGTCCTAACCCTTCTGTGGAGGTAGGAAGAGAATGTGCAGAGCAGGTGAGATTTAAAACTCTTACAGAATTGGATATGGCATGAGAAGGACTCTTGAACAGAAGACAAGCAGACACTTAGGAACGGCTAAGATGCTGTGGAAGATTTTTGCAAAATAAAATTGACTCCTTCCTCCTATTTCAATTTACAAAACAAATACATCACAAACCTAATGCTGTTACCTTAAATTCAATGAAGCACATCCCTGCACACTAAGTATGATTCTCTGTTGTGCTAACCTCTTATACTCATCTAAATCATTAATCTTAAAAGTTATTATAAGGAATTAGCGATCTGAGCACCTAGGGCTTTGCACACTGCACTGTCATGAGAGATTCCACAAGGTTTATTAGAAATAATGGTCAGATTCAATACTTCAACACAGAAAACATACCTCACAACAGTTTAATATTTTTAGTGTTTCCTTCCCTTGAGAATCCGCTGTACAGAGTCCAAGCTGTTTTTTCTTAAGCTCTTGATTAATTGATTGCAGATCCTTAACCATCAGAATGAGATCAGTTACCTAAACAAGCAAAGAAAAAATCGATTAAAACTAGTAAAATCCATCCTTRGATGGAAAAAAAAAGTGATGTGCAAATCCCGAGCTAAATCTAAATTGCAGAACTTGGAAAGTTTGGCCTTTTTCACAGTATTCTTTTAATGTTACCACATATGCTCATGAGACGCTCTCTCTAAATTTGAAAACATGAATGATTGTAGTTTCAGCCTTCTTAATAAGTTGAGGGGTCAAGTTTCAAAATTCAGCAGCCAGAAGAAACTTCAGGGCACCTCATGCAAACAGGCTTACTTGAGAAGAAACATTTAGGTGCAAGGGGAATTTGCATTACAAGGATAGAGCAACATTCAAAAATACTCTGTCCTTGTATCTGTATCTCTCTTTATAAGCCACTACCATTCTGTGGAATTTAACACACATAAAAAACATACCCGAGTAGGGAATCACAAGCAAAGCTCTGAAAGAGTCATTAGAGTCACAGACTAACGCAGTAATCAAGAAGGCAATRTTTGCAGAAGAAGCTAAAATCTTTTTATTAGACCAATTAATATATTTGGAAGAAAAAAAAAGAAAAAAACAGACCACCTTTCAGGCATGCAAACCCCTTTTCAGGTAAGAAATGGTTTATCAACTTCTTTTCCTAAGGAACTTYCCTGGAACCACTGAAGGGAATATATTTAGGGATAAAAGTGGCATAAGGTCAAGCATGGGACTGAGACAAAAATCTGGATAGATTTTCTTTTTTTTTAAGCGAAACCTGTTTGGTCTAAGGCAAACTGATCTTCTTTCCTTAAGATTTTGAACACCTGCCTACAATTCAGGTGGCCATGAAAATGGATCAGAGGTCAATGCACAGGATGATGAGTTAGGAGAAAGAGCTTCTGAACTCCAGTGCTGACCCACTGTATGACAATAGTCTGCTCATTTAATCTCTGTGATTTTCAATACTCCTTCTGTAGGATGGTGATAATACCAATATACCTCAGAGATATTTTATAACATGTCATTTCTCAAAAAGATCTCTAAATCGTGAGATGTAGTGTGCTGTGCAGAAGTACAAATTATACCACTGCCACCTTCACAATTGATAGAGGGGCATGAAATATGCTTTTTAGGTTAATTACTGCAAAAACTTTTATTCAAATGGATATACTTCATGACTACTAAAACATATTATTGGGCCTGAGACTTGATTCTTGATGTCTACAATCCTAAAAAWTTTGTAGTAACTCAGCTTTCTTTTAGTTGACTCTGAAGCTCATGTGTTCTAACAAAAAAAAAAAAGCTAATAAAGAGGATCACGAAGCGAAGATGAGAATTTCTAATCCTTTCAGAATAACTCAACCATATATAAATGAGCAAAATACAATAAGACACAAACTATAAATGTAGTAGAATTAGACCATTAAAATGAGTAAAAAAAAAAAACAAATTAGTACCTTTTTCTTAAGTTCTTCAAGAGACAGCTGGTCTATCTGTAGGCCCAAATGATCGTGCTCTCCTAAACAAATGCTCATATAAGATGTTTGATCTCCACAAAAAGATAGCGTTTCATCTGTCAAAATAACCAACAATAAGAACTGCTTCAGAAACTCTGTTTGCAGATAGAACTTTTGAAATAAGTGCATATTAGCAAGTCTAGGGGAAGGCAGTTAAATTTTTCATTCCCCCAAATAACTAATCCCCTTTATTTAGTTGAAATAACTTTGTCCTTGTGTTTCTTTGCATTTCTGACACCTAGTCATGCYTTGTTTTTCTACAGTTATCAACATGAATTGTTAATGTAATTCTGAATTATAATTTGTATATTTAGCATTACAATTAGAAACATATTTTTTAATGAAGGAGAAATAAGGCATGAATAGCTTGAATAGCTTTTCTGTTTTATCCATATTTTCATGAACATGAACTCAAAGATCGCCCTCCAAAAGGGGAAGAACCAGGTTAGACAGAGCTAGTGACTTTATTTTGCTTCTGGATCAAAAGATTGYATTTGTTGAATAGAAAATAGCTACATATTCACTTCCTTTTTTAGCAATATTARTAACTTATTACTTGTTTCAAGAGCACCTGTTCATTTACAGTTTGGATGGCAAATAAGGCCATAAATGTCTCATTAAGTAGCACAAAAGCATCTTAGAACATGACAAGACATTCAAATTCTACTCCCAACTCTGACMTTGATCCCCTGGCAGCTACAAGGCCCAAAGTTTCACAAAGGATGAATAATTTTCAGGCATTCGTAGGTGCCTCATCTAACCCAATTCCCCTTGAGAACTGGACCCAGGAATATTGACAAGTCCCTTCGGCTTCCCCTTGCTCTTCATCATCTCTGTGCTTTGGAGGCTGGAAACTCTGAAATGGCACAAGCCCACCTTGCATCATTTATTGTCCCTCCAAAGGGAGGGATGCTAAAATTGAAAATCTAAGTTGAAACGGGTAGGTGAACAGGCATTATTGCTACTATACCTCCCCTGGAGAAGAAAAAGGTAAATCTGTATAGATGCAGAATACATCCTTTAATGTCCACTTGCATTCTGTTTTTCTACATGGCTTTCTATGAGTATGTATGAAAAATACCTCCAAAGAAACACAATAAAGAGGCTAAAAGGTAAGCTACATTTAAAAGTTATGTTATTTCTGAATAAATTACAAAACGGAAAACTTTGGGGGTTTTTTTTCTGTTCTCTGAAAATAATTCTTGTGTTAGTGTCTAACATTTCCCAAGACACAAGTTCTTCACTGAAGTATTGCAAAATATTTAAATKCCATGGTCAGGAAGTGATACCATGGCCACAGAATTATTCAAACCCGGACTTTCTGACTTCTGCAGAAAACAGTAAATTCTATGGGTGCAAAACTGTAGGCAGCTTGCAATGATCACTGGAGTAGAATTGCCATAGAATTACTAGCATTTGCTTCAAGGAAAGAGAAAAACTGTCCCTCTGAATGTGTCCTGATTGCTGAAAGACATTGTTACAAATATCTCCAATGATTTTCAGTACAGAAAGCAGACGTCTTTTCACACCTTTATCTACTCTCAAACATTTCTTTCCCATTACAGCAAACTKACTGTAAGAAAACCAGTCAGTTTTGTTCAAAAGGTTTAACAGAAGGGCTGAGCTAGACAGACATACAGACCTTGYCGGGTTTTAACATCCTTAATTTGATCTTCTAAGACCTTCTGCAGATTCCGATTCGCTAAAATATCTTCTTCCAGTTGTTTTCGCAACAAGGAAATATTGTTTAGTTCTGTTTGCAAGCTGTTTATACTAAAGAAAAGCAAAAATGTTAAAAAAATTTAATTCCTTTCTGTATGAATCCTCTGGAAATCACCTGTAAAAAATCTTTCAAGATGTAAATTGTCTCAATAGGTTGTTCAATGCCCAAACTTACACATGACAATTTATCAACATGAATTAATTCTGCAAGCAATTCTCCTTCCAAGGTGGTCACTGAATGCACATACTTGAGCTTTACCCATTGCCTCTCAGTTCCCACAGTATCAGCACGTCTGGTTGTCCCCTATCTAGGTCTTGCCCACAGCCTTCAATAACATCTACAAGACAGTTATGAGGAGTCTATAAAAAAACTTAAGTATATTAAAAAGATTTTTTTAATAAAAATAAATTGGCATTAATATCAAATAAGTACAGTATTACTGAATTGATTTTATTATTTTCACATTTAATTCGCTCAGAATGTCAATATTTTAATATAAGTTAAGCTGCTGATTTTCMATCCACTGTAGGAAAATGCCTAAGCACTGAAATGTCTTTCACCAAAATTCGAAACCCACTTTGCAGGAGACTACATGGCAGTACACAAGACACTTGCTTAAGAAYAACAGCACGCTGTAGAAACACATTAATTAAAAGGCAGCATGTATGAAATGATGCTCACTYGGTCTCCTGACAAGCATGCTGTTGTCAGTGCAGCTTACACAAGAAATTATTGCTTTAATCAACTCTCCCTTGCGCAAGAGTATCTTTGAAGAGAGCGATCTCCTTAAATGATGGGCAAAAATTAAGAAGAAAAATAAAATAACATGGCATTTACACAAATAAGAAAGCTGAACTCGGCAAGCTGTGTAATTCACTGCTCATCCTGCAATGCTCTATCTAGAAAGCAAGAACCATTTGCTCTGCTCCTGTTCCTGCTGAAGCTAATTGGAAAGCTCCTATTACCTTGCCGAGGCACAGTCAACTTTGGTAATATTTTGAAAGGCATTTTAAAATCTCTGCAGAAAATTGTGATATCCCTAGTAAGTCATTTTGTTGCTGACATTACTATATAGGGTCTTGACATAGTCAGCTTACCCACAGAATGTGTTGCAGCCATAAATGACCCTTTCTATGAAATCTCAAATCAAAACTCAAATCAAACACCTATGTTTGGTGATTATTCAACAGAACAAGGTGAAAACAGGCATTGCCCTTCTCCTCCAAATAAGAAATAATTTCTAAYGTCTACAGCTATTTCTAATGAAACAGATCTGAGTGTCAAAGCTACCTCGTGAGCTGGGCCGAAGCACACAATGGCATTATTATTAATGCACTTTACTCAAATACCAGGTCTTTTCTCCCTTCTGGTTCCTCACTTTATGGTTTCCAACTATACTGGTCTGCAAAATGACTGCAAAAACAAACACATTCCCACAATGTTGGCAGGTATAAGCCATTGCCTTTAGGCAGGAAGAGTTAGAAGCTGCCTCCCAAGTGCTGCCAATACCTAATTAAAATATTTATAATTGTAACAGTAAAAGCACATTTTTATATAACAATTACATTTCTTTTACCTAAAGGCGAAGAATTTTACTTATTTTATCATAACAAACCCCCTCAACTGCCAAGCAGTGATAGGATACAAAGTAGGCCAGAGATTACTGTGTTTGTTAAAAAGGCTGAAAAACATTAACTCCTGCTTCCTGATCCATTTCTGAATGCTGTACATTGGAAATATACTATACAAACTTCAATTATTCTGTTTTGTTTAATCTTCTGCAAAACCATACTTGCTTATATTATCACCATAACACTCACACTGCCACTCTCAAGGTAGATAAGGATTATCTATATTTTTAAACGGAAGAAATGGAAAATGGAATTACATTTTCAAAATGTTTCGGCACCCCAAAAATTCACTGTGGTTCAACCTTTCTCTGTGTTCCAATGAACAAGTCCCAGTCTCAATAGCTAGTTTCCTTCCATTTCCAATTGCTGGAGAAGAGGAAAAAACACTAAAAATAACTTTTCATGGACAGCCACAAAAATATTTATTCTAAGGAGATGACTATGGCTAGCTTATGCTTTATTAACCACCTCATATGAAATAATTACCATGCCAGTTAAATTACACCTTCTGACTCAGCCCTTTTATGGTTAAAATATCTAGCAAAATAGAAAATGTACTTACCTATCTGATTCTTTGAAGGTCTTCACTAAAGTAGAATAAATATTTTGCTCCTTTCTTAAAGCAAGGATCAACTTTTCATACTCTGATTCTTTTTTGTCCTACATTAAAAAGAATATACATTAAACCCACAAGGTAATTTCTGAGTTTGCACATGAAGCAATGTGCGCATCAGTGTCCTAAGAAAAGGGTGAGAGAAGTAAAAGTTCAGAAGTCACTGAACCACCTGAAAAGTTGCTCAGGAAGCTGCTGCCCAGCTCAAAAACCTAACATAAATCTGGAAAATATTCACACTACTTCAAGAAGCTGTTATTAAAGGAGGTCAATATTGCCCCATTATTTATCTAGCATAAGAAAACAACATATCTAAATAGTGACTCATCATTTTTATCACAGTCTAAATGGATTTTTTTTTGGCCCTGCAATGTTACTTTCAAAGTTTACAAAACCATAACCCAAGAGCAAGCTGGCAAATAGGTAATTCAGAGAAGTGGAAGGAAGGGAAGAGAAAACGAAGTGGAAAAGACCAAGCTCCAAGTACACCCTTTAGAACACTCTCCTAACGATCCTTCCCATGCTTTGGATTAAATTAACCTTCTTAAGCGGAGCAGTTTCTGCAAATTCTGTCCCATTTCTGAACAAAAAGGATTCTAACAAGCCAACAAATAAAGGACGAGCATGTCAGATATATATTCATTGAGTCAGCTTTCTAAATAATCAGCTCGGTCACTGAAAGTTGCTTCTTTTCTTATGCCAAGAAAAGAAAATGATTTACCTGCAGTCTTGCTCTCAGCAGGTATATTATTATTATAATAAATCAAGACTCCTCACTAAGTGGCCCCTGAAAGAACCTGAGACTTCTGGTATTCCAAAACATACACTCAGACAGCTTTTTAGAAGGAAGCAAAACTGCAGCTTTTTAAATGAATATTTGCTTGCAGCCATTACAAAGAAATATGAAAAATATCATTCTGCTCAGAAGAGAAAATCTGAGGAGTTTCTTCTGGGTATCTATAGGAAAATCAGATTTATCAATGACAGACACTATATCTTCTGTCTCTGTTTTGAAGAGTAATAGGCCCTGTTGCTCCTCTCAGTTTGCCTTTCTGACCAAAAAACTGAAAGAAAAAACAAAAAAGTTCCCCTGCTAAGGGAAAATGGGTACAGCTACAGTACAAAAAGATAACTCAAGAGAACAAACATGAAATAATTCTGTTTYCTCCATATTATAAGTTCAAGATTGGAAACAAAACTCTCAAGAGATACTGAATCATTAGTAAACAGATCTTTAACAGGGAAGCAATCTACACTCAGGAGTTTCAAGCAGCTGTTATTACTGCAATTGCAATTCCTAAGTAGGGAATTGCAACAGAAATTCAGCTACAGTAGAATCTTGCTAATTCACACTAATGATGCAAAGACTCTATTAGCTTGAAAAATTCAGTAATCTGCAAAGTAAACCTGACAAAAGCACAGACAACTGTTGTTTGCTTTTAATTATTTATGCTCATTCTTCAGCATAACAAGTATCTTAGGTAATATTTTGCAAATGTAACCAAGTTTTGATCAAACTATTCCGGTTAATCTGCACAGCAGATCTTACTACGATCCTATAAAACGTGGTAAAAAGGCAAATATAACAGGCTGAGGTAAAAAATGTTATCAGAGCGCTGGAATCTCAGCCTTTCAAGAAGGGTCACTAAACAAACTGCAGAGATTGCAATTTAATTTGGGAAAGCTGGATCGCCGACTGTTACCCTGATCAGTGACATAGAAAGTAACAGAAAGAAGCMAATTTTGGCTCACATTAGATGGTTAACAGTCGCCTAAAAGCTCTACTGAACTTTTTCATATGTCTGATATAAGCTCCTCAATTATCGCTGAAGGCAGTTCAAAACCGTGCCCTAATTAAAAGTTCTTTCTGAACCACTGGCAAAGTAATGTCACCCTGAAGACTGTATGGTACATAAATTAGATAACAGTCATCACCAATTTTTCAGGGTCTATGTCTGGTGTATTAACAAAGCAATGCTAAATAGAAGTTTCTTATGTTTCTTCTGGAATTCCCGCGTTAATTTAGTTTTACATTTGCACCAAAATCTCCACAACCTCACAAAAACCTTCCAACTCTTTTATTTTTCTGCATTATGAGAAACACGAGCTATTTCTTAAATTTGAATGTGACAAGAACACAAACCAGGACTAGGACAAATTGTTATGACTTCTAAATTCAACTTGCCAGTGAGAGGTTAGCAAAATCACGAAGTGTTCTGATTTTTCAGAAGGTTTCACGGATAATAAGGATGAGAATGTCTCTTTTCCTTTTTTCTACGCAATTACTGTCACTTCTAAATAAAGTGTGGGACTGACTTATTCCAACCAGCTCCCCAAAGGTATACAAAACATAAGCCAGCTCTGTTACTTATATAGACCATAATGCTAGGGGAGTTAATGAAACATTAAACCTCTTGACACATACTGTGAGGGGAACTGTGTTAGAGGAGATAGCTGCAAGACAAGCAGGACCATAGTGCAGTGAAGGATTTATAATCCCACAAAAGGAGGTATTCTTATGCATTAAAGTCTTTATTTAAGTTCAATATACTACTGTAAAGCAGCAGTGATGGAAAAGGTAAGTTATTTTCATTAAAAGGTTGCTTAAATTCTAAGCAGTGGAAATAAAAGGTTTATAGCTCCACAATAGGTMACTTAATGGCAAAGTCACAAGAAAATCCTGTTGTTTCACTGAATACTCTCTTGTTTATAGCAACCACATGGGTGATTTCAAAGTCCCTGAAAAAAGAGTGGATGACTGACTGACAGAAGGCTATAACCTACATCTTATCACCGATTCATCCATGGCAATTTCGTCTAAAATTGCCCTGAGCTGCATGTACTTTCTTTCACAAATGAAACACTCACTGATAACAGTAAGATTGTTACACATCATTGAGCCATCCATCTAAGAACCACAGAAATATCACAAAGCTGATGGGTCTGAGCAACGTATGGCCCTCTTGTTGATATGCAAGGCAGGAGTGGTGGACACATCTCTAAACATCACTTCATCGAGCTCATTTCTTTACGATAAAGTTTCTGCTAATATGGAAATGGTGAGATACACCAACCACATCCACTCCTATGACCAGGCCATGCTCATTGTAATAGGTTAAATGCATCACATTTAAAGTATGTGAAGATACAGATAGCAACAACAACAAAAAAAAATCCCATTTTCAGCTATGAACTCAGCTCATCAAATTAGAAATTGAACCAGCTCCCTGTCTGTACATTCATAACATCAATTTTGACGAGATGAAAGTCACAGCTGCAATACGCTGATCACAATTTAATAGACAGGACATTTGCATTAAAAAAAAAAAGCAGCCACCTCCATGGCTTTCCATAGTAAAGACGACTGGGCAACAACGTCCAGGTGACCTCAATTCCAAGAGCTAAGACGTGTCCACACTACTGCAACCACTGCATCAATTCCACCCCTGAGGACCCTCATCAGCTGCAATGCTCTGGCTACATCAAGAACTTTGGTGCATTGACTATAATTCTCCAACAGCAGCAAATTAAATATCACAGCACACAGGATTCCACAATTCCCTGATTGCACAGTATTAACTCCCTAACTACTGGAGTAATTATAACCAAAGTCAAAAAATGTGCTGATTATATAGGAATTACAAAGTGCCTTGTGACTGCAGAAGCATCAGATTTGCCTTGYAGTCTATCAGCTAAATACATTTCCTATTCCAATCTCAAGTGGCATATAAACTCACTTTCTCAGACAGAGATATCACAGAAAGACTATATTACAGCAATTATAATGATTTTGTTTACACTTACAAAAATCAATTTAGAATTAAAACTCTCACCACTGTGGCTCTTTACTGCAGCATATGCTCTGTGTAAGATTACATGCACAGCATAACACACCCAGAAGCACAACTAAAGGATTGAGCAAGAACTGCTTTTCCACATATTGCTGCGTTTCTAGATATTAAAGTGAACAGCACAGGTCTAAAAAGCTGTTAGAAATACACTTGCCTAACAAATGTCTAACATGTTTTGTGGCAAAAGCAGTACTGGCACCGAGAGAAGAGCATTAAGTGCAAAACAAACAAAAGTTTTCAAATTACATGGAGTCGGCTGCGCTTCTAAAATCACTGGCTAATGGCTAAATTCATAAAGGCCAGAATATTTCATTCGAGACTTCATAGACACCCGAGTCAGCAGTTGCATGACTAACCTAATTATCAGCCTCTTGCACTCTCGCTCTTCCTCTCTAGCCCATGGCTGTGGCTCAAGATTCCAAACTCTAATTAGAAACTGTCATTTATCTTCCCCGGCCTGGCCAAGGCACCCAGCAGAGCTTTGGATGTTGGTTGCTTTAAAATTTATCCTTACATTAAAATAAAGTAAAAACGTATCATGAAAGGGAAAGTTCTGCATCTCTCATTTCAGTTTCTTCAACTTTAAARCTCAGGGAGGCGAGAAGAGCTGGGTTTCTGTTCTCTCCGGTGGGGATGATCCAGCTGTGCGTTCGTTGAGGGTTGGTGCAGCACTGTAAAGTCATCAAAGAATCCACAGCAGCCAATGAGAGCAGCGCTGCGGCTAATCTGTGTCCAAAAACTTATGATTAATATGCTCAAGTGGGTTCTTACAGGAGGTGATCTTATAGAGAGGTTGAGCCGAGGGGACAATGGGGTGTGATTAGGTATTGTTCACAATCACCAAGTGAACCAGCAAGAGAGAATGGGTTGTGATTAGAAGGTGGATATTGGGTCATTACCATGCATGGCTTCGCTTGCCACTGTTCTCTTTTCTGGTTACATACCTCAATTGGATGTAGGGTGAAGAGAGGAAAGGTAGTGTTTGATTTTCATTAATTCTATATGATTTTCCATCACTCGCAGGTTGCTTTCATTACAAAAGTTCGATGAATGCATTGCAGTTTGTTTAATGGAAGTAAAATTTCTACCTAACCTTTCTCAGACCTTATTTTCCCTGTATATATGTTAACTTATACTTTGATATACTCTGCAGTGGATCCATGGCAAACTGTGATGAAGTTCCTTTGTTCTGAGCTTGCCAAACAAGCCTCTCAGAGAGGTCTTGCATGCACCTTTCTGTGTCCACAACACACTAMGTGGCTCAGTATAAATGTTCGTAATGTCACATAATGTATAGTACTCACATTTGCCTTTGCCATTTTATTTTAAAGTTTCTTGAGAAAAAAAAATCAGTAACAACTGACGGACTATTAAACAAGTGAAACTGCTCCCTTCACTGCTAGGACGTGTTTTTCTAGGTGAGGTTACYTTGCCCAATGCTTTTAAAGTTCTTAATACCCCAGGATGCAAACAACAGAAAATGAAGAAATGTAACATATCTTTAAAAGTGCTCATTTGTTCTCTAATCCATACACACTAATTAAACGTTCACCAACAGAGCGAGCAACTTATTCAAATCCTTCTCATCATTACATCTTATTTTCTTCCTTGCTGGTATAGAAGTAGAAAAAAAAAAAGAAATAAATCTGTATGTTAAGACTTCAAACTTTGACCTCATGTTTTGAATACTAAGCATTCTTTCCAGGTCGTGCCACCGAATAAAATGARTATGTAGTATCCACATTTTTATACATATATTTATACAGTACTTCCTTTCTTCTCTTGCTTTAAAGCACAATTTTGTTCTTACCCTAGAAGCACCCTCATTTCCAAGCTTCATTTACCTCCTGCAGCCAGTAGTTCTTTGGAAATAGATGTAGAATATTTGCTGCAAGTGCAAGCTTTTCCCCTTGTTTATTCGAAGCAGAATCTCCTCTGCCTCTCTCTTCAGAAGCAGATGACTTCCCATTCAGGAAAACATTTCTATCTACAACAAACTCTTACTTCTTTATGGTAGGCAGGCAATATATTTTACACACTTYCTGACAGTAAACAGTGCTTTGACTCCATATAAACTCAGAGCACAGTATCACCCACCCTTTTGATGCCACATAATACTACTATTGCACACTTTCAAAACATTTGAAGCCAATTAAAAATACAAGATAAATATCAATAATAAAGGGCTTATCATAATTTTGACAACACAAAACATTTTTGTGTAGGAGAAGGAAAACAGTCCTGATTTGATTTCAGTGTTTTAAGACTGGTTTATTCTGGTTAATTGAATCTCAGTCAGAATAGATTATTATAGATTAATCCTTGGGCTATGAATTCACTGGGGGAGAGAACAGAATAGTGAGAGAGATCAGTGATAATATATCAGAAATAAAATATTTATCCCSTCAGTCTTCTGTCCTTCATGATTCTGCATTTTTGGGCAAACTTTAAAAACACAATTTGCAGAGTCTCTGCTAGCAATACTGAGGTCTTCGTGCTTACATCTCTTGTAATGATATGAGACATGAAAAGACATGAGAAGACGTGAAAAATTTTCAAATGAGSTGTATTAATTTGAAGAAATAACTGCCCCTTGCCCCATAGATGAACTATGATGAATCTGAATTCACATCTTTGAAGAGGAAGTCAAAATTCTCRTCAATTTCAAATCAAAATATTTCTCTGCAAATAGTCACATTTTTATCAAACTCACCTCAAGCTCTTTGACTATCTTGATAATTGACTGCTGAGACTGTACAACACATTTTTCCTTTATTAAGCCTTCATTTTTCAACTCAAGTTCTTCATTGGCTTTTAGAAGGTTCTTGTACTTATTAATAAGGGCTTGCAATTCTACATCTTTTTCTTTAATTGTTCCATCAAGGTTCTGACAAAAGAAAAGAGATCGATTTTCAAAATTTGCCCTAGTCCCAAATAAACAACTAAAAGATGAAGACTATCCAGCAATGACCCTGCACACGTTCTTTATATATTTTGAAAAGAGGAGCCCAATTTAACGTAATAGGAACAAGAAAAGATCAAAACGAGTTTTGGCCACTATCTAACATTTCAAATACCATCAACAGGCACAACTGAGGTCATGAAAAAATAAGCAGCATTTACACATTAAATCAAGAAACTCATTTTGGTCTCCAGGTACAAAGAACAACCTCAACTACTACTTTTTGCACTCCTAACTGAACACTTTCTATGTATTTCAGAATTTTCTCTCACTCTATAGAAGAATGTTTGGGCTGTTAGCATTCAGGCGGCTCTTTTCTCGTGTATCTTACTTTGAAGGGGCTTTTTCCAAAAAATGAGAAAATATTCCAGTATAATTCCTCAAATTCCAGTTACTGCAGACAAACTGAAAATTGTAGGTACTTCAAAGCTTTTAAAGTATATCGACACAACTGAAAATTCTACGTAAGTATTAGGAAAGCTTTCTTTCCCCTCTGTCTGCACGCTTCACAAAGCCCTAGAAAGAAATCTTGCTGAATGCCACACTTTTCTATAATTAAATGTCTATCTGCAACTACAGTAATATAAAATGTGAAGGATTATCATCAAAATCAACAGTAATTCCAAATATAAATGGGATTTTGTAATAATTCCTCATACAAAATTAAATGATAACTTTTCATTTTTCATTTCAGCTTAAGTCTACCTACCTGAAGCAATAGATCCTTTTGATTGACACTGTCTGTTAGCTGCTTTATAACTAGTTCTTGGCTCTGCAACTTCTGATTGCTTTCACTCAGAAGAATATTGTAATGATGTTCAACTGCTTTTTCTTTCTCAGCCATTTCACCATGTAATTTCTCTAGCTGATTTCTAAGGTCCTACAAAAAACATGAAACTGATTATTTAGTAAATCAACTTAAAAAAAAAAAAAAAGAAAAATGTAAAAGCGACAACCCATGTTATTAATTTAAGTTTTCATCACTTCACATTACTTATATCACTAAATGGCCTGGATATTGCATTTAAGCCAGCATCTTCCACTTGGCATCCCCTGAATATAGATAAAGAAATTTTGGATGAGGCGTCCGTACTGTCATTTATAAATCTAAGTTGTTATTGTTTAAACGCTTTTCATACAAAATAACTGGACTCCAAAGCTATAGAGAATATCATGCACGTACATGTTGTCACTGTCAGAATGAATACACACTTCTGAGTCAATTTACTCCTCCGCTAGAAATAGGAGAAAATTGGTTAGGGGTAATTCAGTATGTCATTTGTTCTTTTTCCCATCACACCATGAAAATTTTTCCACTAACCCTGCATTGCTAGTTACTCCCGCATCTAAAAATAAAATAAAATAAAATAAAATAAAATAAAATAAAATAAAATAAAATAAAATAAAATAAAACATTTTGAGAAGAGCACAAACTTTGAATTACTAGTCACAAGTGAAAAATCAGACTGATGATTAGAAGTTGTGAGCAGACTTAGATCTTAAGGTCAATATCCATCTCTGCTAATTACTTCCTGCACCTCCAAGATTAGGTGCATCACGTCTGTGTCTTAGTTCACCATCAGGGAATTGTGTTTCTCTCATCCCTTTCACCTCTAAAAGATAGCCACAATCTCTTTCAATATCCATATGAAGTAGCAAGTCCATAAGAGTCTAATGGTTTTTAGCAATCAACCACGACTGCTGCAAGGTAAAAAGCAGTTGCTTCCTATTTTGCAAGTCATGCACTTTGCATGAACCATAATCAGATTGTTCTTTTTCTATATATTCCTGCAGACCCTCTCCTATTTCACCTGAATATCCTTCCTTCGAAAACGTGGCTATGTGTGGGGTTTGAGAGGCTGAGAAAGCCATGGTTCCAAGCAGTAATATTAAATACTTCCTGTTCCTCACACTTTGCTACTAACTGGGACAACCATCAAATAAATAGAAGTACGCAAGGAAATGTTAGCATATATTATTAATAGACAAATTGTGGTTGCAGAGTAGAAAAGCGCAGAGGCAGAGAGCAGTAGAACAAAAATCAGAATAGTAAAAGCAGTTTGTGAGTGCTCTCGCTTTCCAGCCTCTCTAACACCACCACTCTGTGTCAGTACAAACTTGACCTTTTTCTCCTGATTTGCTAGAGATTTCAACACTACAAATTGAAGAGGCATAGCTCGCATATACAGTGATTTTATCTGACAAAATTTTACTTTTTCAAGAAGATCTGGAATATTTGTTGCAAGGATCATGCAGAAAAAGAAAAGTAGAAACCTACAGCAAAAGAGACAGTGTCCAAAATTAAATGAAAACATATAGAAGACTTTGTTCTATTCAAACTTCTCTTCAGACCAAAAAATATAACAGCGCCTACATCTTAAAACACGTTCATTTTCATTTTATTTCTAAAAGGAAAGTGTAAGTTTTTTAAATAGTTTGTGTTTATGCTAGTCACCTATAAACACCACAGTTACCTCCACTGGGATTCAAAACGCGATAGCTGTTTGCTATTCAAAGTACAAGGAAATAGTATTAGTGACGCTTTAATTGCAATCTTCTTAGAAATTGCTTTATGTCCTTTTCTTGACCTAATTACATTGCTTCATGCAGGTTCACATCAAATTCTAACATTATTTTACTMTTCATTGCTTTAGTTCTGTTTGTTTCACATCTTACAACAAAATTAATATTTATATTGCCTTTTAATTTTTTTAATTTCAGATTCATTCTCAGGATTCAGCTTAAAAAACAAAATGACTGTTCCCAAAACATCATCAAGTATTATTCAAATAACAAATAAACTTAGACTTTCCATTCTGCAATTAATAAAGTGTTTGGGTTTTTTTTTTTCATAATCTATTTGCTTGCTTAAGAAAACTGAAGAACTTTARAATTAGTCCCAAGTTTTGTCCATATATACACAAAGTCCCAAATGTGTTTCTAGTGCTACACAATTATTAGCTACGAACACCAGATTCCGTGTAAAGGAATTCTTTCAGGAGATGGTGTAAGATCTGACAACTGCAAGGGCTTCTGGCTTCAAGTTACGTCTCTCTTCTAGGGGGTCACATCAAGTCTCTTCCCCTGCAGTTCTTGAACTGCAAGACCAACAGCAGTCCTATGATTTTCACAATGCTTTTTATTTTTATATTATCCTTTCATAATTTGATGAGAGGCTTTCAGTGAAGCTGTTACCTATTAGTAGGTAACTCCCCTTTAAAGGACCRCTTGAGGTCCTACAACTTCAAGTGACCAAAACCCCGACTTCTTTTTGTGAAAGCCATAAACAGCCTCGAGAAGCAAAGATATAGGCATATATCGCTAGAAAAGAGGCCACTGCAGTAACAGTGCTGCAGCCCATTACCTATTCTTAGAACAGGTCTGGATGTAAAATAATAGTATTTCTCAGYGTACAGCTCCTATCAAATACAGAGACCATAAGGTCTGTGCGACTTAAAAGCAGAAGCCTGGTCAAGTTTAGGGGTTGGCAGAGCATATGAATTCAGATATGAATATCAGAGAGCCTACAAGAAAGTTGCATTTTGCAGATGCTTTSTTTCTACTACACCTGCCCCTAGATTTCCCTAAATCCCTGCCAGAACAAGCTAGTGTTGAAACCACTAATTATTTTCCTTGCAGGAGCCAGATTTCTRTAACATACAAAACTATCCATCACTAGAGCAGGTTGCTTGAACTCATTGACCGCTCAAATTGTCGGGGAGAAAAACTACTGCTTTCTATACATTGAGCTGCAAGCATAATATAGTACCCACAGTTCTCGGAGCATAAACTTGGCAATTCTTTCTGCCAACCTTTCTCCCAAGAGGCTTCCCTATGATTAATGATAGTTGAACTAAAAAAAAATGAATGTGAAGCACTATAATGTAGAAGGCTGGAGCAGATGCCTCCCCCTCCTTGTCGGATGGAAAACAGGTTGGTGAATAATTAAGGCGTGAAATTCCAAAAACCTCCCTCTCAAGCTAAACTAGGAGTAGGAAGAAATCCTGCCTAATGAGTTTTTCTGCATTTCCCCAATCAACTGATCAAATATGAACATCTAGTAAGTATACTTTAATTATCTGCATTTAGGTTTTGATAGACAATAGTTACTAAAACTATGTAATCAACTGAATCTGAACAAACTCTTCAAGCTGAAGTCTCTCACTTGAGCAATCTTTCCTGGAGACAGAGGCGTATGGGGGGATGCAAGTGGCATTAAGGATGCTTATTCCTCATCAACTGTATGTAAAAAAATGTATGTCTAGAGCTTGCTGTTTCAAAGTAGAAAACCATCCAGAGCTTAAAATGAGGCAGCTACCAGACAGTTTTTGCTTTTTAAGTTGACAAAAAGGAAAAAAGGCAGGGAATGCACCCCTCCCTGAGCAAGGGCACCACCCCAAGAACATCCATTTCCACTGTACCAAGAGCTTATTAAGGCTTTTAGCCTTCTTCAGCATAGGACTGTAGTGCCCAATTCTGCTTCAGAGAGGGCAGCTTCATGAAACAAAGGTGCTTTTGCTGGAGCTTGTTTCCAAATAGGTATATATTAAAAAAAGGTCAAAATTACCACCTAAAAGATGTCATTTAAAATGTCTTTCTAAATGAAAGAAGACATCTAAAACATGTTTATTAGAAACAGGAATATCTGAAGATCAGGTCCAATTGCTAGTTTTATTCTAAAAAAGTAGATACACTGTTAAAGAGGTACCTCAAAATATAAATAGAGCAGAGTTTTGACGGCTGTCTCATAAAGGGTTCGCATCAAATCACTGAAAAGGTTTTCTATTTGTCAAAGAGCGAAATACCATAGCATATTTTTTACTCCCACACATCTACTACTTAATGGGCAACATTTTACAGCAAATGTTGCTATATTGAAATGTACTTGCTACTCTGAAATTGAAGCAGCTGTTCTGCAAGGAGTAGGAAATAGGTTAGGGATATAATTTCTTTAAGACTGCTCATCTTTTGGCAGGAAAGCTTTTCCCCAAGGAACTAATCATTTACCTGAAAAACTTGGACATAATGGAGTCAAATAGTCTTCTGTAATGCAAGCAACTTTGAATCCCTTGGCAAAGCCCTACTCAAACCTACTTTTCCACCACTTTTCCTATACACATGTATATTCTAGCTCCCCTGAAAGGGGAAAAAGGCTCTGCATAGAAAAGACAGCCAAAGATAAAAATACTTTAAATCAATAAAATATGTTCTTTGTAGCTGTTTTACTGACAGGAGCTATCTGTTCTTTCTCCCCTTAACCTCAACACCCAGAAGAAATTTCAAAGCAGAGCTAAGATTCTGTGACAGCAGCCTAACCACCGTTGACAATCAACCAGAACTGTTAGTTAAATAACTATTTTTTTTTTAAATTTAAAAAAAGGGAACAGGTTGGGGAATCAGGGGCTGGAGAAAAAGCTACTTGTCTGCAGCTAAAGAGATCCCTCTAGTGGATTTAACTGTTAGTGCAGACTTTTTGAAAGACCTCTCCATGTGTTCCTGCTTTACTGAGGTCTTTTTTTAAAATGGGGCAAAACATTTACTGAAGGGATACAAGCTCATTTAATCTTTTAAGTTATTTAACATAGCTTCTGGTTAATCTGTAGCAAAGGGGGGCAGCCTTGGTGAGCAGACAGGAGCCCACTATTACCACAGATGTGGGTTTTGCAAAAGTGTACACCCTAACCTACCGCAAGCAGTTTTGAGAAGATTTAAGGTGTGAGGGGAAAAAAGAGACAGACATACACGTGACAAGACATACAAGTGAGAAGCATGTTTTATGCCAAGCACTCAGCAGGAGGTATAGCCTTTTTTGAGAAAAATAAAAAAGGAAACCYGATCTTTCGTTTTGTTGACTGAGCTGTGCTTGCTGGAAGCAAATGTGCTTGTCTAGATATCTAGGGCAAGATGAAAAACCTTAAACAGAACACAAAGCAAGCAAATTAATGGAAAGAAACAGCACTTTTTTTTTTTTGTAAGTTTGGATCAACTAATTCTGTGTTTTTGAAATTTTACAACCAGAAATTGCTGCTAAGTACACAGCCTTCACAGTGACCAATCTATGATGGCAAAAAGCAAGAAGTTTGGCTTAAGGTTGAAACAATCATCTCCTCACTCTTGTGCAGCATTAGAGCTGAAAAGGAAAAGAGTTAAATTAGCATAATGCTATTTAAGACAATTTACAGACACGTAACCTGACAGATACAGTAAATTCTAAAATATACATCAGCATGCATGTTAAACTCTTAGGAAAACTGAAACCAATGTTTACCATTTACCACTTAGACTAATGATATTATCTGGGATTTAACTAAAGGATTCCAAAGATGAGATTTACTTTTAAGTTGTTTGTGTGTGCAGACCACCTGTCAAAGRTTTTCTTCAATCTCCTTGGCTAGTCTTTTGCACACTGACTATAGGCAAACGCATTTACCTTTCCAAAAAGCATTCAAATAACTTTAAAGAAGATAAATCTGTTAGAAGAGGGCATATTAGAAGTAGAATAAATAGCTTTTAACTTTTTGAAATAAAAGAAAAAAARTGATAATAACATTAATGGTTTTGTCACTTCTGCTCTTCTGTAGCTGTGCTTCATCCAGCTCCCTTTCCATCTTCTCTCTTTCTAAATTCAAGTCATTTAGCTCTTGGTCCGTCCTTTTAATTCTCCTTTGTAGCTTACGGTTCTCAGTATCCTTCATGAGGTTTTCTGAACGCAGCTCTGCTAGAAGAGTTTCTTTCTCCATCAAGAGGGCTTGATAATCCTCAGCACCCTAAAACATAAAGCAGCATCCAAGCTCTACAGAGATACTTCATGCAGAATGGAAGTCTTCACTTTTCTACTTTCCCCGCCCAATTGGCCTGTTTCGCTCTTCAGTACACAAGGTACAAAACTACAATRAAAATGCCAGTTACCAAAGTGACCCAGAAATGTTATATTAGTCAACTGAGAGGCTTTCCAGTGTAACAAGAAGTCTGCAGTGACATCCTGGGTAAGATAAAGAGTTTTGGGTAAYTGAGTTTTGGGTAATTAAGAACTTTGCGGAAGGTTGGTCCGCAAAGGAACTCATAGCAAAAGTGAGACCATTCTATGAGGTATGTGAACCAGCATTTATATATAAAGTCTTTTCTTTTAGATCAGTTTGAATCTARACTAGGTCAAGTAGCTACCAAGTCTATTCATATTTCATGTAGAATAAAGCAAGGGCTACGTCTCTGTAYGCCCATCTCTTGGGGCTAGGCATCTCCTTTATGTTTACAATATAGATGGCAAAAGTGGTTATTTATGCAGCTTGGTCTGCTCACATAAAGAGAACCATCTTCACTCAAAGTTKTGACTAATTAGCAGAGCAATAATGAAAAAATGTTTGCCATGTTATCCAAAATGCTACAGTTCCTACATACCRGAGGGATTAGTTGCAGAATTTTTAATGTAGCACTTTCCAAAATAATCAAAGTTGCATAAAAATGAAAGTTATAGTGATTGGGCAATACTCCAATAAGCAGGACTTCCTTGGTATGAAGCTACAAAGGGACATGGCTTAACTCTTTTATGGAAAGAAACTGACATAAAGCCTCAATTCAACAACTATTTCAGCTTCTTTGACATTTTTCCTCTTAACTTGTCTTTACACCTTTCTCCCTTAAATCTCAGTAGCTACAGGAGAAAAAAAACAAAATAGCTAAAATATACATCATATAAACAAAATTACTGTAGGCAATTCATTCTGTAAGAACATTCTGTTTAAATGCTTTAGACATATTAAAAAAACCTTCATTCCTTCACTTTCAATGATATAAAGCAACACTTCCTGCGTGGAGCTACGGAGAAGGAGAGAAAGGAAAAAAAACATATCTAATTGTCTGCTTCTTACCTTGAATTTTTGGATGTGTGCTTTGTGAGTTGCCTCTCTTGCCTTTGCCAATGAAAGATTTAAATCTTCAATCTCAGAATTAAGTTCTTCATTCTTTAAATAAAGTAAAATGAATCCTATGTAGAAAGAGTTATTTCCGAGGGATGATGACTTTGTAATAGCTCTCACGTCTTACTATCCTTTTATCCAACTACACAAAACATACTTTAAATAAAAACACAAAATACATCATACTAAGCCTTATATAAGAAACTTAACTCTACATACTCAATAGAATTAGCATTTCCCACTATTCCACAAAACCTCAATTTCATTTGAGGTTGACCTCTCCTACTGAAGTTTACTTTACATGTCAACTCCACTTATTCAGCAACACAGAATACCTCTCATACCTTAAGTGATGTTCAGAGTTGTTGAAAGTATTCAACTGAAGACATTCTCCAAGCTCTTAAGGGAGAAAGCATCAGTTCAGCATTTTTTTCCTCCCCAACAGTCCAACTCAAACTCTAGATAAACATGACAGCTTTCCAAAGAACTGCCTGCTTACAGCTGTATGACAGCAGTAATTCAGGCCTTATTAGAAGTCTCCTAACACACACCCCCAGTGACAGTTCTGCGAAGTTCAGAGTTATCATACCTCTTTTGCTTTTCCTTTCAATGCAACTGTTAGACCTTGAATGGTTTTATCCCTTTTCAAACCATTTTTCTTTTCAACAGCAAGCTCATTTTCTCTCTCTCGGAGCTCTTCTTGAAGAGACTAAATTAGATTATGTGAAAGTTGCATTAACTTCCTACTAAGAGATAGTGTAACTACACATTAATAAGCATTCTGCCTCACAGTTCTTATATCTTTTTACTCAAATTACTAATATAAAATACAATTTCAAAATGCGAGTCATCTTCTTAAAGATGTGCCTGGAATATAGTAAAAGAAGCCTAACTTTGTGTGCTGGCTATGACTATCAGCTACGAAACAGCTTAAATATTTGACATAAACGCCTATCAACTTGACTGAAATTCCTTTCAAAATAAAGCAAGCTTTCTCATCATCTAACAAAGGATTTACTGTAGACCTTTGCTCTTTTTGAACCAAGGTCTCTCCGTATCTRTGAATGGATAATAGGACAGATCCCATCATGCGTTCCAAGTAGAGAAGGGGGAAAAAACCCACAAGACCAGACCTTACCTGAATTTTTTTCTCAAAGGAATTTCTCTYATCTTTAAGCTCTGCTCTGATACTCTAAAGGAAATTAAAAAAAAAAAAATACCATCAAGTAAATTCACCCTAAGCACAAAGGTATCCCATTGAGGAACCAAGGGAATAAGAGACCACTAAAATTAAAAGCTGACTTAGTCACCATCTTCTATAGACTACAAAAGTTATTCCTTGATTTCATTCCATGAGAGCTTCTGTCTACTTCTCTTACCAAAGCTTTTCTCCAGACCACAGTAGTGGGAAAACTTTTTAAAAACCAACTCTCAAACTACATTCTGATCTCTGCAGAAGTTAAGACATCTTTAAAAAAAAAAAATCTATTCACATGTAGCATTTTTTTACATATACATCATTAAATATCTACAATTACATAGGGATGTAAAGGCAATGTAGAATAGGACTTGTCCATGTAAAAATGGTAAACATATATAATAGGAATGAATACTAGCAGCCAAACCACAATATGACCAATATAGTTTAATAAGATGGTAAAGAAAGAGCCATTGAGAGAGGTCTTTAAAAAGTGGCTCAAGTCACTTACATACTGTCATGAAAAATAACTTTAAAATCCAAGCCACATGAATTTTATAATTTAAAACTGTTCAGTCTCTTATCTCACCTCTATCTCACCATCTTTTTCACGTCTCAAAGCAATGGTAAGTTCTCTGATTTTTTCTGCTGGTAAGCTGCCATCATAAGAACCGTTCTGAGCCTTTTCTTCTTCAAGGTGTTGAATTATGGCTTCTTTATTTTTCAAGATCAGATTCAGTTGCTCTATAAGTCTACAAATGAAAGATTTTTAATGTTAATCTTGCATCATGTACCACTATTAGTACCCTCCAGTCCAGATTGCATGTAAATCCTACATACATCTTTCCTAGGTCAAGACTCCAGACAAAACTTAGTTTGGGGAGTACTTTCAATGGAAAATCCTTCTCCTTCCCAAAAAGCCAGAAAGTCACCATAATTTCAAGCAAGAAGCAACTGAGCTGTCCTCAAGGTGCTCATTTTTGTTCTCCTGCAGTACCATTTCAGAAGTAAACACTTCGTTTTTTTTTTTATACCATATAAAGCAGAATATAASTAGAAATAAGTAATGCTTATCAATACATTCCCACTTTCTAGCGCATACAATACTAAACTTGATGTGCCATTAGTATCCCCCATACTTTCATTTCTGTTTGTAAACTAAAGTAGCCTTGCAGCTTCTCACACAGATCAAATAAAACCACACACTTTGGCAGTTTTTGTCTGACGGGACATGGGAGGTGAGCGTGACCAGGCAATCACCAAGCTTCCTGACAGCTCCAACGGACTTTAAAGCTTTCTAGCATTAGATGCCAGCTGCAATTCTCTTGATATTTTGTAGCCTAGATGGTGAAAGCATCCGTAACGACAATGCAAATTTCAGATACRCTATTCCCAAACAAGTTCAGATTTTTAAAGCACACTGATACTCTGTTCACTTCAAGCAGTCAAATATTGTCTTCTATTAGCACTCTGAGTTTCCAGTCCTGAAAAGCCTTAGAGTGATCTATGTGAATCTAATTACAGCCAGTCCCATGAACATTGGATCACAAAATATATAGGACAGATTATGTTTCTGAACTCCACTCCAGTGATCCAGCACCAACAGCTTCTTTCCACACTTCTTAAAGCACTCTTTTCATACAAGCTACAGAGCTGGAAGTTAAGTACCTCTGAAAGGGACAGGTTTTATAATGCATTCCCCCCAAGCTCAAGTCAAGCAGAAAAGCAATTGCCATCATGTAGACAGAGTTCAACAGAAAGAAAGACAGGAAAACATAAAGTAGAAGGGAGGGAATTAACCTCACAAGAGGTTGTAATTACYGTGGTGTTACTTAAGATACAATATCAAAACCATTTAGAACAATTTCAAAATTTTTATGCTGCTAGAGTGTAGTATKAGAATACTATGAAAGCAAATGTAATTTCTACTCAGCAATAGCTCAAGCAGCAGCTAGAAGTCAGTGAAACAACAAAAACGGAGTGGCACGTGCTCACATCAAATGCATACAAGTTTTTTCACTTTTTCAAATCACAATGGACAATGATTCTGCTAGCACACAGCTTGTAAACTAGTTGCTGTGTTTATTTAATAGCTCATAGCCAGTAATACTCACTCATAAGGTGAGAACAAACCCTTAAAAAAAATCAGTATCAACATTGACTTTGGAGAACTCTTTAAACGTTAAAGTTCCCACTGGTTAAAAGCATTGCCAGGAAGAATTCTGACCTGTCCTTCTCGGCTGTAATCACATCTACGTCCTTTGGCTGTGTATTTGTCAATGAAGCAAGTTTCTCCTCAGCTGCCATTCTCAGAACTTGTTCCTTTGCTGCCTTTGCAATGGCTTTTTCCACCTCCTCCTGGGCAGCTTTAAGATTCTGTAATCAAAACATGTAAGAATAAAGTATTCACAAAGTTTATCACATTTTTCACAACTAAAAGGTAATTTCCTCAATTACCTTACAACCTTAACCACAGGCAACAAGGAGTTCACAAAAATACCCTATGAAATGGTATAGGAGCTCCCACAGCAGTGGTTTCAGCTGCTTTGGAAGATGAGATCCTCAAAAGCAAGCCCCTCTCTCTCTCAAAAGAGGATATTATAGTTCTAGAAACACAGGCTCTTGATGAGAATTCAGAACTCAAGGATTTGTACTGCATGTATCCAAACACCAAAAATGTACGAGTTTGCTGAAGACTTCTCATAGTCCAGATTTCTAGAGCTGATAAAAACAGGGGAGAGSTGGGGAGAAGGAAAAGGGTTTTTTTCTGTTTTTGTATTGACTTYTTTGCAGGAAAGCTGAAACAATTCTAGAATAACTTAGAAGCAGATCATAGTATCAAAGGTAACCACAATGCAAGATACGCTAATTTCTCTTTCTTTAGACACTTGCCTCTTCCAGAAGGTTTATTCTGCTAGTCAGGACTTCTTCCACTTCTTGTACCTTCTTTTGTGCCTCCTCTTTGACACGCTGTATTTCAGTATCACCGCCCTGGGCCAGACTTTCAACCGCCTTACTGAAAGATCATAAAATAGATAGAAATCCATCATTTAAAAAAAGAAAATGTTATCAGTAAAACATCACTCTTCATTCTCACATGCTCCTGCTCAAGAGAAAAGGTAATGATGAAACATTTTTATGTTTTCCCTAAAAGCACTTTTACATATCAGAGTAGGAAACATTTAAATGTAAAAGCCTGAAAGTTTGCACACAAGCAAATGGCTTCCACTTTATCTCTACCTGCATGTCACTATAGGATTAAATACAAACACCTACAGGTTATAGAGCAGTTGTTGGGATATAACCTAGATTTGATATCAAGCAATGAGTTCCACACACAAGCCTCGCCACAGTAGACAAGCAAGCACTTTTTTTTATAGGTAATGAAAAAAGAAGTCATTGCAACATTTCTTTCATATTTTTAAAACCTCAGCATACAATATCAAGCCTTTGGCAAAGTTGTATTTTCTACAAACAGTGGCTCTGAAATAAASTGAAGATTTGAAACTCCTGAAACCTCTTCAGCTGAATCTTCCTTGTCACTGCTAATTCCTTGTAAGAAAGTGTTTGCTTACCAAAAAAAAAAAAAAATTTGTTTGTAATCTTCTCCTTAATTTTGCTTCMTATGATGAAGCAGTGGAACTTCTGTAATAGAAGGGTCCCTACAAAGCATGTCCATATATTGGCAGCAAATTAGAGACACCAAACAAATCAATTTGGTGCTCAGGACCCACTTGAAACTATACTTTAGTTCTAGACTACGGAAAGAGGCTAATTAGTAACAATTTAGGGCCTTGTGAGATAGAGCACAGAGAGAAAAGACCACTGAAACACCGACCATACAACAGTTAGTGGCCATCACTCACTGCCAGCTTAGACTTGTTTTGAACCAGACATTTCTAGGGAAAACAGYTTAACAGACATTTGTCAACACCACAGCCATCAGGTCCCTCATTGGGCCATATCTTGCTAATACCGTAAGACAATTCAGCACTACACAGTTTTTAAGTAACATTKATTAAAAAAATAAAATAAAAGCTCTAGTAGGAGAAAACAGGGTTTTTAACTCATTTTAATATTAGGAACACAGTTATGTCATTCATTCTAGACTAGTTCTGAACTACTCTTACAGCCACCACTTAACAGGGTATTTTTGTCACAACTTTCCAGTTCAGTAAAAGAGTCCACATGTTGAGACAACTGAGATCTTAGTTTAACTTCTACGAGAATAGGAATGATAACCCAGTTCCAACTACATAGCTACACTGATTCGCCTGAAAAATACACAGTAATTAAGTATATCATAACAGGGTAACACTGGCTGCTGTTACTACATTAACATCGTTGTGTGTTCAAGAACTCATTATGGAGACTAAGTGTCAACTGAATGAAACAACTTCTAGAGAAAATCATCAAAATATTACTTGAAACTCTCACAATCTTAAAGCACCAGAGGGGATATTAAAAAAAAATACCCAGTGCACCTCATACTAACTTAGAAGTAAGCTCCTGGAAGTCGCAAGTAGGACACCACAATATCTGAATCTTACCAATGTACTGGTACTTACGAGGCTTTGATGAGTAATTTCTCTCTCTCCTGCAGTTCACGCTTCAGACTTTCTATCTCAACTTTCAGCTCTATATTCTAAAATACAAGAATGAACGTGACTGAAAACAATTCAGAGGTCACCATACTCCATAGTTAAGGCAACATACAGGTTACCTTTTACCTTGACAAGCAAATTAAAGTTTCACTGAGCTCAAAATAGCAAAAAGAGGGAGAGGTCTTGGGGAGGGTGGCACAGGAAACAGGAGGAATAAAATGATTTTTAGTCTTTTAAGAAAGTATCTTTGAGGGTTCAGGACTTTCAAGAACGGAAAAGAACTTCTAGGATCATCGTATTCAAACGATACGAATCTCCAAATACAGACACACACAATTATATTAGGAAGCAGTGTGTTTGATTCTTTTCCTTGAGTTAGAAGATTTCTTTCGTTTAAACTTGGGAAAAAAAAGAAAAAAAAACACAAAAACAAACAAATAAATTACAGCTTAAGTTTTAAAGAAGTTTAGCTATAGCCTTAAATAATCTACTCATAACTTTAGCACATAATGCACAGAGAAGTATCTGGTTCACAAGTTCACAATTTTCAAATATATATGAAATTGGAAGACCCCAGCATGGAGGACAAGACAGGAGACCAGTGAGCAACATTTAGTTGAAGCCATGACCTAACTGAGCATCAATCTATGTACTTAATTATTACAGCAACCACAGAAAGAGATAAATTTTCATCTTAATATGGAAAACTGGAAAGAGATGTCGTGCTGCACCTGTTACTAATATAACACACTAACGGATTGCAAGCAACTTCTTTTCTCCTGATAGGATGCAGAGGCTACCAAAAGACTTAAGAAATGCTTCTSATCACCCATAAACCTGAAGTAACAGGGACACAAGACTCAAATCCTTCTTCCAACTTAAACACCAGTTGGTTCTGCAACTTGACATGCAAAAAGTAAAAGCTTCCTGAATCCTATAGGAAACTGCATTTTTTCAGTTCAGAGCAATAAAACTGGCAGTAGACACAACTCTAACATAGCTTTATCTATATGCATCGATCAAAACAATGCCAGCTCTGCAGGACTGGAAGATCTACCGCTTTAATCAACAGACAGCCATAAAAATAGTGAAACAGCTTTCAAGAACAGCTAGAACAAAGGGGACCCCTCCAGTGAACAGTCAGAGGTCAAGCTGCTACCACAAGCACTGGAATAGCCAGGCAAATATCAAGTAGCTTTAGTGACATCTGATAAGAAGGAAAGAACAGAGGATTGAGCTGAGCTCCCCAAGAGCAGTAAGCAGAATCACTACATACCCAGCTCAGAAGGGAGCACGTTGCATCTTCTACTCTCCATTCTCTTATTTCATATGATTTCAGCAGCAAGACTCAAAAAGATCCACAGCCACATAAAATCTCTTAGCCCACCCCGTAACTACGTGCATAATTGCTTCTTTACTGAGAAAGAGGTTATCTTAATTCCCTTATTACTGAAAAGAGTTAGGTTGAAGAAAATAARATTAATCTAGAATTTTCAATTTCAAAAGATACTTCAATAAAAGTTGAACAAAACAGATAAGAGTTTGTTTTCTGTGAAAGCTTAGTGTTGTTTTAAACAATTTTAAATGCATACAATTTTGTAGATTTCTTCAGTGCGGCCATCAAACTTCTGCTGCATGCGCTCCTCCAGAAAATAGATGCGAAGTTTCAGATTGAAGTTCTCTTTCTTCAGATCAGTGATTTGCTGTAAAATAAGAAGAAAATAAGCAAGCTATACTTTTTTCCCCCCTCAAGCCAAGTAAAATAACCACGGGAAACATCTGTCATATTTGCTTTTGGTTGGTTTTCACAGCGCAAGACAAAAACTAGAATTTAACCAACTACAGAACACTTAATAACATCATACAATACTCAAGCTAAAAGGGAGAGTTCTTCCCTCCAAGACACTGTCACCCAAGTAACTGCAAATATTCCAAGCTCTTGAACAGGTTTTTATCTTGTGCTCTGGTGTCAGCACCTACACACAGAACTTCTCTTCTGCTCCTCACAAACATAACATACTATTAATCCATCTCCATATTTCTGCTGAAGTTGAAATCACATTCTAACCTAGCCATCCTGAATATAGTCTTTAAAAGAATACAGATACACACTTGATATATTAGCCTACCTACATTTAAATTATTATATACTTAAATGTGCACACATGTTAATTGTGAGGTTAAGTGCTTAGCTCAGCTTCTCAGCATGCTCTTATATAGATAATGCTCTTTAGCACTCAGAGAAGGAATATTCTGATAGTATCAGACTAGGCACAAAGAATCCGCGAGTTTAATCCTCTTGGTTTACAATACTAAGTAGATCTTCCTTCTAAAATATACAACTTGAACAAAATATTATAAAATTAGAAGCATTTTCTTGGCAAAGGTTTGGGCAGTAGCATATTCACGAGAGAAAAAGGCACAGGAGGACAAGACAGATTAACTTGATCCAACATCAATAAAACTTTTACCCCATACTGTATTTTATGATGCAGTTCTTGGGGAAAAAAAGACTTCCTTGTATATCTGTCCTTCAAAACACGAGATTTTTAACTTTCCAAACAGAAGCAGCAACATAGTTAATTATTTCATTAAAGAGTCTCCTTCTAAAGCTTAGAGATTAAGTGTAAAACTTCCATTCAAAGAAAACTAGTGTCTCCTGTCAGATGCCTTCGGCAAAAGGAAATCTAATATGTTACAGAGCTACTAATAAAATATTTATTTAAGCTTTACTAGAACAACAGCACGGCACCACTTGCAAAAATTAGCAATACAACTTTTACAGTACTTAGCATGTGCAAATCAAGGAAAACTATTTTCTGTATTTGCACTCAACGTGCATCTATGGACGATCCCCTAAGTTTAAACAAGCTTTGCTCAGTAAGAAGCCTCATTATTCACAGAAGACCAACCAAGTAGCTAACAGGTCTGCACAAACCTGCAGTCTGTTCTCACATGCTGAGAAAGCCTGTCTTTAGAAGCAGTAGCAACGAATATTTAATTCATTATTTCATCACTGTTTCCCTACAATTCTCATTGCATTCAAGAGAAACAGCTCAACTTGGTGTGTATAACTCATCATTGTTTAAAACACAGTATCACACTACCTTAAACTAGAATAGCTCTTTGAAATATGCTAATGGCTGCAAACATTAAATTAATGCAACTTTGATATAAGTTAGAGCACAGTGCAGAATGGTGCTCAAAACCCAAGCCCTTATTTGGTTTAAACCTAAAAACGAAAGTTTTCTGAAGTGAGATAAGGTTGCAATATTGACCCCTCAAGGGCTAGATCCTGTATATCTTTTCTGCTGTGTCCTGCTGAGTTCAGCACGACTGCACAGCTCATGAGAACAGGACACACAGCTTTTYTCTTAAACTGGCAATGATCATTTCAAATCATACTCCGAAGGCATACGAGGTCAACCTCACACCTTGAATACATTTCTCACTTAAAAGGAAAAATAGTCTCATAACAATACAGCATTACCTTAATTCTATTTCCTTATTATGTCAGAGATAACAGAATTAAACCAGAGAACTTAAGGGTATTATTTTCAAAATGCAAACAAAACATACTACTAAATCAAGAAGTGAAACGAATGTGGTCTCTGACATTTCTCAAAGCCAAGTTAACTCAAGCAGGCTACATTTAAAAGTTACAGCTTAATAAAAGATAATGTGTGAAAAGGGAGTAAGGTAACATCACAAAGAAATTTTAATGATAGTCCTCAGCTTCTGTATTTAAAAGCTCAGTCTTAACTCCTTTCACATTTTGGTACCTGTAGTAAGGGAGGAAGGGGGGAGGTTAAAAAAAAGAAAAAAGGAATGAAAGAAAAATGAAAGGAAACAGCAGAGACTTCTTGAAAACTAGAACAATGCAAGTATTTTTTACACAGAAAATTCCACACCGCTGCATGGTAGCGAATACCACATGATGCCTAGATCAATTTAGCTCCTCCCCATGTCTGGTTAGAGTCACCTTCATGCAAAATGGTATCTGTCAGCAGAGGCTGTGGTTTCACAGCACTGTACGGTTTTTGCCAGCAGAGGCCATTTGAAAAGACTGTAAAGTAGGTTTGGGGAGACAAGAAAAAGTAAGCCCACGAAAATCCCTTAGTTCCCTGACTGGAAACCATTTGTCCTTCCTGTTCAAAAGCATCTAATAAACCATGACGAACTCCTTAGCTACAGATGTCTTTCATTTCGCTCATGTAACCACATCTCTAACAGCACATGGTATTTATAATGTGTCTTGCTTTCTGGCAACAGGAAAAATAAAACCTACACTTCTGATGTTATCTAGTTCAGCATAAAAGACACAAAATAGACCTTTTCTACACAGATCTACCCATTATGTCATTCAAGGATTACTACATCACACTTCCCTGAACTGCAAGATAAGGAGCCCACTTTATTATTTACTTCTATTTTGCATAAATAACATAGCCAAAGAACAGAAAATTCTTGCAGCAGTATACAACATGCCATCTCCCAGCAGGAACCACCAACAACCTTAAGACTCAAGAGTTACAGAAGTGTCTTTGAGTGCCTGCAATGGATTCTTCGATTACTTCAGTGCATTTTTCAGCTTCATAATAGCTCTGGCATCCACAAAAGCTCATGAGAAATACTTTTTTACAGATGAGATTTGTATATAACAGGAAACCAGAGGTCTCTGAGAAGACTCCCTACTCCTCTAAGTCAGTACAAAGGCCCAGGCTGAAATAACACTCATCTCCAACATACCTCAACTTGCATTGCCTCTGGGTCACAGGTCAAAGACAAGGCATAAAGTCTTATGCTTATGCCAAAAGGAAAACAAGTTCCATCAGATGRATAGACTACAATAGATTTTATCCTCACGACTACAGCTTTTTTCCATACAAAAAGGAGAAAAAAAAAAAAAAACACTGCAGATGATAAACCACTTGCAGAATGCATATTCTACACCGAGGTCTTTGGTAGATGTCATAGTCAAGATATTAGTCATACAGTAATACCAAGCATGACATTTAACCCCCATCCAATACATGAAAACAGAAGCAAGAAAAAAGAAAAAAGCATCTGTAAAAACATCTTTCACCAAAGTCTTCCAAAATAAGCTTTAAATCCTAATTGAAGAACATAACTTGATTTTCAAACATATGTAAAAAGGCTACAGGAACCAGAAGAAAAAAAATAGAGTAGAATGTTTATTTCATACATAATCTATGTATGTATGCAAAATTTAACAGCAGCTATAGAATCATTGTAAAACCTGCAGACACCTGAATATATCCCAATTGCTAGCAAGCTACAGCCTCTAGTTAAGTAAATGAACCTTTGTCAAGGTATTTCCCTTTGTTTTCTCCTTTAAAGTTAATACAATAAAATTTTAAGGAAGTTTCATGCTTCGTTTAAGAAGATTCAAACACAGGTGATCATGCCTTCATTTCTACAGATCTATATTTATGGAAACAAACCAAAKATCTGGCCCAGAAAGGCTGCCCTTAGCCAGCACACTACGCATATCCTTGTCATGGTTCCGTCATGGAATCTTACATTAGAAGTCTACTCACATTTTCATAGTCCTTCATGGTCCGAGCTCTAGTTGGTGAGACTGTATCTTCTGCCACATCTGGTAACACTAGGCATTTGAGAAGACAGAATAAATTTAGACAGAGAAATCAAATCTAAGCTGGGGTTCAATCTGCAAGTAGCATGGGCTTGATTTAAACACAAAAGAAATACAACGCTTTGAGGAAAGGGAGTCAGGAATTTTTATTGTTCCTTTTTTATTTTGTGGATCAGTGCTACTATTTAGTATCTAGATTTCTCTCTTATCACAATCATTTTATCAAGCAAACTCCCAAATTCCAACATCACCCTTCTAAACCATGAGCTATGCTAAAAATTAAGCTATACACGGTTCAGCTTTTAGAAAGAAGTCAAAGTAACTCCAAAGGACTCCCATTTTAGAATGAAGTCTCAATAAACTATTAGAAAGTGATCCAAATCATTCAGTATCCTAGCAGTCACAGAACAGACCTCCAACTTAGCCTCAGGGAAGCCATAAACAGAACCAACTATTATCTATATTCATAAAATGCAATATACACATACAAAAACTTCTTCTGTTTGTATACACATTCTTAACAGCTACATTTAATAGGCGTACATAACTATTCCCAACAACTTAGAACAAGATAGCCTAAACATGTTGTATTCATATCTAAAATGCAAACAAGTTGAGGTCTCAGACTGACCTTCACCCTACTAGAAAGGAAGTATTTCCTTTAAAGTACTTTTAAAACTGTTATGCGACTGTGTACATTAGTCTTTAAAACGCACTAAAGAATGCCCTCAAGTGGTTTTTAAATCTTCTAATTAAGCTCCAATTAACCTCACAAGACAGTACTCTTTAAGCGTGTGCAGAATAGTCTCACTATGTTATGGTCTTGATATGTTTTTTATTTGCTTCTATTCACAGAGAAATAGGTTTTCTAGGGAAACTCATTAAAAATGACTCCCTAGTTTCTATTACCTACTTTTAAGTAATAAAGTCTGCAAAGTGATTTGCTAGAGAAGTGCTTAAGCAGAAAGAAATCCAAGACCTACAACTGAGGAACATACAGAATGGAGGAGAGTTAAATAGATTAACTTTCTGAATAAATGAATAAAAATGAATTACAGCCCCCATTTTACAGGGACCAGTAAATTAGATAGGGAGCATTCCTACTGAAGGAAGGAGCAAAAAAATTTGTGTAACGGGCACTAGTTCAGGCCTTACAAACAGAAAATAATGAAGTCCTCATACCAAATTGTTTGAGCTGGAAAGCCTAATGATACACAATATGCAATTTCTTTCAGATTAGGCAGTACATATATATACATATATATATATCTTAAAAAAAAAAAAAAAGGCAACATTTCCATATTGGGTCTTTTGGGTATTTCAGCATCCAAGCAACAAAAGTTGCATAAGGACCACGGGCACGTACTGCACAACACCAAATGCAGCAGCTTCTGGCATTTTACAGTCTTACAAAGGCTGAACTTGGGGAAGTTGCCCTATTTAGATACTTTCTGCCTCTTTTTCCCCTCCACAAGATGCGGCCGCAGCCCTGTCCCCACTSCTCCCACAGCATCGATGCCCGTGACATGTCCCCAGGTGGGATGGGGCCCTCGGCTCCCTCGGTCCACAGAGCTTTTTGCTTGCGAGACTATGGCTAAAAAGAAAAAAAATAAAATAAAAAATAAATAAAAAATAATAAAAAAAAAGGACTGGGGGAGAAGAGTTTCTTACAAAGAGGGAGCCCCTCTCGGGGAAGCTTCTGCCCGGGTTTTGGGCGCCCTCGACCCCTTTCCGAGCCTCATGGCCCCCCAGGCGCCGCCCCCGTCCCTACCCGCGCCCCGTCCTTACCCTCGCCGCCGGCCGGGCCAGGCTGGGGGTCCCCTCGGGAATCGTCTGGCAGCGGGTTGGCGCTGGGGAAGGGGAGGACATGGCTGAGGAGAGCGGCTGCAGCCTCCCCCGCCGCGCGGCCTCCCCTCCCCTCCGCACCCTCCCCGCCTACCTGCCGTCCAGCGCCACGGGCAGCGTGGGGTCCTCGCCCGGCAGCGAGTCCATGGCGAGCCCGGTGATCGGGGCCGCGGCTCTTTTGTGCGCGGCTTTGGCGGCTCCCTTGGAATTCAAACGGCCGCAACCGCTTCCGCCATCTTTACGTCGGCGCAGGRTGAAGCCGCTGAAGCCGCCGCGGCGGAGCGCGCGCCGCGCGGGCGCTGTGGGAGCCTTGCCGGAGCCGCCATGTTTGCTACGGGCAGCGGCCGTGGCCGCACAGGCGGCCGCCATGCTGGCTGAGGGCAAAGCGGGACGAAGAATCCTGACAACTGCCAGCAGGGCAAAGGGAAGGGAGTAAATAAAGGGCTGGTCGCCATCTTGAGTGAGGGAAGCAGCGGCACCGCCGCCATCTCTTTTTCAAAGCAAGGCCGGGCGGAGACGAGCAGCTGCCATGTTTGTTGAGGGCAGCCTGGGCGCCACGGGCCTCTGGGCTGTGTGAGGATGCAGCGGCGCTGCCAGCGGGGCCTATAAAATCYCTATTTCAGGACTTAGTGTTCCTGAATCTGATTTTTTTGAGGGCTSTAAGGAGCCACAGTGACACAGCCAGCTGGGATTGAGGTGCCCCAAAACAGAGGGATTTGGAGATGGTAAGAGATACACATCAAAAGTAGAACAGAAAATCAATGGTGATCAAGTTATTACAACATAATGACCAGTGGAGTTAGATAGTGCTCATCAAAGGTGAAAATATAGAGAGCATCACGGTTGATCAGGATGTCAGGGTGTTTTTATCCTCTTAAAAGTTATGGCTTTACTAGAGCCTCAGGCCAGTCAAGTGGATGCCCTGTGAAACTGGTTGATATGCCTTGTTGATAGGAAAATGGAGTCTGATTTCTAAAGAGCAAAGAGAAAAATATTGGGAGAAAAGAAAAGCAAAGCAAAGCAAAGAAAAGAAAAGAAGAGAGAAAAGAGAAAAAGAAAAGAAAAAGAAAAGAAAAAAGAAGGTGCTAAGAGATTGGCAGAAGAGCTACTGATTAGTATAATAAATACTATGAAACAGTAGTTCAGATTGCATGAATATTAAAGACTTAGAAAAAATAGTTATGTTTTAGTTTCAAATTCTATTCTCTATTATTTTTAGCTAGCAAGGGAAAAGAGGACAGCAAGGGAAAAGATGACAGCAACCGTGTCATAATTTGTCATGTATTGAAGCAGTGTGATTAGTACAAATAAAATATGCCACAATTACTGCAATGCTCCCACCTTTTTTTTTTCCAAACGAGAAGGCGATTATCTTCCCATGTTGACATTTGAACATTTCAGAACACTGACCCTGCAAGCCGCTAAGATTAAATATTGTCATCACTTCTTCAGTTTTTCCGTGTGCCCTAATGCATAGCACTGCCTCTGGCCTTTYGTTTAATGGAGAGCCCTTTCTGTCATTACTCACATATGGCAACACGCTCCCGACGTGGTATAAGCTGCACGGAACAAATAGTGGGATGCCAGACCTGAGACTTGCTTTGCCTTTCAAAATGTGACACATATCCCCATGCTTTTAATGCTTTTAATTCCCAGTTTGAAAGTCTGAGCAGGATTGCAATGCTTTTCTGCAGTGTTTACAGCACGAACACCAGGGTATTTGTGGTCTGGAGAATATAGCTGATCTTCAGCAAAAAGCAGATTGGATTCATTAAAGCAGGAAAATCCACCCTGCCACTGCTACCTCCTACTACTCTGAGCATTAATAATATAGGTGGATGCTTTCAGTTTCTTATTCTCGGTCTCTGTATACCTGTAACATAAAGCAGTTTCGTTTCAGAGGGAAGACAACAGCCCCTCACATGCAGGACCGACCACGTGCTTAAGCATGAGATCCAGTTTCCCTTTCAGGACTAAGTTGGTCAGATTTCATTCAAGCCCTTGCCTGAGATATCTCAAGGGAGTTCTTACCTGGCCAAGAAATAGGCCACTGACAAGGCCTGGCATGTGAGCAGTACCAAAGTAATTCTACAGCTTTGTAATTCCAAATTGTCGTATTGTCCTCACTCCTCTTTTCACAGCTGCAACACAGCTCTCATCTCTGTTCAGAAGAGGCTGGTAAAAAGCTTGCAGTAGCAGGCATTGGAGTGTGGTTTGCAACCGCTAGATAAGTWTAGTCTCTGTGGGCTTCACAGCTCTACTTCTGTCTTTCAGATTCACATGTACAAGAGCACGATGGAACAACTGGTAGTGCCCCAAACTGAAAGGAAATGCCAGACATTACTCAGAACAGCTAAGCTCTCAATYCCTTCTGTCTCGTTGGACATGTTGATGCTTTGCATTCGGCGCCTAAGAGATGCTCAGCCCTTGAACATCCCCATGGCCTTTGACAGCCCTTTGTCACCTTGTGTGACCCAGTCCCCTGTTACAGGGGCTTCGCATTCTGCCGAGCTGCAGCAAAGACTCCAAAATCGGGTCTGCCATATGGCACCAGGGTGTGCTTAGCCAGGCTGAGATGGAAGCTTGGGACTTCACRTGTTTGCAAAGGAGACACCTTCTTACAGCAAGTGACAGTCCACATAGTGAAAGGAGGAGACTTCATTATTGGTTAATGCTACTGTAAGGTATTATATACCTGATGCATGCCATTAAAGCAGCATCAGGCAGTCATAGGTGTAGCATAAGTTATTTAATATAGGCTATGGGCTGCTACAGCATCTCCGGTCTCTGCAGAGCCATGAAGCACACCCCAACACATAACCTAAAGGAAAGCTGCTGGACTATCACCATGGAATGGCTGTCTGGAGCAGCAAAATACATATAAAGCAGCAAAAAAAAAAAAGCATATACATATGCAGCAAAATATACATATACATATTTGTGTGTGTGTGTGTATATACCTGTGCATGTGTGTGTACACATATACATGCAAGCCACACATAAACACACATACAACTGAAAACTTCCATGTCCACACAGTCCACAGCAGCTCCAAGACACCCTGAGGGGCAGCCAGGGTAGGCAAAGACACTGCATTGAAGCAGTTCACAACTTGCCAGCTGATAAGCAGATTATTGTTGTTTAATCTTATCTTGATTAGCAATTTATGTGGGGAGATTATGCTAAATCCTTGTAGTAGCAAGCCATATTGGAAGCCTAACTGAAGTCATGTACTATCAAAATGCTCCGCTAGTGCAATTCACGGCCACAAAAAACACCCTGCAATGTCATTAGGATGGCCCTTGCTTTTACAGAATGCTTAGTTTTAGCATCCACTTCATTTATGCTGATTTACCTGTCTTTAAGTGCTTTGTTTAATAGCAGCCAAAAGAGCAGGAAGGACAAACCTTAGCATCTGGAATTTCCTTCTGCACCAAGAATTCAAGTTAATTTCCTTACCCTGACAAGTSAGAAAGAAATGTAAGCTTTTCGGGGGCCCTTTCACAGATGTTACCCGAGCTTTCAAAATGACTGATGCCACAGATAATTTCCTTTGAAAGACCAGTTGTGGTCACAAATATAACACAATAGCCCTGTCTATTGGCTGTGTAGGTTTCATTTACAACTGCATACATCTCTGACAAAATATGTCTATGTGAATATTACACACAGTAATGGGGAAATTCCCATTGACTGTCCAGCTACCAAACATATTAATGAAATTAGCTGCAAGCTGGAACGGTTAATAAACAGACACAGGASATCATAGGGCACATTTTTGAGATGGATTATCTGACACAACATAAGTTGTACTAATGAATACCTGATGTTAAACACACACTTTTGGGATATGGTTCTCATCTCACGTACATGGGTATAATGAGGGAATAATTCTCTTTGAGCAAATGTCTTCACTGGGATGAGATCAGATTCAAGGCTTTGGGTCTCAGTGCAGCTCTGATTGCTATCAATGCCAAGTCTTCTATGGAACTTTAATGAACAAAACACAAAGACAAAAAATCCATGTGGCATAGATACAAATTATATACATTTATTTTTATTCATTTTAAATAACATTCTTCTGTATAAATTCTGACATATATTCAAATCATACACTTTTTTTTTAGAAATGCATTTGTAAGCATAGCATATGCTTAGGAGACGCCTTATTTGGATGTGTAGTAAGACTGATGGGTTTCAATTGGGAGCAAGTACATTTTTAAGGCCCACATTTTTCTTATTTTAATCTATTCCTCTGACACATAAATAGCAGAGTCCTATGGGAGCTCATTTTAAAACTTCACTTTAAAGAGAAATTTATTTTTAGGATTCAATTTTATATCCTTTATTTAAGGAGACTGCAGAAACTTTCTACCACATATCCATTGCATGCAACATTTGGGATAAAGCTGCAGTGTATCAGTGGTTAACTGGGCCAGGATGCCCAAAGCATGCTGAACACATCCCTTCCTATTTCATAAATAGCTTCCAATGTGCTAAGTTTGTTYAGCCTGATCCAAGGGAATTACCATTCCAATGGATGACATCTCACGACAACTCCCCAGGGCCAGTGCTCCGCACGGTTATTTCTAGCTACAGTGGTTTGTAAGATTTTAAATCAACTCCTCACATTAAGCCAATGATATTTTCGCAYGTCTGTCCTACTCTGTGCTTACCAACTGCTCCCCTTAGCTGTGAGCCAGCCAGGCTGCCCGGTGCCTTAGCCACATCACTGCTGTTTCCCCTTTATCCATTACCCCTTTGCCTTCAGCTATTTGACTGTGGAATTTAATTCACCCCATGCAGACCAGACAGATCTGCACAACACCCTTCACCTTAAGGACTGTGCCTTGCAAGCTGGTTTCCCACTCTCATCCACCTCCTCTATGCTCTGCAGCCACCGTGTGTGGTCACCGAGCTCCTCAACCAGGACAGTCACGCTGCTCGTGGCCACAGCCTTTGGCACCCTGGCTCCACAGCCCATCAATGGGTGATACTAGCCTAAGCTGATGAGGAGATATAACCAGCTCAGCGTCTTCCTCACCTTCCATGAGCCCAGGGGATGGCTGCACGACGGATGGAAGCAGCAAGCAGGGTTTAATCTCAGATCACCAGGCAAGGTCTAACATAGAGCTGCTTATTCTTTCTTTGCTGAGGAATCCATCCCCTCTCACAAGTGTTCTTTGAGCATAAGGCCTGGCTGGCTGGGCATGCTTGTGCTTTTCTGGCTGAGTCATTTTGCCATCTGAGAAGGATCGTCCCAGCGCAGTATCTTTGCAATAGCTCCAGTGCCTGCTAAAGAACATCTTGCACTTCCTCCTGCTGTGCAGATCAGGGCAGTCTGGGCACCTGGGCCTGTCTAGGCTTTCCATCATCGACACCTTCCTGCAGATGTGCAGCCAGACAGCAGCATGGCCATACAGCCCTTCCCTGCAGACTGACTGCAAAGCCTCCTCTTTGCAAATCCAGTGCACATGTACCCTTAAACAAGTACTGCCAAATGGTTATAATTTTTAGAAAATTCTCTATATTGTCATCAGCCCACTGTGTGAAAGCTTGATGAGTAACTCAAATAGCAAAATCCCAGTTCTCTCCCGATTCTCTCCTCCATTCCTCCCCCATTTCATAACTCAAACTAACACTGCTCTGAATGACTTAGGCTCTACCTTCAACCACGGGACCGACCCCAGCCTGTAGCAAGCACTGGGAGTCTTTCACTTGGGTCTAACAACATTTAGCTTTGGCCTACGTGCAGCACCACATCCTGTTCTCACCGTCTCCCTTGGCCTTCGCTCAGCAATTTTCCTTCTCAATTGCTGTGCCTCATCTTCAAATCAGGCAGCAAAGCCTTTGAGGCAGCAATGGTATCTTTTGCATGTGTTTACAGCACTTATTCCCCTTTCCCCACAAGTCTCCCATCATAAGAAATGCCTCCGCACAGCACTGGAAAGCAAATAAATAATCACCACATTCTTCCTACCGTTTCTTATCTTCCATTTGAGAAATATTTACTCGTGCCGGACTCTGAGGATGCATCAGTGAGCTCCTGCCGACCTTCAGCAGGTACTTCATTCATCCCCAGCATCAATCACTCACAAAGCACCAACACGTACAGCAACACCGCTTTAGTTCTGAGGTCAGGTCAGGACTTAGGCAAAGTATTTGTTTCACACCCTGCTACGGTGTAAGGGCACGGTTTTCATGGCACTGGCTCTCGGAGCCTCCCCAGCGCAGGGAGGCAACAGCACCCGCTCCGAGGCCCAAATGCACCTTCCCTTGTGCTGTGCTGCCTTTAGGTCTTCTCCCTTTGCCAACAGCCCACCGACTTTACACTAAAGTCGGGGAATTTCGTAAAACCTATAGCACCCAGTATGTCTCTGACAGCTGATTTTGACCCGGTCTTGTTTTTTCGTTTTTCCTTTTTTTTTTTTTTTTTTTTTTTTGACACTGTCTTGTGCTACATGAATTTTTAAACATAAATTTCCTGATGGCATCCATGCACTTGTACTTTTTAAGCTTAGAAATCTGAAAGCACAGATCTGCTCCTGGCTTCTCTGCACACTGAGCTCTGAAACCCCAGTTCCAGCAACACGCAGGAGATTTCTGCCTTGGCAAAAAGCTTTGCCACGAGGCCACACCAAGCCCTCCATCAAGCCTTCCCATCACCATGTAAGCGCAGAGGTGGCAATGACATTCACTCGTGTCAGGAGCAGTCRCTTCGGAAAAGCCCGGGCATCAGTATCAGAACCTCAATGATAACAATGCATTCAGGACAGCTTATTTCCATTTTTAAGATTTAAAGCAAACAACAGAACAGTACATCTGATTTTTGGACACCTGCTAGGGCCTCGTCATGGCAGGGAGGGCTATTTACTGCGTATTTAAAGGAACGAGGAAAGTTGACAGATGCAAGTAGGGAGCACTTACATTTTCTCTAAAAAAGAAAATTATTCAGTGACATGAGAAGAAAAGCTTCAAGCAGTGGGTGTTTGCCAGAGTCCCAGCTCCAGACATATTGCCATCTAATTTACAGTATTTTAAACAATCCTCTTTTTTTTTTTTTTTTTCTTTTTAAACAACGCCACTAACCGCTGTACAATTAAAATCTAGATGATAAAATACGACTTAGGGAATACGGAGTCGGAGGGGGTCATGATTTTCTTGTTGGGTTTTTTTTTTGGTTGGTTGTCTTTTTTACAAATAATTACAAATACAATTCCAATAAGATATATTACATTCTATATACAGAACACATCATTTCTATCAGGGTAGGATATTAAGCCCAGCTTTTCTTTTTACATGGCAACCCTGAGATGTCTTGTCATCTTTCTTGCACAGAAACTATACAAGCTCATCAACTCCTACTAGAGAAAAAAAGTCTTCCTATGTTTTAATACCATCATCACCCTGTGAAAGTACTCAGAAAGGGAAAAGCACAGCCTCCTCCCTAACTCCATTATTTCCATGGTATTTTTTTCCTGTTTCCTAGCTTAGTCAAAACTGATAGTGCTGATTTTTGTTCAAGTGTGTAKCTTACTCCTCTACTTGCCTCTTGATAGTACAGTGAACACTGGTTTCCCTGATTTTTCTTTCTTTGTTTCTTTCTTCCTTCCCTCCCTCCTACCTCTTCAAGCAAATTCATATCAGGACCTAATATGAAGTCTTTACAAAACTCTGTTTCCTTAAAATCCACTGTTAATTCACCAACTACTTTTCAAAATAAAGGATGCAGGCATGTGTGTTAGGTTGGCTGGAAGTCAAGTAGCTTCATGGGGTATTGCTTTTTCCACCCCATCATCTCTTCATAAATAAAAAGTATTTTAAGATCAGAGTAATTTTGAATCCTTAACAACAGTGAACTCTGTGGAACTTTAAGGAGAACAAGAAAGTGAACGCATTTCACCAAACTACCTGAAATTCAGATGTACTACACGTTTTTCCGTTCACCTGCAAGCTTCAGCATGCCCAGCATAAGAGTACCTGAAGAGCAAAATCCATTGCTTGGAGCCTTGGCACGGATCCCGATACCCCGTCAACAAGCCCTGCAATTTTTTAAGCCAACTGTGGAACATCTGGATTGCTTCTTCATTAAGCTTTGTAGTTATGCATGGGAGTTGTCAGTGTTAGCTGTCCATTTGGCGCGACTTCATTGCCATCATCTTCCAACAGGCCTGACACATCAGCGTTGGGAATGCTGTCGTGGTAACTGCTAAAACTGATGTTGTCCTCTTTGAGTTCAATGGTCCAAAAAGGAGCGTTCAGTTTTCGGTTTTGATACTCACGGTACATGTAGACAGCTCCCACAAAGCCCATTAGTAGGACAACAACTATGATAATAACTGTCAAAATAATTATGTTAAACTGAGTCCATGAAACATCTGCAAAAGCAGAAGTACTATTGTCAGAGGAACTTATAGGAAGTACAGTCTGCAGAGTTGTTGGGGAGAACGTACTGTTTATTACTACAGTTGAAAATGATGTTGCTCTGCTGATGTTCGGAGCAGATGTTATAAACTCTGTTGTTTCCGGGCCAAGCGTGACTTCTACAAAATAAACAAACATACGTCATTATCAGTGAAAAACACAGTGAGCTGGAACAAAACACAGAAATATGAGATTTGGAGTTTATATCTCAGTTGTTATGGCAATTAAGCCTACACTGYTAAAGGAAGATTTTTCTGAAAATAACTTTAAAAAATAGCTTTTTTTTTTTTTTTTCCCCCAAGCTAGATGCTTGCTGACTGCAGAGCTCCTGTGAAAAGCTTGTGAAGGACAGGCAAGGGAACTATCCAAAAGCTGGAGATGGACGGATAAGTGCACTAGCCAAGGTTCACAGACGGATACAGGAGCTCATGATGAATGCTAGTCACCCAAWCCAGCTTCTATTCAGTACATGAAAATTGGGCTCCACAAACTCAGCAAGAGTTTGGACTTTGAGTCTCATGAAGCCAGGACTTCATTTGTTGTCTAGGTGGTCTACATGGGCTGCAGCCCATGCAACACCTTCAGACATCTTCAGACAGGGGACTGCAACCCCAACACAGGATCGTTTCTGTSTCACTTGTACAAGAAGGTCAAAAGCCAAGTTATAAACAATTAGCCATTAGCATTCTGCCATCACAGTGTTTATTTCTGGCTTTCAATATTCACACTGCAGTAGAATGAAGGGCAAAATAATCCCAGTTCTGCTTTCAAATGAAGTCATCCCTAAAACTCCTGAAAACCCCAAGTGTGTATAACCAGATGCAGAAGGTAGCTGAATCACAGCAAAAAAAGACTATGGTTGTTCGTGCTCATGGAGCATTTGAAGAGAGCAGAAGCTAGACTGGATCCTGTTTTGGTTTCAGCTGATGACACATGTCTACACGCAAGGGACGAGAACATCGGAATTGCCAGACTGCATCACCAGCTCCTCCTCCTTCTGCAACCTGTTCCTCACCAYGGTATAGCCAAGAACCTACCTCTCTTCCCACACACATAGGATAACTCCCTTCTCAGACCCAGGGGACAGCAACTGGTTAACCCATGGGATCCCACATGCTTCCAAAACATCTTTATGGGACTTTATCAGTACACGGCTACTAACTCTTCCTCAAACTTASTGAGCTCTAGGCCTCAGAAAGCTGAATATTTTCAAATATGTACTTAAAATACAGCCTTTCCTTTACAGAAATAACCAGATCTATTTTAGATTTTCAATTATTGCAGCAGGAACCCCCTGGAGATGAATCCACAATCAGCCAATGTGTTCTTGATGCCCCATATCCCACACAACTCTCCAAGCACCTTTCCTACTCTCTTCCATTTCTTTTTCCGCTATTAGAAACGCACCTTCATTTTAGGCCCACTTACAGCTGCAGCAATTACAGCTGCCGGTGTCAAACAATCCAGCTCTCCTGGAGAGAACAACCGCTAATCACAATCAAAGAAAAGAGTCACTTCTGGAGGACTTATTTTGCAGAGCTGCATCTCCAGAGGCAACAGGCAGTGAGACCATTCAGCACACCTCTTGCTAGGTCCTCAGGGGCAACTCACGTAGGTTAGGTTTGGGTTCCCAGCTCAGGCAATGGAGAGAGTAACTCCTCCGGAGGARGCCTCCAACACCCAATTAGTGCTCCTGCTCCAAGTCCCTCCCTGGAGCAACTTCTCTCTTCTCTGCATATCCTGAAYTAGGTTGATAAGGATGCTCGGGATGCTGAGCACCAGAAGGCATCTCTCTRTGGGATAGCAGGCAGAATTTAGCAGTAGGAAGCAACGTGACAGRGGCAAGAGTTTCCTGGATATCATTCCTGCAGAAGGGCATGAGCAATTCAGTCATCCTTTCCAAATTCCTTCATCAGTGCTAAATTTCTGGCAAACTCTACCAATAGCTAAAATCGGAAAAAAAAAAAAAAAAAATAGAACAGAGACAATGCCTGATTCACCCACAAGGAAACAGGACTGTTCTGGGCTGTATTATGAGTCAGCACCAGCAAAGCTCTGGCAAAGGGAACACGGGCTAAAACATTTCCTGGAATGGAGCACAGTGTCACGGCGAAGCAGTGACACGTCCCGACTGCAGCCCATTGCTTTTGTGCCGTGATATAATGATGCCCATTGCTACTCGCCAGGGCTCTGCCAGCCCTCCAGATGTCCCAGAACAGCAACTCGAGTGCAGCAGCTGGTCCTTCAATGGCCTGCTTTGGCAGCATCTCCAGCTGCTTGATTAAATCCGAGCTTCTGTATCGCTTCTTCTCTCTCCTGCAATGAATGAGCAGTGGTAGGAGCCCGGCTGCCTCGAGCAGCCACGCGGCAGCGCTCGGGGCCGCTGCGATGCCCCGTGCCAGCTCGCACCACCGCATCCATCTCCCAGCACTGAGGTGGCCCTGACACCCTGCCAGGGTCAGAAACACTCACAGGGGTCACCGGCATGTCTGCTGAGCGCTCTGCCAAACAGCCTTGAGAGCACTAAAATCTCCGTCAGTTTTATCCAACAGCCCTTGTGGACAGTTGAGCCTAGCTTTAACTTTGCCTGGGCTATAAAAAATATGATGAAAATTGGACTTTGAAACCCTAACATTTCCATGGGCAGGTCTTGTAATCATCTCAATCTAGAAGCCACTTTAGCCTACTCATATGGCCTTAGTGCTTTATGACACTCTTAACCTAAAATTAGCTAATATGTAGTACATCAGCACCTAACTTTTTAGACAAACCACATGTAAGAAACTGGAAAGAAAGAAAGAAAGAAAGAAAGGCTCATGCCTTTCTATTTACTTAATAAGAAAGAATACAAAGCAGGTGTCAAGGAGAAAAGAAATCTAGATAAGCACACATCCCAGTCCCTATGAAGGAGGAAAGAGTCTTTCCCCATATCAGGAAGTGGCTATAACCACATCTTTAAAATAAAACAAGTGAAAATTGCCAGTATAAAAGCTGTGCATATGGATTTTAACGGAGAAGGTTGTATTGTTTGTTGCTCAGACACAAGGTGGTAATGGATGAGCCCAAGTAAAAATGCTACTTCCAGCTCTGTAGCTGTAAAGTTATAGCTAATGAGCATTCAACTTTTTGTTGATCATCTCCCTGCATAGAGAAGGACTCTGTGATTACCCCGTTGGAAAGCAGCATGGGAGTGAAAAACACATTAGCTCCCAATGCAAGGTCTGAATGAAATCTGTTGGTGACAATCATAAATTTGGGCCCAGATACCTGCCCGAGTTCTGTGTTCTCTTACCTAACACACAGCAATGCCCACAATGTTCCCCACCTTGTGGAACAACTTCCTGGTAACCACTGAAGTGATCACGTAAGATCCGTTTTCTATTTTCTCCCATTTTATTATGAGTCAGCCTGTTCTACATTAGGTGCTCTAAATGTCAGAGCTATCTGATAATCCAATATGCCATGCATGAGGTGTGGCTTGAAGACTGATGAGTGATTCCCAGAGCAGGTTCTGGTGCTGACTTGCTGCACTTGCATCTCACCTCTCTGAGCTTTGACTTCCCCATCTAGAAAGCAAAACTGAGACTACTTAAGCTTGTTCCAAGTAGTCGGTTACTGCTTGTGCAGTGTCACAAATGACATATATTATTTAAAACATCCTTTCTAGGGACCTATACAGTGCTATTTGAATGGACTAAGCACTAAGTACAAATCACTGGGGTGCTAAGAGACCAAATATATCAAGCAACAGAAATTTAAATTAATTAAATTAATTTAAATTTACATTTAAACTTAGGGCAAATACTTTTTTGCTTTTCAGCTCATTCCACGGAATTGGCTGCTGCAATTTGGGAGAAAGGGTAGTTACCGAGCTGGCTCTCTCMATCACAGATTTCAAGGCACTAACATGTCATTAGGGTCTGGTTTTGATTCCTGAACCGCAGGCCAAACAAACAGTAMGCCTCTATGTGCCAGTGTGAAAAAGTTCTTCAAGAGAAAGAATGGGTTTTTTTTCCAGGTATTTTCCCATGTCAGAACASTGGAGATTTCTTCGCAGTGCACTGTCCTGACCTGTATAAGAAACTGCCTGTCAAGAGGGATTTGCCAAGGGCAAACAGCATGTTGAAGTTTTGCTGCTGCTCAGTTCAATGTAGGCCATGCTCAGCTTCTGGTAACAGAAGACAAAGCTTTACAAGGAGAAGAAACTGCCTACAGGGACGTCTTTCCTGAGCACCATATTGAACAGGCGCTTTCGAAGGACTAAGGCTCTCTATTTACCTTGGCCGACTTCAAAGCTGCTTCCCCTTCAGCTGCAAAATACAATTCCCCACATCCCTGCCCCGGCCTCCACGCAGCTCGTGCTGATCCACACGGCAAGCGGCCACGCCGCTTTGGATGATCTCCAGGGTCTTTTCCAACCCTAGTGACTCACTGAAGAGCATCTTTACCGTTCTTGGTGCAGTTGCCTCCGGCGGGGTCCCGGCTGTAGCCCTCCTGGCACTCGTCGCAGTGGAAGCCGGCAGTGTGGTAGAGGCAGCCGATGCAGCGCCCRCTGTCCGGCTCGCACACCCGGGGCGTCCGCGCCGCGTCCACGTTCCCGTTGCAGCTGCATCTCACGCAGATGCTGTCCGAGTTGTAGTAGCCGTCGTCGCAGCGGTTGCAGTTGGGGCCCGTRTACCCAGCTTTGCATTTGTCACATGTCGGGGCACTGTCACCGGGTCCTAAACAACACAGGAAACACAACAGCTACTGGCTGTATCCCTTCGTGACTGCTGCAGGACTTGCATAARTCAGTGCAACAAAATCAACCACCACAGGGTGTTAATTAAGCTAGAAGATTAATCCAAAAATACAGATTTTTAAACAGCAGTATTTAGCATTTCTAAGAAAAAGGAAAGATTTGGAGGTTTCTAATTCCTAATACTAGCATCACAGAGCATGCTTAGCACATTACTACGCAAATGGATTATTGCACCAGAACATTTATATYTCAAACAGCTGATTTTTGGCAAACAGCTGCCACTAGACAAGGATGTCAGCAACCTACAAAAACTTCATGGAGTACATGAAGCCAGAGGATGCTCAASAGCAAAACTGATTGAGATGTTATCATAATATCCCCTCTTGGTAATATCAAAACATAGCTGGAAGATGGATTGGATCCCTATTTGAGTCCCTTGCAGTTCAGAGGCCTCACAGAGGCATGAAAGGCTCCGTATGTGGAGCTGTTGAGCATCTCCTGAATCTCCTGGTTGCTGCTGGTGCAGCATTTACCTTTGCAAAACATGGGCAAAGGTGACAGATCTGACATCTCACTAGGATGAACCACCTGGAAGAGAACTTACTTTTGAAATGCACTAGAAAGAGCTACTTTAATTAGGGCAAGAATGCAACCGAAGYGGGCGCCTTACTGATGTGGCAGGTGCCGGTGGAGGCCACCGTGGAACAGGGGCAGCGGTGGCAGGCCGGGCYGGGCCGGCCGCTGCGGTAGAAGCCCTCCTTGCAGCGCTCGCAGTGCTCTCCCTCCGTGTTCTCCTGGCAGTCCAGGCAGGCGCCTGGGAAGGGGACACAAGCACAGGCATCCAGTGGGCAGCAGGAACTGGAGCGGAACATTTGGGGCAGGAACACACCTGCAGCGCTCTCAAATTAGCAGAGCTCACTGCAGGTTTTGGAAGCCCCCTGGCTAAGACACGATGTTGGCAGCAGTCCTGGCCTCTTGTGACCTTCTGCTGGTCGCCCCAACACCACCTCCCCGTGCACATGCAACATGAAAAAGCAGGCAGCCCCAGCAGCAATACCCATAGCCCCTCGCTTTACAGGGCAGCACAGGCAAACACTTGTTATCAGCATTAAGCTGTGCTCAAATAAAAGAGCTCGAGGTTTTATTTGCACTGGTGAAAGGGGATCCTGATAGCTTCAAGCGCAGGCTGACATTRGAACCCGTTTTCTCCCCTGCATCCGTCCTGGCAGTGCAGCACACGCGGCTCCTGTGGCACCCTCGGCACCACTGCACGGAGGCTCCACATCCCGAGGAGCTGCAGCTCTGAGCCCTGCACCACAGCAAGGCTGAACAGCGTCCAAAACGAGAGGAAATCAGAGCTGCTTCCTTCAAACAGCAGTGTCTGCAGAACAGCTCAGAACCAGCCCAGCACACAAGGAGTAGAAATACTCTCCGTTCCTTTTTGCAGGCAACCTTCTCCTGCACCGCAGATCTGGCAGTGATGGGGAACTAAATGTCACCGCGCTGCTGCATCCCGCCCAGCAGAGCCACAGCCCCGCAGAGCCCACGGCGGCGGGGACGAGCGCTGACCTTCGCGGGGAAGCGGAGCAGAAAGGGGCTTCCCGCGAGCCACGGGCCCTTCCCAGGGAAGCCCTGAATCACAACATCGATGGGCCGTGTCTTGGCAGCGCCTGCGTCCTAATGGCTCTCTAAATTGCTTTTTGATATTATTGTGAGCAAAGAAAGAAAAATCTCCACTGGCCGCTGCCCAAAGCTCATCCATCACGGGGAACATCCCGTAATTCAGCAGCCTCCTCGCCGGGCTGGCAGTGACCTGGGGGAAGCTTACTTGATTAAATCCCCAGTACAAGGCTCTGCGAAGGCAACAGCAGCCACCTTAGAACAACCCAAGGTGGCAACCAGCAGCTTATTGACTGTATAAGCACGGAGAGGAGATCTGCAGGGCTAAGCCGGCAGTGCTACAGAGCATGGAAAAGTCTCCTATCAACATCAGCCACACGTATAAAATCCTGAGCCGGGTTAATGCTGAGGATGTTAAATAAGCCCGGCAGATTTCCTCCTTCGTGGGGGAGCATCCAGCACAGCACAGGGCTCCCGCTCCGTTTTCCCTGCAGTGGCTTCGCAGCAGCCCAAGCCCGGAACGTCCTCGGTGCCGATGGAGCCGGGAGAATCCTGGCAGCAGCAGGAAGAATGATCCCAACTGCTCCATTTCCAGCCCAGTCATCTTAACTGTTCCTCCTGGACAGATGGATGGCTGAGGGAGACGGTCACGAAGCCGCCAGAGGGAGCCCCGAGAACAGCATTAAATGTAAAGGAAACCTGGAAAATTTGACAAAGGCAGCAGGGACCTGGAGAGGTCACGCACAGCACGGGCTCCAGCTCGGGCAAGAGCCTTGGGCTGCTCTTTAGGCATCAGATCTAATTGTTATCGACTCTTCTCTCTTTTCTCTCTCTCTCTTTTTTTTTTTTTTTTTTTAATGGCAGCAACAGAACAGATGGAGGAAAAGAGTGGAGGAAAAAAAATAATAATAATAAAACATATTTTCTCAAATCAACAATAGATCATTAACCGGAAAGGGATTTGGTGGATGGTCCCAGCAGAAGGGCTGCCCGAGCAATCCCATTACGGAGGCAAGGTCTTGGCTGGTATTTTATCAGGAGAAGGARGAAGACTGAGGGAGAAGAAGGAAGAGCAGATTATCTTCTACCTTCACAAAAACCCACACACTCAGCTCCAAACCAGCCAAACAGTTGCTGTGCACATAGCTTCGGGCACAAGCTGCTCTCCCTTGGTAGCAGTGGGAAGCAATCACCTACGCCAAGTTCAGTGCAGGAATTAATGCAATAATTCACCCTCGAGGACAGCAGTTCTGCTGCATTTCCGTGCCCAGCTGGGCACACTGGGGCATCTGCTGGGCATAAAGCCGCGGCTGCGGCGCCCGTGCTGCGAGCGCGCAGGCTGCGAGGGCGCGCACGCCAGYGCACCCAGAAATAGCTTGTGCCGCCAGCTCCGCCTCTGCTCCAGGCACGGAAACATCCTGCGAGATTTCTCAAATTATTACTTCTTTCTAAGCTGCCGSATGAAAGAGCACGGAATTGCCTTTCACCCTCTACGCTTGCAGAATGTGAGTTTTAAAGGGCAGGTTTCGGTGCTACGTGGGGATGGGTCAGGCAGTCCCCAGTATCACTCATCCCAATATCACCACACCATCTATGGAGAGGGAAAAGGAATTCTGCTCTCTGCCTGCCTCCCTGAGAGCTAGTGGAGCAGAGGCACTTCCACATCCGTGCTCCCTCAACACCAGCGTGAGCAAAAACCCCCAGGAAGGCTTCCTGGGAGGAAACCTTCGAGGCAGCAACCGGGCAAACTGCTAAGCAGCAGGCGAGGGTGCTGAGGTGCCGAGCAGGGCGGCTGTTACCTGTCACGGCGTGGCAGCTCCGGGAGCGGTTGTTGCACTCGCAGGGCTCGCAGCTGCTTGCGTTGGACCTGTAGTAGCCATCGTCGCAGCGGTCGCACTTGGGGCCCGTCACGCCGACTCTGCACTGGCACTGCCCATCTCTGCACAGGGACGAGACCCAGGGTGAAACGGGACTTGCAGAGCAAGCAGCYGCCGTCGCTGCTCCACGTGGAGCCGTTTGCTGGGACAGCGATGGGAAGCACCCGGGTAGAGACTCCTCGAAAGCCACGGGCACCCTTAAACACCAGCTGCCCTCTCAGCATCCTTAAGCAGGGGCTTATCGGCCTATTGCTTTCCTAAGGAGCTTTGAACACCAGCAGTATTTAGCCCTGATTCTCCAGGAAACCACACGGATGGATAAAACACTCTTTGTCATCAACCCTMTAGCATTTCCCTAGCAAACGTCCCCCCGTATGACCAACCAGCCAAGGGAGACCATAGTGGGACAGGAAGGCTAAACCCACCAGCCCAGCCTAAGCCCACACACTTCTTTAATCCGGTATTTTATATATATTTGTTAATTTATGTAAGTATGTGTGGGTATATATACGTATACTCACACATACATATCAGTGTTTAGTGCACAAACACGATGCATCGTTCCGCCCTGCTCCTCCCGGGGGAGAGCAGGCTGCTCCCCTGCACTTCCCAAAGCGCCTGGAAAAATCCGCTGATTAAAACTAATAGAGGCTGAGGCTCCAAATGGCTCCACGCACAGTTTGTGTGTTGGCTTTAATTAATATGCAGTAGTTCGCAACGACGGGGGAAGCGATCGCTGCTGTTAAAAATTAGCATAATTTAGTATTTCTGTTGTTCACCAGAGAAAGAGGAAACACTCCAAGGCACACCAGAACACAAAACTGAGCCCAAGAGGCTATACAATTAAATATGTTCACAAGAACAACTTCAGGCATATTTTAAGGACTGATTGCAGGAACGAGAAAGAAATGGGATGTTTCCTTGCTCTCCAGGCCTTTATCGGGCACTGCAGCAGGCAGACGCAGCATTTCAAGGGATGCTGTTAAGCAGCTCAACATGCTTGACTCTCAAGAAAGCTTTTCACAAGACCTAACATTAATCAAAATGCTGTCGTAGTATTTATAAGCGAGAGTAAGCTCAAGTCATTTTTTRTTTGATCTCGACTACCACTGGCCACGGAAAGATGGAGCAAGGGGCAGATATTCCTGTAAGCAGGAGATGGGCAGAGCTAAGAAAGGCAGAACAACAAATCCCGCTGCATTTGGAGATGCTGCTCTTAGGGAGAGGGGGTATTTCCTGAGTGCAAACCTGGGGCATTACAGAAAACCTCAGGTGAGGAATGCAATTCTCCTTGCCACTAATATTCAGAAAAACAGAGGTTTATTTCCCCAGTGACTCTGCTTCAAGGCAGCATTTTGGGGCAGCGTCCCTTGATTTTACTTCTTAGCTTAAAAATAACAGGAAAGAAAGCTATTAAAAAAAGAAAAAAAGAACAGTTTTGGAAAGTTTGGTTTTAATGCCTCTCAAGCAGACCTTTTCTCAACATGTTACACATGGCACTGAGCCAAGTTCTGCATGTGCAAGAATTAAATCACTCAGCAAATATAAAGCTTTGCCTGTGGTCACTGCTTCTATAGAATAAAGCCCCCTTACAACATCCCTTTTCATAGCTCCAGCTCAGTAAAGACTGTCAGACACTTTTTAAAGCAAAGGTCAATGATATAAATGCGTTGAAACCACCAAAAAAAAAAAAAAAAGCCCTGTTAACAGACCGATTGTGCCCATAAAAATCCAGAAACTTGAAAGAAAAGACCCACAGTTTCATACTTGCGCAGCGAGAACTGAACTGCATTTTGAGCCTAAGCCAGGAATTTCTTTTTGGGGGTAGATGGGGGGAAGGGAAGAGGGAAACGTTTTGATGCAGCAACATCAATTGCTCAACTCCATTTCAGATGATCATTAACTCCTCTGGAGCCAGAGGAGTTTTAGCTCTCGTGCAAGAGCCGACGGAGCGATGTGCTGGGGCAAAAACAACCTTCTGCTAACAGAAGCCTGCTGCCTGCCTCAGTTTCTATTACATTTTATGAATATACTTACTTTTAAGACCATGTAGGTAGTGTATAGCACCATCACGGCACTTCATATACGTTTCCTAATGATTAAGAAAACCAACCGCGAGAGAGGTCCTGGCAGAAGGACCACACAGCAACGAAGACCACGTGTGATGCTCGGATGCAGCGCTCGGATTCATCGAAACGCTTGGGCAGGGAGGGCTGCAGGCCGGGTTTGGGAGCCCCCAAATTGCTCAGGGATCCCCTTGCCTGGTGGGTTTTTGCCCTTGGAGACACTTTATCACCATCTCCAACCAGCACCTACCATCAGGAAAAACAGGCACKGCGGGGGGCTGCGGATAAAGCAGTTGGGGGGAGCACCCCCTGCTCCAAACCCGGTGGGTAAAAGCCAACCTGATTTCACTTCCACTCCCTGCAGTCGCCTTTCATTCCACCAAGGGGAAGTGGCCATARGATGCAGGAAATCCCACAATTCTCACAGCAATTCATGTCCTTAATGGCTGTGAAACGCTCCCCACAGTGGGATTTTCCAGGAGAGGGCAGATCTGCAGCTACAAAARTCCAGAGGAGACAACCAAGAGCCTCCCTCGGTGGTGGACTGCGGTGGGTTTTAACAACCCTACTTGGAAAACTCCCATGAAGACCAGGCAGCTCCTCCACAGTCTTGCCTCAACACTGGCCTGGAGCTGCAGAGCATCACGGGGATAATTTTCCTCCAAGTCTGACGGGCAGGAAAGAAAACACCAACATCCCAGGCTCTGCCTAGCAACTCAGCTGCACCCAGCAGTGGAGAAACCAGAGGCTCCGATGCAAGAAGAAAAAAAAGCATTAAAATATCCATCTGGTTGAGCTGGAGCACGAYGTGCAGCTGCATCCACAGAGCAATGCGACTGATCCGTTCTCCTCTGCAGAAACATCTTTCAGTTCGAGGGGCTATAATGGACAAGATAGATGGGATGAAGGACAACCATAGCCTTATGGGCTGTTCTGAGACACACTGTGCCTGACACGATGGTGTAAAGGAAATCCTTCAGCAGTCTCCAATGACTTGTTTTCTTTTTTCCCCTCCTTCCAAGGGGGAAAGAAGGGAGAAATTAGTTTTAAGTGTTTTCCCAGCTGCTAAAAGAACCTGGATGCTCAGCTGCCATCAATTGGACAAACCAGAGCTGGCCAAAACGTACAGCACGAAGCTTCTCCCAGCCTCTTTTTGTGCAAGATTTTGCATAAAGAAAAGGAGCGATATGGAGATTTGGGATTTGGATTCATCAGAGCAGGGCCTGGAGGTGTTCCTGTAACACGTACAATTAGCAGCAACGACAGCACTCRCATGAATGAGGAGAACCGCCTTGCTGAGCCTCAAACATCTGTAAAACAACCCCCATGAAAAGGCTTTGTCACACTTTGATGGGATAAGACAAAAGGATGCTGCGAAAGCCGAGGAGGATTTTAAAGAGATGTCTCTAAAAACGGTACATTTTTTTCTAGAGAGCAAGGCTCGTTTGGTACGGATCTTCTCTGATGTCTGTCAGGAGGCAGGAGCTGCAGGAAAACGGCGCTCGTGTGTTTTCTGGCTTGGCTTTGTGGCCTCTCTCCCCCTCAGGCTGCCAGAAGCCAAAGTGCTTTCTAAGAAGCGCTAATTTAGCAGCCCGGGGCAGTGGGAGCAGCCGGAGGGCCGTGGTCCTGGCGGGAGCAGCTTGCGCGGCGGGCAGAAGAAGCCCGGCTTTATTGCGCCAAACATTGGGCCATTGTGCAGGACATTCCTCGCTCTGTGCCGGGGGGGACACAGTCTGCTCGGACAGCATCCCCCRACGAGCCGGGGAGCTTCGCAGCTCGGAAAGGCCACCCTGCAAATGTCAAAAGGCCACGTGCCTGGGCAGCGCGGGCGCCTCCGCGGTGCCGTCCACCCCGCCACGCTGCTGCATCCCCGTCCCGGAGCATCCCGGGGGGTGACGGTGGGACAGGGAGATGGGCGGCTCGAACCAGCCCTGCCAAAATGCAAACGGGGCTGCGAGAGCTGAAAAAGTCACCCCAAAAAAGTCTTTAGAGGTCTGGTGGTGCAGCAACCAGTTTCACAGCTGTAGAGGCAATGCAGTCCTGGCAAAGCTCGTTGGAGAAAAAAATAAAGAAAAAAAAAATCAGCAAAATAACAGGATTTCTGAGAAGCCACAGTTGTGGGAGGGGAGGTTTTAGCTCCCCCGGCACTGCCGCTGCACCCCGCGGGCCAGCGGGCACCGCGGTGGGCAGGTGCAGCACTGACCTGCTGCAGGGCAGGCGCGATGAGCTAATGGTCTGGAAAGCAGAGGAAAGGATAAAACGGAAGAAATTTTTAGCTAATTAAGGCATACCGAGAAATAGGGCTCCAACAGGGTATTTGGTCGCTCTTGTGACATCCACATATAACAATTTCTAGCAGGCACACGCGTTGCCTGCACAGCGACGCGGGCGAGGCATTGCTTGCAGGCAAGGAACCACCACTGGCGCTCAAGCCATCTGTAAGAACGGGCAGAGCCTCTTTAAAGCAGGGTGAAAAAGCAGCTTTTCCTTTAAAGGAAGCCCCTGGGGAGCTGGGCTGCCCAGGCTCAGATCAGGGTGATGTGGCAGAGCATGGAAATGGAGCAGAGTGATGGTGATCTCTGGTGATCTCTCCTGGTGATCTCCGAAAGTCCCTTTCAGTGGGCAGGAGGGCACAGCCAGATTATCTCAATACAAGACACACACTTCAAGAGCTTCTTCTTTGGGTACAAGCACACCGGAGCTGCCAGTGTGACCGAAAGAGGCTCAGGGCTAATGCCCACCCCGGCTGCATCCCTCAGCTCCCACCCCGGCACCACACCAGGCAGAGAGCTTCAGCCAAGGAGCCTGCTCACAAACCCCCAAAAATAAATAAATAAATTGGAAAAAGTRAAAAAAAAACCCCAGCTTGCCAGCTGCAGCCTGCGCGCCCAGCACTGAGTCACCTCCCGCACGTGACCTTGGCCCAGTCATTCCATACCTCACTGCTCTCCTCCCTTCCGCTCCGGGCTGTGTCTGCATCCAGCCCCGTCATCCTCGGCACACCTCCGTGCTGGGCTTCACCGGGCTTTCCATGCCCCGGGCATCCCGGGGCCGGCCCGCCGCTCCGCACCGATCCGTGCGCGCGGAACRGGCCGACCCTGCAGGCAGCTGCGGCCTCCCGGCGCGACCACCGACACGAGCCACGAGCCGCCCCTCGCAGCCGCTTCCCAACAGCCAAATCCCCCGGCGCGCCCGAGGGGACCCCACGCTGATCCCCGCGGATAATCAAATAATAACAATAATAATAATAAAAAAGAAAAAGCAAAAAGAGACCTTTGATTCGTGGCTGCGGAGCCCATTCACAGTGACAGCATGTCAGGTCAATGTTCACTCCAAGAATCAACTCCCCGCCTCAGGATACGGTTTTTTACCCCCCTCCCTTCTCCCCCCCTTTTTTTTTTTGAATTTGTTTTCCAAGTTTTTATTTGACAGACTGCATTCGAAGGGCTAATAACCAGCAGATTTGGCTGCACTGAGGCAGACTTTGCTTAGAAATAACACTAATACCCATCGGACGGGGGTGCTTCGGAAAGCAGCGCATCCAAAGGGCTGCACACGCTGCCTGCCCTGCCAGCTCCGGCTCGCAAAGAGCCGCTGTCCAAACTGGGCCGAGGCCAAAATTATGCTGCTGTTTTACTCAGACTCTTCTGAACAGCACCGACTTTTTTTAAACTCCCCCTCCGGCCAGTGTACAGGAATTAAGTTGTGCAAGCAAATGTTTGGTTGGTGCTTGAAGAAATGAAAAGGAAAAAAAAAAAAAGGAAAAGAAGAAAAAATACAGTCGGAGGTATTTTTAACGTAAGCAGAGCAGGAATTGTTTGCTCACATGCCTCGACGCAGCRGGCTCTGCCCGGCGCTGGGTGCTGTGAGCACTCGAGGCGAGCTGCATTCCTTGCCTGCAAGATCATYGCATGCTCCCCGCTGCTCGGCGTCCTTCGCCTGCCCCATCCAGGGCACCAGGCCCTGCCCCGGGCATMCAGCTACTTGTTTCTTTCACTCCATATATTTTTTTTTAACTCATTTTAAGAAATAGGGAAGATAACTAATAAGGCTGGTTTTGATCCAGATCGCGCTCTTTGCCCATCCTGGCACATCCTGCCCATCCTGCCCAGTCCTGCGGCAACCTGAGGCCGCTCAGCTCCAGTGATGCTGAAATGAGCTGGCCCGTCTGCCTCTCCCCTAGCGAGAGCGATGCCCCTGGTTCTGCAGCACAGACAAGTGACCTCCTTTTTCCTCCCTCTTTAAATACCTAGAGGTCATTTCAGTCTGTGGCAAAACCCGAATGGAAAGGCAGTGCAGCACCCTGGTAGCCACGTTCCTGTTCTATCCTTCTGCTCAAGCCTTCTCCCCAGATTTTGCTGTGCTCCCTCATCTAAATGTCTGGTAAAACAGTGCTGCTGAAATGGAAAAACCCGAACTTGTCTCCCCAATTTCAGGTTCTTTGGTTGCGTGCGGGCACACTGGGTGTAGTTTAAGCAGGCAATTTCCACACATKCTTCCTCCTTCATATTGTGGAGCATCTCCCCTGAACTTTCCAAAGACGTTTCTTGGCTCCTTCCACATCATCCAAAGTGGGAGACACCATTTCTCCAGTTTTCTCCACTGACTCAGACCAGGAACATGTTCCTGTCTCAACCCAGGCACAGGTAGTCCCACTCCCCGCCTTTCAAGATTAAACTTACCCCATCTGCCTTTCTGGCCAATATGCCTTTGGATCAGATCCAAGTGAATGCAGCTTTTCTACCCTATGGCAAATTCTGGTACTYTTTTTTCTGTATTTTTCTGTACCCRAAACATCCAGCGAGACAGGAGCCCAATGCTCCTGCCAGGCCACTACAGTGCTCAGCAAAGGCAAAGCACAAACTGCGCCCGCCCCAATGCAACCAACATCCCTTGGGAAAAATCCCTCTCCTGCCTCAGCCTCCGCGTTACCCTTAAGCTCCAAACCAGGAGGATATCGTGTCTGACAGGGACTAAAGGATGCACAAGGTATTAGCAGAGAGCTCCCACTTACATCCAAGTAAAAAACGAGAGCTAACACCCTTGCAGGCTGCTCAGTCTTTTGCCACAGCTACAGATATTTTTATAATCCAGCTCTTGAAAGACAGGAAGACGACGCTTCATGAATTTTTATAAAGCCGGCTTCCTTCCATACTTCCTTTTTTTTTTTTTATTCTTTTTTTGGCTTTCTCTCCTCAAACGCTCACGCCAGCCGAGCGGCCGCCCGGGCGCCCGCCCCGACGGCGCGCGGCCGCGTGCCCGGGACGCGCGGTACTCACGTGCGGCAGCCGGGCCCGAGGGCCCCGTGGGGGCTGCAGCCGCAGGGCCGGCAGGCCTCGCCGTCCGCGGCAGCGACGTAGCCCGGGGCGCAGCCCTCGCAGCGCGGCCCCGCGTAGCCCGGCCGGCAGGCGCACGCTCCCGTGCTGGCGTTGCACTCGCCGCCGCTCGCGCTGCAGTTGCACGGCGAGCCTGCAAAGAGGGAGGAAGAGGGTCAAGCTCAGTATTTTACAACAGAGAAAGCACTGAATAAGTAAAAAATAACAGTGGGAGTAGCCAGAGGATTGCACCCCCAGATTTTGTACCTTGAGACTCTCTCCAAARCAGAGCTAGGAAATTATGGGTTTAACTTCAAGAGTACTGACATGCTCCTCCTTGCCAGGGAGGTTGTGGAGTCTCCTTCTCTGGAGGTCTTCCAAACCCACCTGGATGCCACCCTGTGCCCCGTGCTCTGGGTGTCCCTGCTGGAGCAGGGGCTTGGACTCGATGATCTCTAGAGGTCCCTTCCACCCTTAACCATTCTGTGATTCTGWGAGTTACRAACTCAACCAATAACAACCTGCAATGTTAAGGCAAAACCAGCAACAGGTGGCAAAACCGAATGACTTCCAATTTCCCCTCTTTGCCTGTTTTAGCTTTATTTTGCTGTTGTCTTTCTCGAGGGGCATGAGCAAGCTGCCCGGGTCTGACTCCCAGCGCGCGGTTTCCGATGTCACTCGCGGAGCCGCCCGGCCCGGAGCGCCTGACGTGTGTTTCAGCTCCACTTGCTTCCTCGCGAAATGCTTGGTGCCTCAATAATTTAAACTATTTTCCTGCCAAGGGTGAATTATAAACATGGGTTATTTTCAGAAATAGCACGTAAATCCTCGGGGGCTGCGGGCAACTGCTGTTATGTAATATTCACTGGGAAAAGGCACGACGTGGAAAGGGCAGGGGGCCGGCCCCTAGCCTGAAAACCTAAGCAAAGCTCAAATAATTTTGCAAGGACCCATCACCAATGCTTCATCATTCACTAGCATTTAATGTTATTTAACATCTATACTGCACGCTGTGCCCCAGCCCAACAAGAGCTTCTCTGTTCCAGAAAGGACTTGAGCAGATGCCTGGCTTGATGCTCATTTAAAACCAAGTGGCTGAATAGAGATTGATTTATTAACACGTAGAAATAACTTGCTAAAAGTGGACSTCACCGAAGATCCCAAAGTGCTTTTGGAGGCACGAGCCTGAATCAGGCCTGAATTTTCTTCCATTTAGATCAGCACATAGGACAAACACCTAGAGACTTGCAATTACCCACTCGAGCATCCACTCCATGTAATCACCCAAACTCCCAGCTCAATTACCCTCATGGACCCTCATTAATCAGGTGCTCGAGCTTCCGTGAATGCAAGATCATCAGGGAAAGGCAGCACCTGCTTTGGAAGTTTTTAAAATGTGCATCAAAACAAACTGATGCTTATTTGGTGTCAAAATAAACTGATGGTTGTTTGGTGCTTGCACTAGGGAGAGAGGGAATCCTGCCCTCAAATAGGTGGCATCACTGGTGCAAAAAGAGTAGATTTTAGGGTTAGGCTCAGAATCAAAACACCAATCTTTCAGAGGACATTACCATGCCAAGGAGGAGAATAAGAAGTCATGGGGGAGGAACTGCATATCCCAGCCCTGCATTTCTTTCACCCTCTATCAGAGCCCAAAATGGCCTGTCACARTCCAGAAGCCTCTGGCCATGGGCTGATCTCAGCTCATCTCACTGCCCTTCCCCGCTTCTGTCCACCGAAATGCCACAAAGTCCCCACGGCAGGGCTGGCCTGCAGAAGGCCACGCTCGTCCGCAGTGAGACGAGGAAAACAGGAAGGAAACATCCAGCGGGACACTGTGAATACGGCCAAGAGGAGCAGAGAAGAACGCAGTCCTGCCTTCCAGCCAGAATTTGACTATTTGGAGTCTTTACTCCCTTTTGTCAAGCAACTGTTTTGCTTTTCAAGGTAACCTTCAAAACCACCTTGCCAGGAGGTTTTCTAAATCTGGAAGAGTGAACAAGGGTGGAAGAGCCCAGGGCATCCAGCGCCTTGGTGCCAGGAGAGTGGGAGCCCAGGAGCTGCCCCATCTCATCTCTCATCTCCGAGGCATCACATTTAGGTTGGGATCATGCCCAGGTGATGCCCTCTGAGGTCTGCGGCACAGCCTGGTACAGTGGATGGGACTGCTCAGCTCCATCCCACAGTGCAAACCAGCCTCCTTAGGGCTTCCTCGTGATAAAAAACACCACCTTTTCTCATAAAGCTGCAAAAATGGGGATGTTTCTTGGCTTTCCTTGGGACAGACAAAGCCAGATGCTCCTTGGTCCCAGCCCTGCATGTGGCTCAGCAGGCAGCCCAAGCGCTGCAGTGGTTGTTGRGTTTACACCAACATAGTCTCGCTTCACACTGGTGTCCAAGTTTAAAACAGCACTAATGCAAGTTGATGTTCAGTTTGCACGGAAAAGATGGAGCATTTGCTGCATTCAACAGCTCCATTTCTGTGCTTGTCACTGCACTTTCTCTGCACTTTGAGTTCAAGCTGGACCCCCCTTCCCCTCACCTCCCTTTCTCRTCCCCCTCCAGGCACAATTTCTGACAACACGTGAATAAAAGGATCAGGCAGCAGGTTTAAAACCCCATCCACGGCACTTTCCTTTCCCCTCATAATTAAATCGAGGAACTCGAGCACTGGGGGATGCTCAGCAAGCCAAAAATGTGCGTGGTTCACAGGCTCAGCTTGCAGAGGACAGTGAATAACCACAGYGATGGGGCTGAAACTTCCTGCTCGCAGGGTCCCCAAGCAGCCGGCTGTCCCCACCGCGCGTGCACATCCCCACTGAAACACACACTGCCATTTCCATGGGGGGTTTTGGGTTATTCTAGCCCAAAACACAGCTGTGCTTCAGCGCCGGGCCTCCCGCCTCACCTCCGAACAGGCTCTTTTCCCTTCGCTCCTCCTGGATATTTAATGCCCTGGATATGAGCTGTCCGTGCGCTAACAGGGAAGGGGATACGGGGCAGGACAGTGCTGTCCCAGCACACCGAGAGCAGCTGCGAGCCCCGGAAAACCTCAACCCAGGCTAGAAGAGAAGGTGCTGCYCAGCTCAGTGTTTCTACAGGGATCCACTGAGCTCCCGCTGTCTCCCTCCACATCCCTGTTCCCACTTGGGTCTCACCTCGGATTGCGGCAGCTTCGAAACCCAACACAGCCCAGGCTACCAAATAGAGCAACTTCAAGAGCAGGGGCTGCTTATTCCTAGGAACAGTCATTTTTATTCCTTCTCCTTCCACAATAAAGACAATTYCACCTCCAGCCATTCCAGGGTGCCTTTTGGCCACGTTCATCCCAAACATCTGCTGCACGTTACCCATCAGSTCCATCCCTAGCAGCCCAGGCCACTTGCACCAAGCATGAACCCACAGAAGCTACTTTAGCTTCTTTCAGGTGATTTGAGCTGGAATTACCCAACACCTGCCACGCTCTAGGAGCTCTTGCATGGGCAGCACCAGGGGTACTCTGATGTTCTGCAACTTCTTAAAGCAGGAGAGGCGCCCAGCCAAACCCAGGCCTTCAAACGCATCTCATMAACACTCAGGACAAAATAATAGCCACATCCTTTGCATCACAAAAGCACATTAACGTGCCCAGGCCTGTAATTTACTCTCACTTGAGCCGACAGTGCAATGCCCAAGCAGTAGGAAAAGCAGCTGTAAGTACCAAAGAGAGGGGGRAAAAAAAGCTATATTTAATGTAAGAGTCTTCTGCTATTTTGCACTCGCTCTGTTATTGGCKACGTGAAACTCCGAGCCACGCACTCAATGTTAAGAACATCATCATTCACATTAACGTTAAGAGCTTTACAGGAATCACTTGTGTTGTTCCTTAAAAGGATTGCATTGGGTCAACAGGGGAGAGCAGACCAGGATTTCTTGGAGCTAATACATTGTTTGTAACGCAGTTAAAAGATTAAACACGTTTGTTCAGGAAAACTAAATCAGATTAAATCTGTTTCTTATCACTTGTAAGGAAATACAAAGTCAAGGGCCCATCTCCATGGGTCACCAGAAGTCCCAGGAGCAGAACACGATGCAGGGGAGGTGGTGGGGCTGTAGCAGAAGAGATGTCCCATCACAGCAGGAGATGTCCCACAGCAGAGAAACCCASCAGGCCTCCTGCACCAAAGGAGCCTTAGTATAAAGAAGAATGAGGCCCCGAAGTGCTTATGGCACAAGAAGCTCCAGTAACTTAAAATAGACCACATAAATGTTCCAGGATTGAAACAGCAACAGTTAGAAATGGAGCGGGTCTTGTAAATTAATTCAGAAATAGTTTGCTGGCATTTTGCTTTAGTTGGTTATATTTTCCCCGCTGATATTCTCACAAGGATCGTCAATCATATAAATACTCTGCATTTCTATTTAAAAAAAAAAAAAAAGAGAGAGAGAGAGAGAGAGAAATCTCCATCCTTCCAGCCACCCAGTGTGTGACATTGCTAACCAAACTCCGAGTTCAGAGATAAACAAGATGAARTGCAACGTTGGCAAAAACCCCACCAAAACCGCCCGCGGCAGCTCCAAGCTCGCCGCCTCCTGGAAGCGCAATCCTGTTTCCAAAACACCTTTCTCCAGCAGCTCTCAGGAAATTCAATCGTTTTGTCAGCAAAATTCTGCTGATAGAAGATCAAGACACCTCGCATGGAACGGGGCTGCGGATTTATTAGCATATTTCAATTTTAGTATCTATTCACCACGTCCTAGCAGAGAAAAGGATTTTAAAAATTACATGAATAATATGAACTCTAATCATCTGTAGAAGTCTCTATGTGCTTAGATCCCTGCAAAAAGTAATTAAAATCACAAACTTTGCGCAGTGCTTTGGGGAGTTGCAGCTAATAAATGACTGTGTTAATTTATACAGAAACTTTAAATGAGCCACAAAGAATAACCTAGAGCTAGAATGATCCTTTCAAACACTTGGGTTTGGGCTATACTCTTCTGTTGCAGGAGGAAACAGCAAAAACCATGAGAGTTGGAGGGTAAGTCAAAGAAAAAGAAGGGAATTGTTAGGGAATTGCCAAATTGAGTAACACTGCAGATACACGGATGCATTTAACATCATTTTTCAGGCTCCTGGCTGCAATAAACTCAGAAAGGGGTCACCACGTCTTTAGGTAACTCCAGATCTTCTCAGCCAGGACCATGCCTGCCATCTGTTCCCACCAGCCTTGGGGAACCGGGAGCCAGGTGGACATCTGGGGAGGATGTGCAATAGGTAAGCCTGGGATAAAAGCTTCAGGCTGGGAATTGAAGAGGTATTCCTGAACCAGCTGGAGAATGAAGTGGTAGAACAGCCTTCCCAAAGGATTACAAGAGAAAAGAAACACAGACAGCTTTAAAAGGAAGGCAGACACTTATAAACAGGATTATGTGATGTGGTTACCTGGGAACATGCAGGAACTGGACACATGGCCTTGAAGGATCCCTTCCARTCTCGTATTCCAAAATAATCAGGATGATTATTATCCAAATCCCAGACAAAGATAAACACCCCATACAGCCGAATGCCTTTGGGATTAGCTAGCATGGAGGGGGAACCCCCTTTCACAGCTTCCAGATGCCGCAGAGCAAGGGCTGCTCTTCACCCAGGCTGGCCAAGAAGTCCACAGCCACTGCTAGCACTTGACTTGTCTCAGCCAAGGAAGAGAATCAGGTTTTAATTCCAATTAGCTCTTCCAGTCCAACAAGAGGCTCCTACACAGGCTTGCAACGGAGCTAGAACTTGGCCTCCGCAGGCACTTCCAGCCCCAGGAGCACCATCGCGATGCAGACATCTCCCGGGGACAGTGCCCGCAGGCCAGGATTTTTGCACATTAATAGGATTAGCCAGGGATGTTAGGCTGTATCCACTGCGCGGCTCTGGGACGCCACGGGTCTCTGAAGCCGCCAGGCTGGCACCTCTCACGCAGCTAAATTCACCCGTATGAAGGTTACGGCAATGTCAGCAACGGAGGGGCAGGTTCTTGAGCCGGGACTGATCTCACCAAATTCCTTGGGTCACTTGTCAGCCTCAGATCCTCTTTTAACTAGCCTGGAAAAGCGCAGCAGGGAAGCGCTCTCACCAGGCCTCAGGCCTAAGTTGTGTCCCAGAGGATTTGAGGAAGGAAGAGGAGCTCGGCGTTCACATTCACACCACCTTGGGAACCCAAAAGCAGCCTGGGAACGGAGCTATCAATCCCAGTCATCTGCCATCCTCTCCATACTCATCCCAAAAGAGCAAACTCATTCCCAGCAAAGATATCCCTAAGTGGTTCGGGTGTTCTTGCAGGCACTGAGTACTGGAGATTTCTAACAATCAGATAAATACTGGACCTCCAAGCCTGCTGCAGCCCCCAGACCTCCATCATTTCTCATTCCAGTCACTGGARAGGATTTGCTCCCAGTTATACATCAGAGAGAGATCAGGAGGACCAGGCCCTCCCATTTATTGAACCTGCTCTACCCAGGGAGCTGGTAAGGACAAATTGGACTATCAAGGAGAAATCCCTCTTGCTTTAWTTTTTGCCTGGAAATGTCTGGGACATAACGTGTGGAAAAAGAAATCTACCCACTGACATTCACATTTCAAGTACTGTAATGCAAAAGCAAAGCTGCTAAGATATTAGATTTTTAAACAGAAAGCTGATATGGAAATCTCTGTGCACCAGAAGGCCAAGAAAACATGGAATGAGGATATGAGCACAAGGAACGAGTCAGTTCATCCCTGGTCCACCGGACATACCTGGATCCTTGCTGAGCTTGCAAAATACCCCAGTTTTGAGATGTTTTGGTGCATGGCCAGGGCTGGCAAGAGGCGCCGTCCGCAGCCCCGGGATGTGCCCACGGGTCATGACTTCCCTGGAGGGGAAGACGCGGCGTTACCCTAAATGAGGTGAATAAAACGAACGGGGCTTCTTGCTCGCCTTGCTGCCGAGCCACGAGCCCCGCGTGTGACATGGTGCTGAGGACACGGCACAGACGTTGCTGGAGGGAACGGCCGCATCCCCTGCTAAAAAGCGCTGTGCTGGAGGTAAAGCAAAATTCCCTGTTCCAGATGCGCTTGACAACAGGCGCTCGCAGGCGTCAATGCCAGAGGCCCTCGGCCGGCAGCCACAGCCGCCCGGCACGCACCAGACGCTCGAGCAGGAAAAAACACGCCTTCTCTCCCCAAAATGAGCGGCGCAGATGTGTCTCCCGAGCAAGGCAGCATCAGCACTGCAGCATCAGCACTGMTACCTTCTGCAGAGGCCCAAGGTCAGGGAGCAGCAACCTCCCAGACTCGCAGGTTTCAGCCCCCCTCCAAATCCCTCTTCCCCGGGATTAGTTGTCCCCAGTGCAGGGTGGGGAGCTGCCTTCCAGGTGAGCACAGGCACCAAGTCCCAGCGCCACCAAAAAGGGTCACCAAGGAGAAGCTGGAGCAGGAACATCTCTGCCGTTGCAGCCAGCACCATCGGCAGGAGCCCGGTGGAGACCGGGACAGCTCAACACAAGCAAGCAAGGCAGAAAGGAAAGGACATACAGAAGACAAAGGTGATGCTGCAAGAGCCAGAGGCCGGTGGTACGAGTAGGAGCCCTGGGAYTGGGTTTCCCCCAAGAGAAACCAACTCCGTAAAGCCATCTTCAGCTGGTACAAAAGCAAATGCATTGGCACCAGTGTGATCACTCTACAGCCAAATAAATCTCAAAATTCAGCTCAATGTTTGTTATCCCCTAGGCCCAGAACCAAAAAACATCCTGGAAAGATTTGCAACTCATGAAGGTCCCATTGATGCATTCTTATCTACATGATAAAGCTCTATCCTTTCGCCTTCTTCTAGCACTAAATTGTTGTAAATAATTTAGGTGACATTTATGGAGGTAGAGCCTGGTGCAAAGCACTCAGATGGTCTCTACTGAACCTCTGGAGGGCTCTGGCTTATTAAAAGCAGCTTAACAAGGTAGTACATCTGCCCACTCGGAAAGGTGGGCTTAGCCACCAGCCCCATCCCAATGCAACACACAGGCACACGTCACCTGCTGAACATCAGGAACCTTCAAGAGGGGTTCACAAAGACCAGCCTTCAATCTGGTGGCCACAAAAGCACCAGGATACACGATTTGACATCAGGAACCTTCAAGAGGGGTTCACAAAGACCAGCCTTCAATCTGGTGGCCACAAAAGCACCAGGATACACGATTTGGGACCACTTACGTAACTATAGGGAAAAAAAAAAGAAAAAAAAGAAAAAAAGAAGGCTGCATTGTCCGTCTTTGCTCTCTTTCATCATTTCAAGCCTCATCCGCTAGCTGGGACATTCCCGGGAAGTTGCTGTTGCTCAGATCTCACCCTCGTTTGTCAAGTTTAA